CCGATACTCAATCCCAAGTTCAGCGAGAATTTCCAGCACTGTTTGAAGGCATAGGGAAAATCCAACGTCTATATAGCATCTCTTTCAAGGAAGCCACAGTGCCTGTCGTTCAACCCACCCGTGGGGTACCTCAAGCCCTCATGGAGCCGCTGAAGTAAGAACTGAGCCGCATGGAGCAGGCAGGAATTATCACAAGAATGAAGGAGCCCCCAGACTGGGTAGGCCCCCTAGTCTTGGTGAAAAAGAAGAACGGCAGTTTAAGGGTATGCATGGACCCACGAAGAATCAATGAGTGTCTGAGACGTGAGCATTTCGAAATGCCGAGAAGGGAAGATATACAAGCTGAACTTGCTAGCGCCACAGTGTTTTCGAAGCTTGGTGCGCGGGCAGGCTTTCACCAAATCTTGTTGACTGACGAAAACATCGCGAGTTTGCACATTTGGCACCCCTTCTGGACGATACCGATTTTTGAGGTTGCCTTTTGGATTGGCTTTTGCGCCAGAGGTATTCCAGCGTGCGATGTTTGAAATTTTTGAAGGACTGAAGGGGGTACGTGTTTACATTGATGACGTGCTGGTCTGGGGAGCTACGCAACAGGAGCACGATGATCGGCCGCGATCAGCTGTGCAGGCTGCACACAGCGCAGGCCTGACGCTAAACTCAGAGAAATGCCAGTTTGGAATTCCAGAAGTAATTTTCCTTGGGGATGTAGTGAGCAAAGAAGGTATCAGGCCTGATCCGAGTCTTTTAGAAAGGAGAGAGCCGCAGCCGCACTTTAGAGGGACACTGACACCCCCCAAAAAAATTTTTTAATTTTTTGCCAGGCGCTTTGTTATGATGTCGGAGGACTACCCAATTAATATTTTGCAACAGAGTAGCGCATTTTTTTAATAAAGCCAAAAGACGCAACTGCTCGAAACCGAAACCGAAACCCGACGGAGGTCGGAGAAGGGGAGAGAAGAGAGCAAGTGGCGGAAGTCACGTGGCTACACCCGACCGTGTGTTTTTTTTTTTCTTCTTCCCGGTAGCAGACGACATGCGGCGTACGGGAACTGTTCGCCGTGGGATTCTTTTGCAGTTATGTATGTTCCGCCCGTTGTTCTGTACTCCAAGATGAGTTGTTTTGTTTATTGAGGAGTTGGAGATGAGTAGTGAGTGCCCGTGGTGAATTTTGATCGGCTCCGAAAAGAATACACCTGAGATGTTGCGTGAAGAGCTGGCTCACATGTCCTGCGTCCGAAACAGAAGTGGCATTGTGCGACAGAGTTTCCGAAAGATCAACGGGATCGGGACCAATGGCTGGCTGCAATTCCTGTAGACCATTTACGGGCACCTCAGAAAGCGGACGCTACCTGATTTATATGCTCCTTGCATTTTGTGGAAAGTGATTACATTGAGTTCGCAGGTGTCAAAAAGGAAATCCCATTCCATTTAATTCAGCGACGTGTCGTCCACAACATTTGTTTCTTTTTTTGTGTGTGTTTCTTCAGTGATAATTGTAAAAAAAAGAAAAGAAATGTAGACTACAAAAAACATATGAAAAAAAAGAAGTTTCACGGGGGATCGAACCCGATCCTACGACGTATAAAGCCGACGTCTTTCCCACTAAGCTACTGGGGCATGTTTTTTTTTTTCTTTCAAAAGTGTTTATTTACATGGGTATATACACGAGAACACTATATACAATTTACATTATGTACAAAGCGTCAAAGACACAGAAGAATTGAACGGTTGTCGACCTATACAAGGAGAGTGTTACTAGAAATATTAGAAAGCTCGGAAATAGTTGGAAACAAAGGATGTACAGCACACTTCAGTTTTCCTCTACAGGGAGTTGGCAAAGAGGCCCTAAAGTGTTAAAATCCCGGTCTCGTGACACAGACTCATATGACGTCAGGTGAACGACTGATGCCTTCTATGGCTTGTTTCCATTCTTCATTATCTTCGCAGCACGCTAGCATGCTCTGACAAACGAATGTGGCAATATTCTTAAAGTTCACCCAAGACGGTTTGGCAACCCCTCCGTCCGTATCAACTTTCCGTGTCTTCCACAGGCTATATAAACCTATCACAACTAATGTGTCGAGAACCGTATCTAACTGGTCTCCAAAATGTAGGTAACGGAAATTACTTTCTTCGACTTCAAAGTCTTTTTTCACTGTCCTCTTGAAAACGTCCCAGAAGAAGACTGCATCAACACAGAGCACAAATGCATGGGTGGATGTCTCAGTTGTTTTGCAGAGCCTGCAGTTTGTGCTCCAAAATACGTCAAAACCCCGTGACTCTCGCCACTCCTTTACAGGTATTGTCCGCGAGTGAAAGCGAAAAAAGAACGACTTGCACTTCGGTGGAATGGGCAAGCGTTTGACTCTTTTTAAAACATCAGTTTCGCAGTTAGGGGGAGCAGCAAATACACCCAATCGGTACAGTGGATCTGGAAACAAAGAAGTTAGTAGACATTTAAGTAACTTCTTCTTGGAACATGTCTCTAAGAAGTCACCGGTAAACCGTGCTCTCAGGAAATCAATGGTGTCTACTACCTCTTTGTAGAAGCCGCGTAAAGTGATCGTTTTGCTCGATGACTCTGTATTTACTGCTGTTCCTGTGAACTTTGATAAGAAATATGTTTTACACGTTTCTAGAAACGGGTGCTGTGGTGTTCGATAAAATTTCCATCTCGCCATTAGCTGCCTAACAAAGATATGCCCAAGACCTAGGCCGCCGTCCTCCGTTCGTCGGAAGAGGTTTGATCTCCGCATGGGCTCGTACGTTGAATTCCAAATAAACATTGCAAAAATCCTGTTAAACCTGTTAACTGTAAGTCTAGAACAGTGCATGACCTGAAGTATGTATGTTAATTTTGACAAAAGAAATATATTGCAAACGGCAACTTTGCCAAAGGTGGAAAGGTATCTTAGCTTCCATATACGAACGGCCGACTTGACTTTGGTTTCTAAAGAATCCCACATGGGTTTCGGATTGTCCATGACATTCAGTGGCACACCTAAAAGCTGCGGCTTGCTCGTTGTCCACTCGATGTCGACGAACTTGGCAGGTGTTGTACCCCACTCCCCGCACCACGAACCACTACTTTTATCCTTATTCACCAAAGCACCAGACACTGGGCAGTAGTCGTCGACATGTGACATCGCTGTTACGATGCTTGGTTTGTTGGAGCAAATCAGGACCAAGTCGTCCGCGTAAGCCAGGAGTTTGACTTCGCACGCATGAAGGCGAAACCCTTGTATGTCTTTGTCATTGATGATGTTTCTGCAGAGAGGCTCTAGGTAGATATTGAAGAGTAGCGGCGAGAGTGGACAACCTTGGCGTACCGACCTTCGAACTAGTATAGATTTTGTCAGAGATCCGTTTAGAAGTAATCTCGTCGATATGTCCTTGTAACAAAGGTTTACGCCTTTTTCAATAATTTCGCCAATATTTAGGTGCTTTAAGAGCGCAAAAAGAAAATAGTGGTCCACTCTGTCGAACGCTTCTGCGAGGTCAAGTTGCAATATAGCTGCAGAGTCTTGTGTACGTTGGCATATCTCCAACATTGATCGTACGGTTAAGCTACTGGGGCATATCGAAACAGGGGGATCTCTTTCCTTAGTAATAATTCAGCCAATAAACTGTAAGTTGGGAAGTTTGCTACCGATCTTCCTTTAGCAAAAGCACTCCCGGGTCGAAGTCGGGATGCACCCCGCATTGGCGACATTCTCGCCTTGTAAAGAAATCGTACGCGTGCATATTCAACTCGAAGTAGACACGTCGTGCTTGACGTTTGCGCGAGCGATGTCTTCAGCCACGAGAAGGGAGCGACGGCTCGGCGACGTCTTCGTGCAAATCGGCTTGGTGGTCGGGCGTGTCGTACGGGATGAAGACCAATTCTTTTGATCAGTCCCAAATTTCTCTTTTAATGGCAGACAAAATTCTCCGGTATTGCGAACGACAGTTCTGAAATAGAGGTCTCACGCCCGTCGTCCGCTGCCATCGCGTCCCTGCGAGTCCCACGATACGCGAAACGACGCACGCACAGAATGCTTCCGGTTGTCTGTGAAACTTTTTTTTCAATCAACGTATTTGCAGCTTTTTAGAAGCCACAAAAAATGGGTTTCATATTTTTTTCTATTTTTAATATTGAGTGTGTGCCTTCAGTGACCCACGACTTTGATTAAATTTGGTGGTCGCATCGATACCTTAGAAAACGGCCCGTGACCGCGGAAAAGAGAGTGAGCGAGACTCGAACCGGCCAGTTCTTGATCGGCGGTTTTCGGGCGGAAAGAAACCGAATTTCGAGCCGCAAATTCTGTTCTGGGTAGTTGAGCTCTCATATGTCACGTACAACTAAAAACCTCGGCGAGCATAAATACCCTGTCGGTGTCCCTTTAACACGCGAAGAGCCGCATGCGGCTCGCGAGCCGCAGCTTGCCCACCCCTGGTCTAAACAAAAAACAAAAAACAAAAAAAGCAGTCCGAGTTGTGACATTAAGCAATGCAAAACGTCACGCTTGCAATGCTGAATGTTACAACACAGACTGCGTTTTTTGGTTTAAACATATGTTTCCGCATCGTCATTCGCTGAGCTGCTTCCGTGAGTTGCGATGATTGGCTCTCCGAATGCTGTGCGGGAAAGTATACGCACGGGCTTTTTTTTAGAGTGTAGTATTTGCGTGGCGAGTCCCAATCGTCTTATTATCGCTCCGCAACCAGTCAGATTGCGGCGTTAGCCGATAAGAGCGCTGAAGAACCAATCAAAGAGCAAGACCCGGCCGTAAAGGTAATAAACCACGCCTTGCTTTTCTCGAGTTGTCAGTGACAATGGTGTCACTCATGCAACGACTTTGGTCGACTTTCGTAGCCTTTTCAAGACCCCGCAACTGCCGCTATCTTTGGGTGCGAAAGCAATATGCCTACTGTACTCCGACAGCATCGTATAACACATATCCGTTAAAGGCTTATTGTAAAAGAAACAAAAAAAAACAACAATACAAACTTCTTACCTGCTTGCTAGATGTTCCAACAGCGCAGTCGACTGCTCGTGTTCCCACTTCGCACCTCCCTTCATGAAGCACTGTTTCCAGAACATACGGAATTCTGGCGGCTTCTTCTCTGAAGGGTTCCTTTCAGAGGCAGACCAGGCAGACTGCCAAGTTCCAACCCCTCTATGGTCCCGAAGTGGCAACAGATGACGTCACAAAAGCCGGAATGTCTTTGTGCCTGATGTCGCGATCCTGGCGGTTGGTCGTAGAAATTCTGGCGAAAAGCAGGAGCGAATGCGCGAGTGTCGCTGTCGTCGCGACGTCCCAACTTCTGGCTGTCGAAGCTTGCGTGGACTGCCACACAAGAGAACGACCTGCTGCAGCAGAACAGGCGTCTGCCACATCCATTCCCGCTGCTGGGACACCGCTTGGATCGCGACCGGCGGTAGCGTGACACTTGTATGACGTCACCAGGTGGAAATCGAGAGACCACTTTTTTTCGACGCGGGAAACACACGCGCGCTCTGGTGCGACGCGGCAGAACCGGGGGAGAAGAAACTGTCGGAAAACCGATCGAGAGATGGCATTAGGCCAATACCTAGACGACAAGGCTTGCGCATCGACGTCATCGTTGGTGGCTCCCCGACACGAATCAAGCAGCAGATACGCTGAAACTGGATGTCGACAGTTGAGTAACTGGATATTAGTTACTCTAGACGTCAGAGGAGGAAAAGAGCGGACCTTGTTCTCTACGTAGTATTGATCAGATGTCCCGATATGGTTTCCGCTCTTTCGCATTCTGCAGCCGTTAGACACAACACAGATTGATGCAACCTCCAGCCGCGTTTACAAGAATACGACTTAGTCGCATCGAATCGAGTTGTCAGGTTCAATGCTGTCATGTAAACGGCATAATGCGCCAAGGAAGCGCATCACATTCTAGTCGCTAGTGACTGTTATGACGAGAGTTCTCTTTTATTTTTATTTACGAATATATGTGTGTCTTAGTTCTGACAAGGCTTCGAAAATAATGTGAAAGTGAAAAAAAAAAGAAGAAAAAAAACGACGAAAGAGCACGAACGAGTTTTTGAAGAATAAACGTAACAAATGGAACATTGAGATTGGGGACATGCACAAACACGCATGCACACACATACACACACACGCACGCACACGCACACGCGGACACACAAGCATACACACACACACTTTGTAAAATACTTTGTTTTAACAAATGCACCCTACAGTTTATTTTTTTATCTTGTAAATAAAATGAAATTTTCAGAATACAGACAACGTTAGAAGCTTTAAAAAAAGTGTTACACTAAACTACAGCGCTCATTGAAGGAATTGTTTTTTGGGTAGAAAAAGGCGTGACCACCCGTGTTGCCAACATACTTGTCAAAGTTGCACGTGCATTCCTCAGAATGATTCCTAAAGAAAAGGCCATCGTATTCTACTTGGCAGATGAACGGACGTTACGACATTAAAACCGAGTAGATGTCGAGAACTTTAAAATACTCTAAATTCTCTTAGTTAGATTTCCTCGTTGATTACTTTTTTATTATTATCTGTTTGTTCTAGGTGAATGACTGACGGCAACATTTCACCCAACATCTAAGGCTCTGGGGTTCCACGGCGGCCATCTTGAACGGATACAAAGTGGGTTTAATTTATTAAAAGCAGCGCAAAACTGCATACTCAAATGTGGTTTTCCCAAAATATTCCCTGCGTTCTTGGGGATTCTGGAGAAAGGTAATATAGTCATCATTAAATTATTTAGTTAGAACGAGGAAATATTGCCAGGAGGTTTTAATTTTTCTCCTTAATCAGTAAAGTTAGAAGCGTGAATAATTTGCATCGCATACTTAATGCTATATTAAAGAAAAGAACGAAGTCGTTTTAAAAAAGTCATGCGTGAAAGTACGTTTAAAAATATTAATAATTTATCCTACAAAACGTTTTATTAAAAAAAAACAGAACTAAGAAAGTGTGTTCCTTTTTTATAGCATCAAATACGCAATCTAAAATTATTACACTTCAAACATGAATATTAGAGGTGAAATTTAATACCCCATTGGCATTTAATGGGTTAATCTTGTTTTCACTAACATAGTTTAGCTTCGAATGTCCTGAAACAAAATAGTTGTGTTAGGGGCTACTTTTAGATATTTGTTTTTACGTTTCACTGAATAAAGTAAAAACAGTTTCGTAGCCATTCAAGTTACTTGCTCTGGTACGGAGCCTTAGGGCACCTGCCAAGACGCGGTCAAAACCAGCCCCTACTTCAAGCATCTTTTCTCTTTTTTTTTTTTTTTTTTACTTATGTTGTTTTGTGACTTACGTTCCCCGCGTGAGCCCGAGTTATTTCCAGCGTTCTGGATCGAACGGACGTAAACTTGTGGCTTTAGATTGCGCTTATAAATATAAAAATAATGTTGCAAAGGTAAGTCAGCTTGCGCGCGTCTTCCGTATGGTAAACGGTTCATGATCCAGGAACCGTAGCACACCACAGATCTTGTGAGATGGAATATAATCCCTGTTGCGATAAATATTTTCTCGCTCTTTTAGATGCATAGCATTTTTGAGACTAGCTCTTAGCGCGTTCGTGCCCGTGGTATGTAGCCTTGATGGTGAGGACACGCTAATCACGTCATGGTGTTTATGTGACGTCATCAGGGTGCAGGTTAGCACGTGACAACATGACGTCACATGAACCGTGACATCACAGATGATCTGTAAATGCAATGCATTTAGGGTGCCCTTGCAATATACCAAATACACATGCAGATTTTTTTTTTTTTTGCTTCAAAACGTGTTTGTATAGACGGAGGCTTTCCGAAGTACAGTGGGAGACCGAGGAAACCAAACCGGATACCTTCTCGGTCGGCATAAATAAACTGCGCATCACGGAGAGCTGAAACTCTGTGAGAATGCGACACTAGCGGGAGTGATAAACTGGGAAAGCTTTAGTACATAACATTAAGCGGATCAGAGGGCACAAAAGAAAAACAAAAATTATCTAGAAAGCAATGTCCACCTAAGCCTAATATTCATAAACTGAAACTTAAAATTGTGCGCGCGTGTACCGATAATGTCAGTGAAACAAACTTGCTAGCAAGAAAAAAAAAACAATATTGTCCTTCTGAAAAGTCTTTTTCCGATGAAATAAACGCTACAGGCGCCCACAGTCTCAGACATCGGTATGACGCAAATTGGGCTAGGTGGACGTCGGCTCATAAATAATTTTAGTCTTTTTTTTTTGCATCTTTTGATGCAGCTAAAGTCATGTTCTTAAACTCTCGCATTTCATCACCACCACTAGAGTCACTTTCTCACGGAGTGTCAGTTTTCTGCAATGCATGGTTTACCTATGCGGGTCAAAACACCGGATTTTATTTTCTAGCTCTTACCTTCTATAATTCACCCTAGGTGACAGAGCTTGAAGTGTGCATCTTTTATGATGACCAAAATAAATATAAAAAAGTCAAGATTAAAAAATATTCTGAAGGAAATAGATTGCCTTGAATATCAAATTCGGTCAGTAGAACGTGCTGATAATGTTAAAAGAATAAACGGAGAGCAACACATGTTGCAAAGACGTGCGGGGCGAGACACCTTTTAAACTCGCAGCGGTTGGCAGCTGTAAGTTGGAAATATGCCGCTCTCCAACGGAAATAATAAACGGAAAGCAACATAAAGGACTTGACCTTGGTGAGCCTCCTGGATTGTATAACGATGCCGATTTTTCTTGCGCAGGGATCGCTGCATGCTACTCGTCGCTCCTAATTGTCAAAATTGCAATAACCTGATGACAACATAATCACAAAAACTAAACATAAATAATTACGTAATAGAGTTGTCACTTCTCTGCTTTCTTTCGTTCCTGCTATTTGCGAATATAATCAAGTGGGAACCAAAGGACAAAAGGTTTGTCGCGTACCAACTTCTGAAAATGGATACAGGGGGTGGGGGAAGATGTCGCCGCTTCCCATGCAACCTCCTCAGAATTTACGGCGCTTCGTGGGCGCCGCCATATTAAAACTTGATACCAGTGTTGCTGCAACTGTGGGTCATCTTTGAGCTAGAGCTGATGGAGAAAATCTGGCCACGGTGCAACGCCGATATACGCTGGAAGCTAGAGCCGGTTTGCTTTCGTTGTTTTTGTTTGGTCGGAAAAAATCTAGCAACAACGCACGTTCAACATGGCGCCGGTATTGTTTTGGTTTTTCGGGACGCGAGAAGCTCCGCGGTTTGCGAGCACATGTAGCGAAGACGTGACCGGAGGGGTGCCCCTGTGATGTTCCCGGACGACGGAAAGTATCATTCGTAATCGTCGTGAGTGCTTTGAAAACGAAGAGAGCCACAGAGTCCTCGAGTGCGCAACCACAAGCCAAGGTTCACGACAGCGCTGCGTTGACTTCGGCGATCTTGTTCTGTTTGGTGTGTGCAACACGGCGATGCGACAAAGAGTTGAAATGTTCGTGGTCTGTGCTTGCGTTGCTTGGAGACGAAGCGCAAATAGGTTATTGTGGGGTTGAGGTTCAACGGGTTAGTCCCGTCGTCGTCAGCTGACTCGGTCCAGCTGGTCTGGAAGGACGCAGCGAGCGTTTTTAAAAGTAAATCTTCCTTCGTTCCGTTTCAAAATGTGGAAGATTCTCGACGCATACCATGAGTAAAAAGCTGCGGGCGTTTTCAACAAAATTACGTCGTTTTAATTCAACAATTGACTGCGGATTCTTGTTCTAAATCTGCCTTTTTTATGCTTCGTGTTTTACTGCGTTTGCACTGCGACGCACACCGCTCGAGTAGATAATTCGGTCCTGCCAAGGACCGGTTATACATAATTTCAAGGAAACTTAATTCACCAACCATATTCTCCTGTCAATCTCGTGTGAGTTTCTCGCGCTCATCATGCGGTGTGAATAAATTAGGGCAACATTTCCTACCTGCCTACAGAACAGATGCATGAACTGAGACCATTTTTTACGTAGTGAATAGTGATTCTTTATTTTGAGAAGAAGTGTTGGTGAATTTATTATGGTACAATCACTTGAGAGTTTAGAAGCTGGAGAGAGCGAACAAGCTTTCCCAACTTCGTGTCTTTTCTCTCTGGCACTGCCCAAGAGGGGTAAGGGAATGTTACGTGGGCGAATGAGGTATCATTCTTGATAATGGGTTACACCTGTAAACTTTAGTTTAGAGGATTGCAATGCATATCTACGCCCTCTATACGCTTATGAATGACTTGATGCCGACACATGCAGGATATGCTTTCCTCGCGGATTTTAGCATATGAACTAAGATCAATCTGTAGACTGACATATCCACCCCCCCCCTCCCCTTCTTTTTTTTCTGGGGCAGAAACGCTCTCATTTTTAGTTTTATTGTATAAACACTTCACTACATTACGACGGCAAGAAATGACAATACATTAATTGACAATACATATTATTTTTCTCACATTTTTAGCAAGTGGTAAAATCTCTGTATGCAAAAAGTCTCAACATCGTCATTCGTAATTCAAAAGCTTATTTGTATTAAGCGGGAAGGAACTGAGTTATGATACCTTAGCATTTGTGGTCTGCGTAATTTTAAACTTGAATTATATTTCTTTGTATCAAACGGATGTGTTACACTTTGTCTTAATATAACATTTCAGATTGATGATTTTAACAACTATACTGTGAATGACTTCCTGACTTACTTATTTTAGAGCAAGAGCGGTTTCAAGCCGAATTAAACCAAAAATAAAAAAAGTCCCAATATTCCGTTTTAATTATCTAGTTATTGCTACTTTGATATGTCTTCCAGACATTAAAGGTCGTGATCAGAACACGTCCTGCTAGATAAATGAATTGTCGTTGTTGTTTTTCGCAGAAGTGTAACAAAAAATCTAAATGGCCAATTCACAGGGATAGAGACCGTGCTAAGATCGAAATCGAAGCTTAGCTCGTATGCTCGGTGTCCGTATCAGCCTTGTCACTGAGTTTCAAATAGCTCTCCTGTTTGTCGAGGTTCCCAGAAATACCATCTTCATGAACTGAGCTAGCGAATGGCACACCTAAACAGGTTGGAGGGCCTTCACATAGTTGGTATAAATGTAGCGGCTTCTTTGAAGTTCGTTTTGCAAGGGCAGGGCAGAACCAGAGCGACTGATCCCGCGCCAAGTTCTCGCCGTCTTCCATTGTTTGGGGCATCGGATGGTTCACTGTGTCCGGAAGGAAAAATAGCAGTAGCGAGGCCATCAAGGAAACCGCTCCCATCACCAGGATCGGGAGATACTTGTCATGCTCCGCCTGAAAAGTATAGGTAAATTTTTAAAAAAAGCTTATGGTGACTAAAATCACTGACAACTTAAGACACGCAAAGGGTGGCTCATTATGTTCACGCTGCTTGCTTCCGAATTCGTTCTTTGACGTTCTTCCCGGTTAATTTAGTTCTGATCTGCTTCAATGTGCTTATCGGCTGGTCAGCGATAAAAAGATGTTCAGGATTCTCCATGTCCTGCGCTTCTGAAACTGGCAGTGATGTAAGCTATACTCCGCTGATGGCGCTGTGGAAACTATACGAGCGTACCATACAAATAAATTACCGGTATCTTACTGCCTGTCCTCACCTTGTTCTCGAAGGTAGAGCAGGATCACGTGGTTCAAGACCGGACGGTTGATTACGTAGCTTCTGCCCTTCTGTCAGCCTAGCGTTGAACGAATTATGATAACCGGTACGTGTATATAAGAAATAATTACGTTTATACTAGGGAATGTTTTAAGCAAAAAGGCTGTATAGATGAAATATTTGAACAGTAAAATAGCATGTGAGTATCGTTGTTTATTATTAAATTAGAAGAAAAAAAATGCTGGATATTTCAGACAAATTGTGATGCGTAATCAAAACTGGAGATAGCGCTATCTAGTTACAGTCGCATGACCAAAAGTGGAAATAATTATCACAAGCGTTTCGAAGTAAATTTTAGAACAACTTGGAACAAGTGACACACTGTAGTTAATACTGATCGCTGAAAGGCCCTCGATTCACCATACAGTACAAGCATCAATCACTCCTGAGTTACATGGAGCAGCGGTTTCCCCAGGAATTGAAATCAGGGGGGGGGGGGGGGGGGGGGGGGGCTTAGGTATGGGGGATACGTTGAGAATAGAGGAGTTGCGAAGTAAGGGAGTGTCTTCAGAAAAACAAGAGGTGTGTACACCCCTCTCCCCCTAGGTGGTGTGTAGGGAAATCACTGACACGGAGAGAAGAACGGATCCTCACCAGCGACGTAACTTGCGCCCCGAGAAGGCCTCCAATGTCCCCGACAAGCCTCAGGAGGAGCACCGAGCGAGCGCGGATGACCGTGGGGAAGATTTCGGAAGCCAATTGGTAGGTGATGCTGCAGCCTCCGGCGAACGACATGATGGACATCACGGCCATCACTAAGGTCCAGAGGTCAGATTCTATGACACAGAGTGAGACAAGGTGGTAAGCAGAGGAACCTCTACCGACCAGTAATAAATTATATACATTTGAAAGCTAGCTACATGCACGGTTGCAGGTAAAGAAAAGCAGTACAATTTGATTGAATAAATTAATGAATAAATGTTGAATACATAAAAGTACAGCGAGCCCTCTTGACTTAAGTAATATGGGTCGGGGAATGGTGGGATTGGGTAGGGCTCTGAGGCTGGTTTAGATGAAGGTGCTTAGACCTGCCGCCTCCTGATGAAGTCCAGAATGGAGTCGATGATTTTCTTACGGTGCTCCGCTTCACCAGTTGGGGTCACTCATTCAGACCATCTTGTTGGTCGTGGCGCACTGGGGATTTTGTTTGAATGCTCGCAACTGTACCGGCAATTTTCAGGGCATTCCCAGAATGTCTGGTGTATGCCTGCCATGGTTTGTTATTCGGGACATTGATCCTCTGGTGGAGGTCTCCATTTTTTCTTGTTATGTTTCATTTTATTTTTATTGCCACAGGATTTATCGCCGTGCCGGTAAAGGGTCTGTCTATACTGTATACAAACCCTGCTCCGACGGCCGTAAGTGGTGGGTGCGGGCTGATTCACTTACACTCGCTCCCCCGTGGTCCGGTTGCTACCACTTCTCAAGCTAACAAGATCTAGCCAATCGACGAAAAGGCTCAGGACAAGCTCTTCCCGCAAAGCCATTCACTCTTGCCGCTTTAGCAGACCGAACACTGGAGCGGAGGCGAGTCTCTCCTCACTTCCTTTCGCCTCCTCTCCAGCGTTCGCTCTGCTAAAGTGGAAACAGTTAAGGGCTTTGCTTCAGGAGCTTGCCCTTGCTTTTCTTAGCCGGAAACAGGGTACTAGTGCAAAAAATGCAATTTTTTCAGGAATCGTTTGCACAATGGTCAGTATTCGAAAATTAAAAAAAAAGTTTACGAAAGTGGTTTAGATCACTATCTTAAAAAACTCTCCCCCTTCCCCCTTCTTCTTTCCCGCACAAGTGCAACGGCATAAAGTACGCTCACCCACAATATTTAGCGGTCTCTCATCTAGCTAATCTCGCTTCATCCATCCCGTTGCATGTTCTTTATAGACCGACAGGTTGTTTACAAAGAATTCGGCGTTTGCCCACACCAGGTACGGGCACTGCGCATGCGCAGAAACCAGATTCTCATGAAGCGTTTGCGCATGGGTCGTGCCGACAGCAGCGACACCGTAGTCGAGTGACGTCAGAGCCGCAGGTTGGTGTATAGAAGCTTGAGAACTAATGCCACACTGGTGTCAATCTTCTATGCACCGAACCGGTGCGTCCTATTAGATAGCCAACCTGTGCGTAAAAGGGACATGGCGAGGCACACCACGCCTCCCGTGAACATGAAGAAGACGTTGGGCCAGCGGCGGCCTAGCGTGTCCACTGCCAGGATGCAAACGATGTAGACCGGAAATTCGAAGGCCACAGCGATTGAGAAGGTCGTGTAGATGTTCAAGCCTAGTCTGCCCAGCTCCAGCGTGCCCGCGTTGTAACAAAGACTGATAGCGAACCTGCGCAACAATGAAAGGGAAGAAAAGACGCAACGGATTGGCGAACGTTCGAGGAGGTAGACGCATGTGAAGCATTCATTGCCAAACCTGCCTTCAAAGAACAGACTCCGGAAAGGTTGTGAAACGCCGGTTCAGACAGCGAGAGTAAAAGGTAAAGTTTATGGCTATGGGCCGTTTTAGCGAAACTTTCTCGGGTCGACTTTCCATGCTTCACACTCTGATCATCAGGGGATATAAATTTGTGACACAGTCACGAGCGAACTGCACTACCCAGAGACAGACTGTTTCTTTCAGTGCGGTCATTGTCCATATGTTACTTGTACTGAGAAGAAAAATAGAAAGAGGAAGGCTATCCTAAAACTATTCACGCATGTCGCCTTAAGAGCAGAAAACTTTCAGTAGTAGTTGCGTTGGCGATTGCAGAGGGCCACAAGTGAGAATGTCTCGCAACAGGGCATTTTTTAATGAAGCGCATTCGTAAAGGACCCCGATTCAGAATTCCAAATTCAGAACGCCACGAGACCCCGTGAGAAAAATAAAAAACGCAGCACCTTTCCTGTACAAATTACCAGCGCCCTTTCAAGCCAATTTCGATAGCTTTACACATTTTTTTTTAATTGGAGGGTTGGGGGGGGGGGGGGGGGGATTTGCAGAACACTTGTCTTTCCAGTTACAGCAGACTATGTGAAAGGAAGCTTCTAGGAAGGGATTTGAAAGGCAGACCACATGAGAAAAACAGTGATGCATCCACTCAGAAGGCGCCGTTCAAGTCTCTAGACATCTCTGAAGTCTGATAATATTTTGGACTTTAAGTGAAAGCTGATAGGTCAAACTTGCGTAATCAATGTTCGCTATACTTGGTTTAACCTTAAGTTCAGACGCAGCCGACGCTAGAAGCTGAATGGACCAATCAAAAGCGCACCATAATGGAGTTTTGTGATGTTTATGTACATGTTCTCTCATCGTTGGCCCAATCATGTACAGGGAAGGCTTAGTGCTTGATTGGCCCATTAGCCCGTGTGTCCGCTTCGTCCGTATTTAAGATGAAACGAAGGATGGGTATTTTCGGCACAGCCGCCAACAAAATAAATCACCAAAGAAAGTGCGACGTAACAAACCAAGCCGTGTAGATCAGAAAGGTGAATTTTCTGATACGGCGAGACCTCATGATGGCAAGCGTGGCCTTGAAGAAACCGGACACATCCTGCTCCTTTGATGTTGAGACTCTGTCAATTGCGCAACTCTGCAAATGTAAAAAAAAAAAAAAAAAATGCACGGTTGAAAGCAAGAAAAAATTACCTTTTTATGCTAGCTAAACATGCTATACAGAGGTACTGCGCGTATTCATTTCCCATCGTAATCTAAAGAAATCTTGCTCTGTCGAAGATCTTTACCAACGATCGTTCAAATAAAACAGAGATCAAATGGGTAAAACCTAGAGCAGAGAGCGGCAAATGTTAAGCACGGACATCGGTGTCCCCCCTCCCCCCCCCCCCCCCCCCCCCCCCCCAAAAAAAAATAAATAAAAAGAGAGTGACAAAAAAAAAAGCGGGGAAAGAAATTAGACGATAGGTTAAGCATGTTCGTTTTTCTGCGACACGTTGAGTAACTCGAGTGCTTCTTGACTTCTTTTTATACAATGCGCGACGCCGGTGTTTTCATGCAATATAAAGCTATAAAAAACTAGATGAAAACCTCGAAGTAGTGCATACCTGCTGGATGAACATGCCGCTTAAATTCTACTTCACCCTACAGATCGCTGCCTTGGGTTCTGCTTGGTCATCCCCGGTACCTTTTTTGCCAAGTCAACGCGACTTCTTTGCCGTGTGCGTTCGACTCCTACTTTCACGTGAATGATCCCTCGTCACCGCGGGATGATTGGAAGCCTTCTCACGACCGGCTCGTGCCTCATCTGCCAACACTGGATCAGCCCTTCCGGATGGATGGATGGATGGATGAATACGGCTGAGCCCTTTGGATCGGGCGGTAGCTTACGCCACCTAGCCATTTTGTTTTACCATTTAAGCTTAGAATATTTAAATGTGAAATCTATATTCACACCGCAGTGCAAAGAAAGTGAGGCTATGAAACCCCCTTGCCATCAGTGGATAAGAAAATACCTAGTTTTCTCTCGATTTCTGCCACCATTCACTTAATCTTTGCTTGGTAATCTCTACAGATTTGAAATCCACTCTCCCTTCGCTGTCTCTAAAACCCAATGACTTTATTAAATCTATGTTGTCTTCGGTAGGCATAGGGTGAAGCCCTTTACAGTAGAGTATCAAGTGTTCAGCCGTCTCGTCCTCCTCTCCACAAGCAGTGCACACTGTATCAATTTCCTGGTGCTTCACTCTGTATGTTCTGGTTCGCAGAACACCCGTTCTTGCCTCAAACAGCAATGAGCTTCCCCTAGAATTGTCATAAATGCTTTCTTTGGCAATAACTCTTTTGTTTAATCTATAGCTTTCCAGAGCCGTCTTTGTCGGCATTCCCTCTAGCCACCAATCTCTTTCTGTGGCCTTAACTTTCTTCTTAACTGAGACTTGCTCTTCCGTATCTTCGCTATAGCCCAAAAACTTTCCTCTTAATTTCCTAGTGCGCTGTCTCCACTTTGTGTCTACACTCCTCATGTATAAATAGCTGAAAACCTTTCGTGCCCACTGCTCCCCGTCCATTTACCTCAACCTATCCTCAAATTCTACCTTGCTCACCGCTTCCCTGCTCTCAAATGATGCCCATCCCATGTCTCCTTGTACTCCCTGGTTTGGCGTTTTGCAATGTGCCCCCAAAGCCAGTCTACCTACTCCGCGCTGTTTTATTTCTAGTCTCGCATGCACTTCGGATTTCATGCATAGCACTGCGTTTCCAAAAGTCAAGCCAGGCACCATGACCCCTTTCCAAATCTCTCTCACCACCTCATACCTGTTGTAATTCCAAAGTGCTCTATTTTTCCTTACAGCTGCATTTCTGTTGCCCTTACCTATTATATACTTTTCATGGTCTCTGAGATATTCTGCACCATCACATATCCATACTCCTAGATACTTGTATTTACTAGCTCTCTCAACTGTAATATTCTGTATCTTCAGCCTCTCAACTTCATCCTCGTTAAAAATCATGACTGCCGATTTTTCGCTACTGAATTCTAAACCTAATTCCTCTCCTTCCCTACCACAGATGCTCATTAATTCCTGCAACTCTGTCCTGTTGTTAGCCATTAGTACAATATCATCCGCATACATCAATCCCGGTAAGGATTGCTGAATTTTTTGGCCTAGCTTACTGTAAGAAAGGTTGAACCCAAGCCCACTCTTCTCTAGTCTATCCTCCAATCCTCTCAGATACAACATAAACAGCAAAGGCGATAACGGGCACCCCTGCCTAAGGCCTCGTCTTATCTCTATTTTCCCTGTCGCCTTTCCTTCCCATGTTATAATCACCTTGTTATCTTTGTAAATGTTCCTTAATAGTGCTGTTAGTCCTTCATCTAGGTTTAAGTTCTCCATTATGTCCCACAGGTTTCTTTGGTTCACATTGTCATAGGCACCCTTGATATCCAGAAATGCCAGCCAGAGCTGTCTGTTTTCTTTTTGCGCTATTTCTATACACTGTGTTAGAGAAAATAAATTGTCCTCCAACCTTCTTTGTTTTCGAAACCCGTTCTGTAATTCGCCCAGTATGCCCTCGCAATCTACCCATTCCTCCAGTCTGTTCTTTATAATCTGCATTACCAACCTGTAAATAACTGGTGTCACGGTTATAGGACGATAATTCCTAATATCAGACTTATCTCCCTTTCCCTTATATATCATACTCATCCTACTAAGCCTCCATTCATCTGGAATATTTCCTTTTGTTATCATGGTACTCACTACCTCCCTTAGTTTTGCCTTAGATTTAGGACCCAAATTCTTCACCAGCTTGATAGGGATACCGTCTGTGCCTGTCGACGTGCCACTAGGGACTCTTCGTTCCGCCTTTTCCCATTCTCTTTGTCCAAAATCCGCGATGTCACAAACTGGACTGCTACTTCCTTCGGTTCTTCTATCTTCCACATGTAACCGTTCCCGAAATTTCTCCTCCATCACTGCTCCTATATATTGTATCGCATCATCTCCCTCTAATTGATCTCCCTGATGCGAGAGTATGAACCTCTGTCTAGCTTGCGTTGTTTCACCGAGTGAGTTCAAGTGCTCCCAAAACTTCTTGGCAGCGTTTCTATCTTTCTTACTTACATTACTCATCCATTCCTCACCCTTTCTCTGAATTTTCGCATTGATCAAACTGGATGCCTCTCGGCGACATGTTATAAAATTGTCCCATTTTCTTTTTACTTCCGTTTCGGACTCCCCACTACGCTTGGAATACCTGTGTTCTCTAGAGGCTTCCTGACGTTTTTGTATCGCTTGCTTCACTTCTTTGTCCCACCAGCTTTTTGGTCTATGTCCTTGCTTCTCCTTTCGTTTACTCTTAACTTTGTCTAGTTCTAGAGCAAAAAGCCTAGTTAGGCTCTCATAGGTCCAATCTGTATGCCGTTGCCCTGAAACTGCTGCCTCTATTCTTTCAACAACTATTTCCAACTCTTTGTCGCTGCAGAAAGTTTGCTTTGAATTATGTTGTCTAGTTTCAGCATTTACTTCTCTTTATAAACGCACCTATTTAATAGGCTAGAGTCTCGTTCGTTATCGGAATTAACCAGACAAATCGCTCCACCAACTAAGAACGGCCATGCACGGAGGCACTAAAGCGCCACCTACATCCGGCAAAGATGGCATAAATCTATCGGCGGGACTATTTCCCTTCAGTGGGCTAGGTGGCAACTGTAAGAACATTCCGCATAAATTCTACATCACCCTACGGGTAAATATTTTCTTTTTTATATGATCCTGTAAGTTTGATTATTGCTGTCATTTGCTGCTGCCGGGCCCACTGGTTAGTATTTTTTTCTGCTTTGCTGTCTTGGTATAAAATCTGTTTATCTGTCCTACTGTGTGGCGGCGATGTTGAGTCTAACCCTGGCCCTGATAGACAGGTTTTTCATCAGCGAATTTTTGCTGGATAAACAGAAATATCGGAGGATGCTAACCTTATCAAAGCAGACAATAGTCCTTAGATGCTAGGTTTGATGGCTACCCCTGGCATCACGCCGACACTGGGCCAGCGTCGGGTGAATATTGCTCACAATACCGGTCCATTGTTGGGCCAATATTGGTTGACGATCGTCCTAAACATGGGCCAGAATCGGCGATATCATTCGAGTTCTGGGCAGAGATGGGCGAATATCGGTTAACATAGCCGCGGCCGCTGCGGTGTCAGCGGACTTGGGCCAAGCCGACGTTACTATAGAATTAACTGATCAGTTGGAAAACTGCCATAGAGCCTGCTCTGAAAAAGTGGCACCGATCCGTACTCAAGAACCGAGCTAAAAGAGATCGCAACGCCGCCTTTTCTCTCGCACCGGCCACTCGAGGAACTGCACGTGCCTTCTATTATGACTTTAATCGGCCATTTTGGCTCCAAAACAAATATGGTAAAAGGGGCTTCAAGGGTGCCACCCCCGACTCCCAAGCGGATGCGCCGCGAATTACTGCCAAAGTTAGGATGCGCCTAGGTTGGGACGCACTACCTGAAATCACCGCTGAGACATGGTTGTATAAGAACAATATTGATTGTGCCGCAAATATTGTAAACTAAAGATTTTAGAAAACATCACGCGCCCCCCATTTTGTACTTATCTCCAATAAAAGTTACTAAAAAAAGAGTTTTTTTCCGTTTGTTTGTACTGAAAAACCCAGTTCCAGCCGCTGATTGCCCGGCTCGCCCTCGGCGCGGCCCGTGGCAACGGCGGCGGCCGCCGCGATTGGCCGGCGCGATTGACCGCAATTCAGTATCGTTTTAGAAACGGTCAAGAATTCCTAATACCGGCCGATATAGCCGGTTCACACCCAACAAATTAGCAGAAAACGGCGCTGGATACTGTATATCAGCGTGGCGTTGGCCGACCTAAGTGATGTTCCGCCGACATAGGCCACATCACGGCAATACTGGCCCGATTTTTACGATGCAGCGCCAATATCGGCAGTATCAGAATGATATTGGCCCGATTTCTTGGATCCACCGCCAATATTGGCGCAATACTGTCTGCTGCCTGGGACGAAACCCGTCTGGTTCCAATCGAGTCGCGTTTGTCCAAAATATCTGTTCTGGTCAGGCGAACTCAATCATCGGAAGAAAAACGTGCCGCCCTCGAGTCTCTCAGCTTACAGATAAGAATGGCAGTTTCGAAAATTGTTCTCGCATAAATAATTTGGTTGTATTCGGGCTGCTGGAACCTACGAATGAATCCCCTGCGTTGTTATGTGATATATCTAATCTGCTGTCTTCGAATTTATCTGTAACTTACAATGCAATAGAGCGCTGCAATCACCTCGGTTCGTTTGTAGAAGGTAAAACCAGATCTGTAATCTTTAAGGCGATTGATCTTCGAGATAAAGATCGCGTCCTCAAAAATGACTACGAACTGAAGGGCACTCGGATCTTTGTTAAGAGGGGATTCTCACCGCGTGTTCGCAATATTCGTAAGAAGCTTCGGTTCGGTGCTGCTCAATTCAGAAAGAATGGTGCCAAAGTTTATCTGCGTTAGGACCATGTACTTGTTGGCAACGTTCGATACTCGTGGGATGCAACAAATTACAGACTTGTAAGAGTTATTCCTTTGACTCAAACTGGACGTTCACACTGACACGTACGGAATGAACCGTTCTCTGTAATAAATATTAACGCTAGAAGCTTCTATCCCCAAAGCCACTCAGTTTTCCTCTATTGCGTCTGCATATTCACCACATATAATATGTGTAACAGATACCTGGTTGCATGATGCCATTCTTGACTGTGAATTCACCCCTCCTAATTACAATGTATACGACGTGATAGGTCTTCCAGAGGTGGGGTGTTGCGTTATTTTTAATACTTGCCTTATGTTACTTTTGATATGTTCCCGATAAACGGTTATTTGTGATACTCTGGTAGATTTGGCTATGTCATTTTACTTAGATCAGGTTGTTAAAGTGCACACCACAGATAATTATATCCTTGTACTTGTTGTTGTTGTTGTTGTTTTTTGTCACAACATTACAAAAACCTAGGTTACGATTGCGAAGTGATTGAATGAATTTTCGATCACAAAGCAGTTCTAGTTACCCTCGACCTTTGTGTCAACCATATAAACCCTGAAGTTGTCACGGTCTTTGATTTTAACAGGAATCATGATGTAACTATTATTGATGAACTTAGTTCTTTTTTTGATAAATTTTGTGCTATAGAGTCCAGTCGCAGATGTCAATGTGCTCCTTAGTCATGTCAACTTTCTTGTAGATAAAATTATTAATAATTTGTACCTGTTACAAAGAAGAAAAATATCCTACCTGTATTACTAAAGATGTTTTGCAGTTGATGCGGAAAACAAAAAGGAAACGTTCTACAAGACGCATTGTAGCCCCGGATGATAACGTTTTGTTTGGGGGTCAAAAGACGACTTTGAATGAAAAGATATTAGCAGCTAAAAGCAAGTATTTTAATGTAACTCTGTCTGAGCATATGAAATCAAATCCTGCAAAATTCTGGAGGTATATCCGCCAAAAATGTAATGGGTCCCAAAGCTTTATTATTCATGGTGAATGTGTTAGTGAACTAGCGGTGATTGCTAACTGTTTTAACGAAAAGTTTAAATAGGTATTTAGTTGCGATAATGATTACGTTCGAGATTTCTGCTTTGACGGTACATAATTGGCATTATCGGAAGTTAACATTAGTGTAATTGATGTTCTTAATCTACTCCTTAATTTTGATTGTAAGAAGAGCCCTGGCCATGATGGGATCACCAATTATTTTCTTCATCGTTATTCGCTTTGGACTTCACAGTGCCTATCAGTAATTTTTGAAAACTTTATTTCTAGTGCGACCGTTCCTCGACTATGAAAATCAGCTAAAACTACCCCCGTATTTAAATCCGGTAGCAAGCAAGTGGTTACTAATTTTAGACAAATTTCATTGACATCATGTTCTTGCAAGCTTCTTGAAACACCATCAACACATATCTGAGTACCTGGAGGCTAATTCGATTCTCTTTCCCCAACAACTTGGGTTTCGTCTTGGCTACTCTACCTCTACCCAGCTATTAGAATTTTCCCACAACATTGCTTTTTTCTTAGATAAGAGAGGACAACTAGATGTTATGATTATTGACTATTCAAAGGCTTTTATAAATTGCCATATCCTAAGCTTCTTCCAAAACTGGAAATGATAATAAAAACCGCATCACTAATTAATTGATCACTGATTACCTAAAAGATAGATCTCAGTTTGTTTCACATTAGGATGTTTATTCTAGCAAAGTCTCGGTTGGCTGTGGTGCCAAGCAGGGTTCAGTTTTAGGACCACTTTTGTTTTTGCTTCATGTTAATGACGTCCTTGACCATATTTCTGATATTTCTTTGTGCTGAGGATTGCGTTCTATGCATCGCAATCAGTTCCGTAGATGATCACGCCACGCTAAATTACTCATTTTTATCATTTCTTAATTGGATCCAGAGATGAGATGAAAATTAACTTGCAAAAATCTGTGTTCATAACGTTCACTAACAAGAAGACACCGCATGCTTTTAGTTATGGTACAAGTACTACAATTCTGCGCAGGTGTGTGGATATAAGTTTTGGGGAATTCTATTTACTCCAAGTCTTAAATGCGACAGGCACATTACTTTTATCTGATCTCGCGCTTTGCGAAGACAGGGTTGGCTTAAAAAAACTTTCAAATCTCTGCGAAGACTAGGGAAGTTAAAATAACTGTGTAAAGGCTCTAATTAGACCGATCTTAGACTATGTCTGTGTGGTCTGGAACCCGTATTTAAAGGAAGATATCAAGCTGATTGACGCAAAACAAGCTAAGGCAACCAGATTTATTTTAGTCGATATGATAGTCCATTTTCCCCTTATCGTCAATGCCGGACGTTGGGCCAACGTCTGCCCACTTTTGTTTTTGCTCGAGGCGTGTTTTTTTTTTTGTTCGAGACGTGTTGTGGAACGACTAAAGCTGCTGCAAGAAATAGTAAATAAACTGTAGCTATTTGGGAAAATATGTTGCTTTCATTACTCCATCACGCACTCGTAGCTCCTTCCTCTAAATATTGTACCGTAAACAATGTCACATCAATAGTTTTAACTATTTCTTTCAGAGAACTATCGATTCTCGAAACAGCATTAATGGAGCTATTCGTTCACATGAACTTGAGAAGTTTATATTAGAAGTAAACTGAGTTATTATTTGTATGCGTTGTTTTTGAGCCGATGCTTAAACGTTGGCAACGTTGTTTTTTTTTTTATATAGGGGGCGTACTTTATACATTTTTGTGTTGTATTGGCATGCGATATATGTATTCTTTTCTACTCCTGCAATGACCTACTTTAAGGTCGCAGTATTTTGAAAGAAATAGAATGAATAAATATATAAATACATAAATAGATATCAAAGCGTGGCCAGAACATAGTCCCATCGGGACCATCGATGTCCGTGTCTGTGACCCGCCGTTCTGAACCGCCAAAATGCATAACCTTTCCCTCTAGATTATTTAATTAACTCTATGTTGGAGACAGTCGTCTTGCGGGTCAGGCCTGTGCATACATATTTCATTTCAGCTCTGTGCCCCGAGGGAAGCTAAGTGTCATAATAAAAGTGAAAAATGACAAACAAATTTGTAATGGAGAAACAATGAACATGAGAAACATCGCGCTCAAAGAAACAAGGGCAAAAGAAGAAGGAACACAAAACAGAGAAAGGCCCGTACTCACAACTCTGGTATATTAGGGGAACAAAGGAAAGATGACTAAATCTTGCTTCATCTTTCTTTTCTCCGCCTAATATATTAGAATTGTGAGTACGCACCTGCGTGTGCTTTGTGTTCCTTTCTCTTTTCTCCACGTCTCTTTGTGCGCGATCTTTCATCATGTTCAATGTTTACCAACTCGCCCAGCTTTCCACTTTACTACAATGAAGAAACAAAGCACGGTAGGCAAAAGCTTCTCAAAATTGTCTTGTTAAAGGATTATAAACCATAAAAACAGCTTAATGCTGAACAAAAAAAAATTGTACGCCAATGCTTTACAACCAAACTCCTGGGCATTAACGGGAGGAACAAGAAAATTCCCCTCATTCAAAATTGCTACGCAGTTGGTGTCAACGTGCCTAACTGTATGCGGCAACATTCTGTCTCAAAGTACCTCTCAACTCGAAAGCATTTCTTCTACTATTTAATCGGGTCTTCAAAATTGCTGCGAATGCAGCGAACTCTGTACTTCAGTGAAAACAAAATCAGCGTGCCTTAAAATATAATACGAATAAATAAAGAGAACAGTTGTCCTCGGGAGCGAACTTGTTTCCACAGCTTGTTATCAATGTTTGCATCAAAGTCAGTGGCTGGGAACGTTTTTGTGCAAGCACCAACTCCACCCTCTCACGTCACGCCACTGAGGTGGCGCTGCGGTCGGCTCTGTGCATGTGCAGACACTCACACCTGGTGGGCAGACCTGGGATCGTTTGTGAAGAGCGCGAGGGTCTACAAGAAGTGCGCTCACCTGCAAGAGCTCGGTAATGCAGTCTTTGTCGACAGCCTTGCCGTTGATTCGTGAAACTCGCACAAGAATGGCGACTGCCTCTTTGTTGCGGCCGACCGACACTAACCAACGAGAGGATTCTGGAACCCAGCTTTGGGAGGAAATGGGGACCGAGACACCATATTTAGGAACGGAGATTCCGAGCGGAATACTTAGCGTGTGATGAAACAGAGGATGACTTACAACCGACAGATACTTCTATGGTCAATGACAACCTAATATGTCAGAACACAGCCAATCCTTATTATAACTGTTTACACCTAGAATGTAAATTAGAAATGACCACAACAGCCGATGCCTAAAGTTTCTTGTAACTTTGAACGTACACTGAAACTTTAGCTTTAATATTTTTGCCAGATTATTTGATTCCACGGCAGTGTAATAAACATAAATGGCAATTCGTTAACAAAAAGTGACCCGGTGTTTGTATTTGCTTATATATAATAATTGTTTTTTTTTCTTTTGTTTTGTGCAAAAAAAAAGAGCTTCAGATGACGGCACGCAGTGTGTAATCTTTTTTTTATATTTAAAACAAACGCTATAACAGGAGCCTTTCTTCAATTGTTGTTTTGTCAACTAACTATAGCTATTCTAAAAACCGTACGCTTTTGTATATTAATAGAAATAAGAACGTTATGCGTGATTAAATTATCTCTATGGCTACTGACAGATTATGAAACGCAGGGCATGAAGCCTGAAGATAGACCCTCTACAACAATAATTATCCGAAAAGAAAAAAAACACTAAGCAAGAAACGGGAACATATTGACTGAACCACGGCCTGCGATTCTTCAGCTATCAGTGACCATAGAGGATCGCACTTTTGAAAAATCATTCTTGTTTACCTCCTGCCTACCGCGATTTTATCACAGACAGACTAAATACTTCGCACGTTCCACGATTGATATACACTCTAAAAAAAAGCCCGTGCGTCTGCTTTCACGCACAACACCCAGAGAGCCAATCACCACAGCTTACGGATGCAGCTCAGTGAATGACAATGCCGAAACATATGTTTAGACCAAAAAACGCAGTCTGAGTTGTGACATTAAGCAATGCAAGCGTGACATTTTGCATTGCTTAATGTCACAACTCAGACTGCGTTTTTTGGTCTAAACATATGTTTCGGCATTGTCATTCGCTGAGCTGCATCCGTAAGTTGCGGTGATCGGCTCTCCGAGGGTTGTGCGTGAAAGTAGACGCACAAACTTTTTTTACAGTGTACCGCACGGCAAAAAAGGGGAGCGTGAGTGGCCGGAACGCACTACAAGACGAAGAGCAGAGCGACGTCCATGCAGGCGTTGGTTAGCAGCAGGCCTCTCCAGCTCTGCAGCAGGTACGCGTACCAGGGGTACACGCAGGAGAGGATGGCCCAAGAAGACGCCCAGACGAAAGGAATCAGGGTCCGTCTTTCAGGTATCGTGTACTCCATCACTGCGGGATGCACGAGAGAAGGAAGGAGCGGCCGAGGATAAACTATTCGTTGTTCCAGTAGAGCTGGGAACACCAGTCCTTGTGTATTGTATGTAGGGTGCCTAGATTTCAGAATATTTCCCGTTGCTCGTTTGGGGTCACGTGGTTTATGGGCCGCATTTGCATGCAGTGCAAGCTGCGAGGAGGGTGCAGAAGTGTCGATCGCCTGCAGGCTTCTCCAAGTTCGACTCGGCATCCCTTCCACCCCCCCCCCCCCCCCCCCCCCCCGTTATCCTCCACACCACGCGACAACTCACGCATGCGGTTCGAGTTGTTCCATCTTGTATTATACGACAACTTTTAAAGAGTAGACATTCACATCCCTGGTCATGTTGAGCTCCATAACGTTCCAAGTGTTTTTCTTTTTCTTCCTCTAAGCGGAATTGACGTTGCATTCTACAAAGTTTCGTAAAGCGGCTAATCTCTATATGCAAAAAAAAAATGTAATAATAGTTTTCTTTTTTTAATATTCTGCCTAGAAATTTTGAAAAAAACAATAAAACTGGTTAAGATGGAAACTTGCCATCATCGCTAAAATAAATCGAAAGGCTTTAGCGGTAACATTGCAGTGGCACGTTTAGAAAACCTTGCGATTTCTTTACGACATCATCCGTCCCAGCAATGATATTGTTGTGGCGAAGAAGAGTTTCCAAGGCCAACACGTTAAAAGCGCCGCGTTACGTTTGGCATAAAATGTCCGAAAACGCGCATTTAGAACGCTAATAGAGGATTCAAAGAAGGAATAAAAACACTTAGGGACAAGGACAGACAGCACAGTTCTTTCGTGACAGAACTTTGCTGTCTTTCCTTGTCCCTAAGTCTTTTTATTCTTTTCGATTCTTGTATTTTCCCTAACCCCCTTTTTGTTCTTTGTCGCTAGAAGATAAGTTCAACACAATGAAATGTGACCGGCAGTAAAAATAACAATGTATCACCATATATCTACATCTTTTTTTAGACATACGCACTTGTGAACACCTATAAGCGTTTCAGCACACACTTGTGTTTCTAACCAGGAACAGAAGACAAAGAAAAGCCTTCACGACCACGTTTGTGCGGCCGTGTCTCCGGGAATTCGATCGGCTTACCGACTACAAAGACAGCGGTGCACACCGTGCAGGAGCCCATGCCGGTGAAGTAGCGAGTCACCATGAATCCGACAAGCTCGGTGAAGAAAGTTCCCGCCAAGTTGGCGCATCCGCCGATCACGGTCAAGATCAGGATCATCTTCTTTCGTCCAATTCTGCACAACCGTGGTTACGATCGTTTTATGTACAGTAACGGAAAGCGCGCCTCATTATATTCACGCTCATGGCTTCGTGATTCGTCATTTAATTTTCATTTTCTGATAAACCCGCAATTTGATTGGGCGCTGAGTAACAACAAGATGCTGGGGGAGTCGTGGCGCGCATTAGTGAGGTGCGCGACCAAAAGCGGTCCCTGTGATCGGCATCATTCGTGATTGGCCAAACCTCTGCTTACTCCTGAGTACTGATATTGCCTGGCCAATCGCCGGTTCATGACGAGGCAGATCCTGCCGATTACAGCGAGGCAAATCCTGGTCGTGACGTCACGAACAGAAACCATAAGAGGGCGTCACCGCCACATCCCGGCGCTAATTAGGCTTATCTTCTTAGGAAGTATTGCTGTCGCCGCGCAAGCTGTTTGTTTATTTGTTTTAGTCATACCGGCAGTAGCAACTAACGTTGTACTAAAATAGGTGTTGCAAACACTGCCGGGGAAATGCTGGGCGCCATTCTGACATTGGCAAGTTCGTTATCAAGTTCTTTCTAGCGGCTTTGACTGTATACGTTGTGTTTTAGAGTCGGGAGAAGTCAGCGTAACAACATGGTCACTCTTTCTCACGAAAACACTAATTCTTTTGGCGTGTCATTTTCGGTCTTGCGGAGCCTCTGAATGCACCCCGACCCGTGACGAAAGGAACTATACGAGTTCGCTTAAGTGCATAACCGCCGATCTATATTTAGGATGCTTCGTCAAACTGTGTTCCGCGGTCGGGAATCGCTTGAGACACTCACCTGTCGGCCAGAAATCCTGAAATAAGATAACCGGACATGGAGCCCAACCAGTAGATGCTGTGCACGGCGTACATCTTCCAGCTATCGCTGCACATCCACTGGTTCTGCAACAAAGCACACGCCAACACGAGGAAAAGAATATATTCTCGTGTTACAGTGGCACTGAATGATACCATACAATTCGGAAATAATAAGCCGGGTTCCAGGTTTCTTTTTATTTTTCTTTCCAGTTGGGTGTTGGCTTTATATTTTGTACACATGTTCAAGAAAATAGTGCAGGAACAAAGAAAAAAAAATCCATTCCAGGAATTTTGGCTGAAAGCCCCGCATTATCTCCCCCTCTTCAAACACCCTATCTTCTAACTCCCCTTGCGCACATATTCTGTTACCAATCGCCCAATTTATCCCCACGTCCAACACACCTGTGTCTCTTCCTATGCATTCTTCGGATACAACGGTCAGATTGTTCGATCACGGCAGTTTGATCAAGGGGTCACGGTTCAACACACGAGTTAAGTTTGCACTTGATTAAGAAATGTCTTTAAATACATTTCTTAATTAAGTAATCAGGTAATGTTTCCCTATGAGTCTCTGCTACCAGAGATGAACGTAAAATTCTTAAAAGGGAAAAAAAAAAAGGAAAAGAAAAGAGACGCAATACGTATTGATAAATGCAAATATTGTTTTCCAGCGAACGAACAACACCGACGGAGCGGCAGTTTCTGAAGTTGATGGAGCGATTCTGGGGACTCTAAGTAAGACATGGTTTTAACGAATCGTGCACAAATGTGTGCATTACACGATCCTCGTGCCGGCTCAGAATCACCGCCGGCCAACAGTGCGTCTTGATTAGAAAACGATGTAGCAGGATTGAACAAGTCTGCGCGACGGTCCTGGTGGAAAATATCAGGTTAGCCATGAACGAGATAACAAGATTTCTGAGCAGCGTATGCCAGTATCGCTTGGGTAGGGCAGGGAGGCATCTCTTGACCCAGACAGTCTGAACCGTCCCATTTTCCTTATAGAGTTGGAGGAAGTAGGGACCCGACAATACAAAATTTTGAATAGTCGGAGAAGGTACAACTGGGGTTTTAGCGAAGGGGGTTTTCACACTTGAAAGAAACAGCGCATGACATTTTGGGATTGGAGAACTGTTCAAGCGGGAAACGAGCTACAATCGCTTACAAGCTAGATTGACTTTAGTGCTTTTAAATTTGTTCGCATATGCATTTTATCGAATGTCCTAAATGACACGGTGTTTCATCAGTTATTGAGAATAATTTGAATGAGCTCATGAGTCATTTTTTATCGTCCGTGTAATTATATGCGCGGACGCAATTCTTTCAGAGTTCACGGCGGTGGACTATCCTTTCCGTTAATCATTACCAGTGCTCTGGTCGTTCACAAGTTCACAAAAATAAAAAAAATAATGAAAGGTAACGCTACTTAATTAATTAATATATTAGGCTAATAAAAGTTTCCTACTGTAAAACAACTCAAACTATAATTAGTGCCGCCGGGTGTTTCAAAACCGAAAGATAAAACGCACCAGTGCGGCGCTGTACACCGAAAACAGCAGACTGCTCTTTTCTGTATTCAGTATAATAACAAATAACAAGCGATATTAAACTGTAAAAAACTTTTTTTAAACATACAAGCAACCACACGTTGTGGCAAAAGTAACCCTTTGGGTAACACACACCAAAATATAATTCTTAACCCTCCTTTCCCACGTTCTTACCTCCATGGTTATTGTAGTGAAGAACTCTGTTTTGTCGTATATCCATTCGGAGGGACATTTGACATCGTCCCTCCGCAAGAAGCTTGCGTTTGCGTAATCGTCATCAAGCAGCGAGGTAACCATCTGGCACTTGCCTTTGACCAATGTGGTCAGGTTAGGAAATCCGGACCAAGTGTGGTTAAGGAAGCACCACTGGTTAGGCGGAGGAATCAGGATAAAGAAGTGACTGAGGAAAATGAGCGAGGTATGCCAGGTTCCGAGAACCAGAACCGTCATCATGATGGTCTTGTTGAAGAAACCGAATCCTCCGATCTTGTGTAGGATCTGTTCGAATTCCATCGTGACCGTCCAGTTTGTCGGTTACCCTGAAAGAAACTTTTTTGAGACAGGGGTATAGTTGATTCATCGAAGACTGAAGAACTGAAGAAAAGCTAAAAAAGACTAATAAATAAATTCACTACCGTTAGGATTAGTATAAGGCCTATGGTTTATGCACATGCCTGTCTGTCACTCGAAAGACTGTCACCAAGAACCTTTCTTTGTGTAAGTGGAGCTAACACTGTGGCAGCGTTCTGGCTTTTCATCATTAAACTTTCTACATAGTTTTAAGCGTTCGTTTAGGTATAAAAGCACAAACCTTTGACGGAAACATTGCTCAATTCTTAGACAGTAGAAAGATAGCGTTTGTCCACCGTCTACACTGTCTGAAAGACAACTTGCGCATTTGAATAATTCTGGGGATAGAATGCTGCATTAACACAGCCATTTTCGTAATTTTCTTGCTTTAAGAGCAGGTCAAGTAAGGTTATACAAGTGAAAAAAACACTGGCATCTACATATACACTGTCATTTTAATAATTGGTCATTTTGTATGCTATCCCTAGCATATTCAAATTACGGCCTTGCTGAAGCCGGCTGCTATCTCTCCGTGTGTCGTTATATAGAAACGCATATTTTATCGGCTCAAACCCCAAATCGAAGAATACATAAACCTTCCAATAATCGCCTTTCGCGCTCTGTCTTTTCCGTTTACACTCCGTTCCACATCACGTCTGAGCGCAGCTAGCGCTACAATCTGTCCGAGCCAATCAAGCAGCGAGAAATTAGTATCGTCATGGCGCGGTTCTCGTCTTTGTGCATTTGCTATCATCGGATAAACCAATCACGCGAGGGAAAAAAAATCAGAAAAACAAAAAGCGCGGGATCGCGGTCCATTATTTGCGTGTGATTGGCTTAACGGGTTAAAATAGCAAACGCACAAAAACGAGGAAAGCCGTGACGATGCACTTTTGGCGATCCTGGATTGCTTCCGTCGGATCGTATAGCTTGGACTGTACAGAACGCAAGTTCGTATGCTTTTTTTTTTTTTTTTTTTTTTGCAGGGGTTGTGGTGACGTTAGAATGTCGAGCTTTGATTGGGTCTGATTGAAGGATAGTGGGTAGACCTCAAAACAGAATGATCTGAGGTCTACCCACTATCCTTCCAATCGAAACTAATCAGAGCTCGTCGCTCTGACGTCACCACAGCATCTGCAAAAGAAGCAGACGAACTTGCGCTCCTCATAACACAAAGTCGGTTGCCATTTTGAGTCTAAATAAGGAAGTTATTTTGCGAGATGAGGACCCCCGAGTTTACGGCTTACCTTGTTCGCTGGCAGGAGACGGAGCAACGCTAGGTGGGAGCGTCGGTTTTGGATAGCGTTTTCCTCGTAAGAGACAGTTGAGGATACTGATAACGAGCGAGAACACTGATAGTGGGCGAGTATAGGATTGTCGGAATACAAGCACACCAAAGGAGCTGCGGAGCAATCGTCCGTGCACAAACTGCAGGTAGAATTGAGGATGTACGCGGTCAAAGCCGGCGAGGTGTTGTCTTCTGATCACGTTCGAAACCTAATACTCGCACCCGAAAGAAAGAAAGAAACACGAAAAAAGCCTAGACACCTTTTCCGTCCCGCATCGTCCTTCCATTGTGACTGAGTTTCGAATTGCATGGGAATGCCGCTTGCTGTTTTCTTTCTTTTTGCATTATAGTACAAATAACGTCGTCCTAGCGCTTTGAATACCGGATCGCGCTTTCGTCATATGTCGTGGCCAGAAAACATAGTACGTTGAAATAGCTAACATACCAATTAACAATTCAGCCGTATCGCTTCCTATTCAATGGGTATCTTTCCCTTATCGGTGACGTACGGCGAGGCGAAATTTTCGTTGATACCGCCGAATTCGGGGCAATCCGAGAAATTTAATAAAAACCACTGACTGGAAAAAAATACAGGCAGGTACACTTGAATACAATATGTCAAGACAAATGCATTCATTTGGTTTCGACATCTCAAAAATGACTCGATAGAACTTTTTTTTTTTTCATTTCTGGTGCGAAATGTAAATGCGTGGGCATTTTGAAGGATACGTTCCAGGACAGGCAATCTTAAGACCCACGACACCATTCAGTTTTCTTAGGCTGTAAAGTTTGAACTCGACTTGTAGTGCGCCGGCAGACGATTGCAGATGATGTATTATAATAGATAAAAAGATAAAGACACCGTTATCTTTTTTTCAGTGTTGCCGATTCCTCTTTTATTTATTTATTTTTTCTTGTTATTTGTATCTCGAAACATTCAACAAATGCCGCAAATTGTGCCCCTCCCATACTCTCTAAGAGATCTGAAGCTTCTTCTCCGCACAGCACTTAGGGATAGCCAATCGCATCAACCTACGGTCGGAACTCGTCCATCACGAGACTGAAAAGATTGCTATACTTGTTTTCATATCAAGGACAGTAGCCAAAAAAAAAATCGGACTCTCCGCGGAGCATTTCTAATTTCCGTCTTCATGTGGAGAATTGAGATATATCTAGGTGCATTTTAGATTAGATATGCCTTATCTTATCAAGACGTACACGTTTCGAACGCCAAAAGCATCGCATCTTCCTCCGACAACCAAATCTTGTAAGGACTGCTTCGCGAGGCGCATGAACAATACGCAAAACGTCCTTTTTTTTTTCGTACGAAAACGAGTATGGACTTATGAAATCAGTATGCTCTGTGGCAATGAGCGTGGTGAACAAACATCGTGCTCGGTGTCTTCGGCGTTACCCAACAAAAAAGTAACGAAATACGTTAACCGTTACTTGCAAATAAAAAGAACGCGTTACCATTACCGTTACCTATAAAGAAGTAACGAACGCTACATTTGCATTAACTGAAGAGCATGTAGGTAACATTGACTGGAACAGAAAGAATCAAACTCGGGACAAGGCTACATTTGCTCTGCTTTTTTTATTTATTTGTAAAATAAAACTTTCTGCTGTTCTGATATTCTAGGTATGCCTAAGCGCCATATTTTAAGAAATATTAAGTCCATTCAGAAACTTGACATAGTCACCTTTTTTACAAGGTTCTTTTTTTCTTTTTTTTTACGGAAGGTGCGTGAGATGAGTGCAAGAATTTATGACCAGACACCTAAATACGCGAAAATGATGAAAGTGCAATTTATTTTTCAAGATTCGGGAAGAATCGTAACAAATAACATTACTACGTTACAGGTTACTCGAAATAAGTAACGTAAGTGCGTTACCCGTTACTATTTTAAAAACGTAAGGAGTACGATACTGCGTTACCGGAAAATGTTACACGGTACCTCTAACACCTCTACTTGTAACGCGTTACCGCCAACCAGTGTTGAAACTAGCGACGTTACTGGTAACGCGTTAGTTTTTTGTTTTTTTTTACTAACGCACTAGTTAGAAACTTAAATGACTAACGAATAAAGTAATTTTGTTATTATTTCACGATGTTTTCTATCAAATAACGTTACCCGTTACTCGTTACGCTTGATTAAAAATGGCGCATGATTGTTTGAAAAGAAAATAATTTTTATTGTGTACACTACAAAAAAGTGGCAAAGAAACCCCAGCAAAGCTAAACACTAACGGACTTCAAACCCCTTCGCAAGACACTTTTAATGTTCCCACGACCAGACCCAACGCGAGATTATCCCTAAACCCTAAGCGTCCTTCGTGCAGTCTTTGTATGTCAGCGGTTGAGATCACCGTCGCCGTACCCTGAAGGAGCAGTCGTTTCGCTAGAAAGAGTCATCCGTTCAGAAGGCAACAGTTGCCGCCGCTCGAGGGATTTTCGCTCAGCGTCCCTAGCTACTCCAGCTGGTCACATCCTTGTCTTCACAACAAATAAATTCTCGGTCTGTCAACAACAGGAAGGACAGACTCTAAGTTTGGAAGCGTTGACTTTCCCACGCTTTAAACCAAAACAAGTGTTTCAGCGGTGGCCGGGTGCTGACATGTAGTTATTGGAAATGCGACGGTGGTTTGTGAAGGAATAAAATAACGTTTATTTTAGCGGATTAACTTTGATTGCATTAAGAGGCCTATCTTGCGTCCGTTACGTGGCGTATATCCGGTCGTTCTTTTCAGAGCGGTTTCTTCTTCCCAGGCAGGTGCTATGGGCAAGGTTTCATTCTCCGAATTCCGCTCGCGAAGCGTCACGTGTTCGAGGATTTCATTACACATCCTGCCGAGGCCAGACAAACAAACTGGCCCAGTTAACAAATGACAAGGTTATCGCAGCCTTGAACCGCGACCGTGACCAGAAAGACGTCACATTCTTTCAGAATCCCTGCCTGCTTGTGCTGTTTGTGTGAGTTTCCAACGTATAAATGTGATCTGTACTTCACTCCTCTGCTGTAATGCTCCGGCTCTGTAGAGTACAAATAAATAACCTGCTGCCAAAGTTTATGGATGCGGTTTATTATAAACAGCTGTCATATACTAACATTGAGACACAAAGTAAAGACAAACTAACGTAAAAGTAACGTCCCTTTGTCATGGCAAGTCACGGCACCGCTATTTCGTTACATTTGCAAAATGGTAACGGAGCTCTGTAACGCGTTAACTTTTTTCAAGCTAACGAATAACGCTATTTCGTTACTTATTTTCGGTAACGGGCACAACACTGCCGCCAACACTTGCATGCTCAGTGCCAGAGTACAGGCTTGTTTTTTGTAGGTCTAAACATATTTTCAGCATCTTCATTCGCCTAGCTCGTAGATCGTTAGATTGTTCCGATTCCATTCCCCAATTGATGAACATGTTACTTTTTTTGCCATATGTTTCAGTTACGTTTACTAACATAAGAAGTGTTATGAAAAACCAGATCAGCTTCACTCTGTTGAAAGCTCAACGAACGCAGGCCTAATTTTTATTGCGGAAACATGGCCCAGTAAACATGTCTGCAGCTCTGAAATTTCCAAGGCGATAAAACATATAATGTATATCGCTTTGACAGCGACGGGAGACACGGGGGTGGCACACTCATAGCCGTATCACAGAGCATACCTGCCTTTTGCGTAGATGTTGCTTCCGATCTAGAAATGGTGTGGGATTGTATCACTTTAAACAACGCAAGAATTTTACTGGGTGTCTGCTACCGCCCCCCAAACAGCGCCGCGACATTTATTGATGATTTACATGCCGTTATGAATTTTGTTATTTTTCAGTATCCTAGTCCTCATATTTTTATTAGGATATTTTAATTTCCGTGATATTATGTGGTCTGGCCCACCTCCTTTTCAACCTGTTTCAGCTCAGAGTCAGCAATTTTTGCATCTGTGTGAGTGTTTTCATTTGACACAGCTGGTAACCAAACCAACAAGGTATGCCAATGATACAGCGAACATACTTGATTTAATTTTGTCGGCACACCCTGAACTTCCATCTTCCCTTACGTATCTTTCAAGCTTAAGCGATCACTCATTGTTAAATTTTGATCTCAGGTTCTCCCCCAATCAATATTGAAAAAGTGAAGCTTATTTCTGACTTCAATAAAGCCAATTTTGATCTTATTAACCAAAAACAGTGCAGCTACCTGGACATATATCTGCCACGATTTTATCAACGAAGCGTGCAGGAAAGTTGGATTTTTTTTTTTTAAGTGAACGAACTGATTGATGCGCATGTGCCCGTCGGGTTTATTCAATCTGATGCTAAAGCACCTTGGTATATTGATACCCTAAAACGTATTTCCAATAAAAAACCGCGACTTTTTCGTTCAGCTAAATTATGTAACACGACTGGTCGGTGGGAAGCATACTTTGCGGCTGAGGCCGAATATTCCCAAGCTGTATCTGACGTCAAAGAAAATCTCCTTAAGACCAGTTTACCGAATGTGTCGTAAATCACCCCAACAAGTTCCGGAAGACTGTTAATATGAATGAAGACGGCTTAATTTCTCTTAGCGATGGTCTGGTGCGTTAATCCCTCCGGCAGAATATTCATCAGTGTTTATTATTTTTATTTTTTCATATAGTTTTTTCAGTAGGTGATGGAAATGTATTTTATGAAGTTCCACGTTGTGAGTTTAGCCCAAAGTTTCCCATTGCCATGGAGCCTACTGGAATTGTAAAGTTAATTGAATTTTTGAAAGTAGCATCGTCATGTGGACGCTAAGATATTACCTCAAAATTTCTAAGACAAACTAAAATGTACTCATCCTTGGAAAACTGCGAAGGTGGTTCCACTGCATCAGTCCGGTAGCAAGCATTCTCCATTAAATTATCGACCCATTTCACTAACAAGTATTTCCTGTAAAATCATGGAGCACACACTGTACTCTCATATTTTTAATTACCTTGAATCAAATTCATTTTTCGCTCCTGCTCAACATGATTTCTGTCGCCCATTTTTTTTTTTGTGAAACGCAGCTGCTTCATTTCACCCATTCTTTGCACGCTATACTGGACAAAAACCACCAGGCTGACTTATTTTTCTCGATTTTTCTAAAGCATACGACAAGATTAATCATAAGTTACTAATGCTTAACATTTCTTCATTAAACCTAGACCCTAATTTGTCAACCTGGCTGGGATGCTTTCTTACCAATTGCTCAAAATATGGAACTCTAAATGGAATTAATTCATCCCTGACTGATGTGGTATCGAGCTTACACCAAAGTTCGGTTTTAGGCCAGCTTATTTTTCTAATATTCATTAATGATTTACCAAGTTGTGTTTCTTCCTCTATGCATTGATACGCGGATGGCTGTGTAATTTATCGGGAAGTTCATGATGATGACGATGAATGCCTTTTGCAATCTGATTTAAATAATATTACTCTTTGGTGCAAAAAAAAAATGGCGTATGGAACTAAACCCTAACAGATGCAAACCAATGCTGGTTTCCCGGCAAGGCGCGCGCCCTTCAGCATATACACTAACCGACATTCAACTTGAATCTGTAAACTCATATCGTTATCTGGGTGTTACTGTATCATCGACTTTAACCTGGAAACCTCATATAGATATAATTATCGCCAACGCTTACCGCATGTTAGGATACCTACGACGGAACTTCAGAACGGCCCCAATTAACTTAAAACTTCTTCTTTATAACACTCTTGTAAGGTCAAAATTAAAATACGCAGCCTCTATTTGGGATCCTAACCACGCCTTTCTACATAAAGCTCTCGAACTAGTTGAAAATAACGCCGTTCGTTTCATTCTGTCTAATTGTGATCGAACAGCCAGCATATCATCAATGAAGTTCAGTTTGTTGTTACCCCCTTTGTCATTGTGTAAAAAGTTTTTTCGACTTTGCCTGTTTCATAAAGTGTATCATCATCGGTCGCTGCGATACCATTTTTTTTTACATTGCCTAACTATTGCTCTTCCCGTCTGGACCATCACAATAAAGTTGGATTAACACGTTGCCAAACGAACAGTTGTTTTTATTAATTTATCCCGCATACATCAAATGACTGGAGCCACCTTCCACCAGATATCGCAACTATTCCTGATTATTTTCTTTTTCGCTAATCTTTGTTTACATTTCGGTTTGATGAGCCGACATGAGACATTTTATTTTGTTTATTTTGTTTGTAACAGATGTTGCTTTCAGCTTTTGCCACTCGGAGTGTATTTTTGATGTTTGAATTTCTTGCAGCATCTTTTTTGTTTTGTCATTTTATTTTTGTTTTTGTTTGCTTTACCGCTCTCCTCTACAGTGCTTCGGCGCATGAGGGTATGTACAATAAATAGATAAATAAATAAATAAATACGTGATTTTCGGGGAAGCAGATGCTCCAAATTTTTTTAAGTGCATGCAGGAGTTAGCTTCTCGCATATGGAAGAGGATCTCTTGTTAACTCATGGGCATCAGTGTTGCCATATAATGAAAAGTGCTGATTGTTGAACGAGTTGGTATTGTACAGAAAACATGATTGCGCTTTAATAGAAGGACAGAGGAAGAACAAATTTTTAAAAAAAGAAGAGCAGAACTTTTTTTTTAAGATTGGTAATGAAAAATGAAGGACATTTACAATTCTCTGTAATGCCGAAATAGAGCGCAGCTCTTGAGGAGGAAGAGGGGAGGGAAAGGAGGGGAGGGTCACGTGTGACGTCACAAGGGTAAAATTTTCCCGCTAAGTTTGTCAAGAAATTTTTCCGCTAATTTTAGAGAAAACTTCCCGCTAAATTTGGTGAGAAATTGTTCCGCTAAATTTTGCGAGAAAAATTTTCCGCTAAATTTTGCGGGAAAATTTCTTCGCAAAATTTAGCGGAATAATTTTCCGCCAAATCTAGCGGGCAAATTTCCCCACCAAATCTAGCGGGAAACGTTTCCCGCTAAATTTAGCGGGAAATTTTTACGCCAGTGACGTCACACGTGACGTCACGTATGACATCGTTATGGGAGACGTCCGATAATGCAACGCGCTGTTACGCCGACGTCGACGGCGACGCCGCTCAAGCCAGAAACAAACGGTTAAAAGCTACGCTCTATTTTTTTTTTTTTTTCTGAATAGCTTGTTACCGGGGTATATTTCAAAGCACATTCTGCGTTCGACTGTTGTGAAATTTGTCTTGGCTACCCACGTAGAACTATCAAGACTGCAGTATAGTTTCGAGACGCCTATACGTTATCTTTATTCCAGTATATCTTTTCCTCCTGCAGTGTCAAAAGTAAAAAAGTGAAAGACTTACAAATCTCTGTAATGCGAAAATCGAGCGTAGCTCTTGAAGAGGAGGAGAGGAGGGACAAAGGGGAGGATATGCCCCTCCTTCTCTCCGCACCCTCTCCTCCTCCCCTCCTCGTCTTCTACTCCTTCTCCTCCGATTCGGTTTTCCCTCTAAATCTTGCGGGGAAAATGACGTCACATGACTTGGTGTCACGTCAACTAAGAACAAATTCAGTTCTTCCGCTAGATTTAGCGGGAAAATTGACGTCACGTGACCTCAACACCAATTCGATTCCCCGCTAAATCTAGAGGAGAAACTGAATTTCCCCGCTTGAATTGAATTGGTGTTGAGGCCAAGTAGCGGAGAATATAATTGGTGTTAAGGTTACGTGACGTCAATTTTCACGCTAAATTTAGCGCTGTCATGCCGACGCCGACGGCAACGCCGACGCCGCTCATCCAGGAAAAGGGCGCCTAAGAACTGCGCTTTAAAAGGGCTTCGCTATCTTCTTTGCTCAAAGCTGTAATTGCTGTGACATTTTCAATTCGAGGCCGTTTGATTTTGAGGAGCGATTAGCCTATGGAATCCTTTCAGCGTATTTTTTCAGAAACCTACCTACGTTTACAATGAGCATTTAAGATAAAATGAGAACAACGAAAATTGCTACCAGCTTCTCTGAGGCATGACTGTGCGCAATGAACGGCAACCAACGACAATCGGCCTAAAGAGAATTTATTGCACTCATTCATCTCCATTCCTGTAACGCTACAAAGCAATCAGCGGTCTTAAAATAATTAATGGTTTCCTGTCTTCTTCGCTCATATAAACGTTTCAAGAATTCTTTCGGCGGTCAGAGTAGCAGAAGAAATGGCACTGTCGATCCCATCCGTTTTCTTGGCTGCATTTTTAGCACCCGCGTGCTCTCTTGCCAGACTGAATTCCGGCACTGGGTATGTCACGGTTGAAACCTCAAGTGGACATGTCAGAGGGTTCACCGAAGACGTGGACGGAGTTATGATAGACCAGTTTCTTGGAATTCCCTACGCAGAACCGCCAGTGGGAGAGCTCCGTTTCCGCAAGCCTGTGCCATCCAAACCTTGGTACCCAACAACCCTAGATGCCCTTGAGTTTGCGAGTCCCTGCGCTCAGGCCAACGGTTCTATGCCTCCAGCACCGTGGCTCGTGGAAAGAGAGAAGATCCGGGAGGATTGTCTCTACCTCAACATCTGGACTCCGATGGAAAGAACCGTGGACCTCGGTGTTCTTGTGTGGTTCCATGGAGGGGGATTTAGAACAGGAACAGCATCCTCACCACTTTACAACTCCAAGAAGCTAGCCGCTGTTGGCAACATCGTGGTCGTCACGGTGAACTTCAGGTTAGGATTTTTAGGTTTCCTTTATACCGGTCCAGGAACGTCAACGGGGAACTACCTGCTGTGGGACCAACATCTGTGTCTCCGTTGGATTCAAGACAACATCGCCCGTTTCGGAGGCGACCCCGGCAGAGTCACCGTTTACGGTGAAAGTGCGGGGTCCATAGGCATCAGTTCGCTGCTCCTGTCGCCAAGAAACACGGGACTGATTCATCGTGCCATAATGGCGAGCGGAAGCAATCACTGGCTACAGCCGCCGCAGAACAAAGTGGGACCTGCTTTCGTGGACAGGGTGGCGAAAGCGGTAGGCTGTCTGACTCGTTCCTACCCATCGTCAAAAAGCCATCCGGCTGAAGTTGTAAACTGTCTCCGGTTCGTTTCCGTCGAAGACCTTATGCATGCGGAGGATACAGAGTTCATGGATCAGCTCGTGCCCTTCTCGCCCGCCCACGGAGATGACTTCCTTCCCATCCCGGAGTTGACGGCCATCAACAAAGGACTGATAATACCGCTGGAGAGCTTGATGACAGGTCTCATGACAGAAGAAGGAAGCGTCTTCGCCTACTTCAAAGATCCCGTGCTTCTAGGGTCCCAAAATGCTCCCAAGTTTACCAGGACGCAAGCGTCCCAGTTTGTGGGAAAACACTACCTCAACTTTCTGCCTACCACGACCCAAATGATGGTCAACGGCGCCTTCCAGCAGAAAGTTCGAAGTGGCTCGGATTGGACCGGCGTCTGGCGGTCGGTTGTGGATTCTATCGGTGATTTCGTCATCAATTGCCCAACCAAATTCTTCGCTGAAGCCTTCGCCAAGTTGAACCGCCCCGTGTACTTTTACGTTATCGACTACCCTTCGAAAACCTGGCCTGCCTGGTTTGGGGCAACGCATTTTGAGGAACTCCAGTTCGTGTTCGGAATGCCCTTTCGCTTTCCAGAGAGGTACACGGAAGAAGATCGGGCACAAAGCATGCATCTAATGAAGATTGTCAGCTCATACGTCAGCAACGGGTGAGTATATACTATACTGAACTATTTTATTGTGGCAATATTGAAACATTGACGTGACAACGAACGGTGGCTGGAATAATAATTTATATATATAACTCTTGGGAAGTATAAGGTGTGGCAGTAATTGATGATGGGCTGACGCCCAGTCTTTTTCAACAGAATGTTTGAAACTTACCTCATATAGCTTTTCTCATTTATTTATTTATTTATTTATTTATTTATTTATTTATTTATTTATTTATTTATTTATTTAATTATTTATTTATAACATACTGCAGGCCTTTTGAAATGCCCATGCGTGTGTGGGGTACAGTAGACATTCAAACCATCATTACACATGGCTATCATAATTATTAGTAATTGACATTTTCACAATTAACAATCAACGGCAGAAAACGTTTGTACAATATATGTTCAAAGAGATTTACAACACAACAGCACTATGGCAATACCTAAAAAGGATGATCATCGAGTGCTTTATAAAAATTAGAGGCTGTGAATATATTGTAAGGGAGGATGTTGCAATCTGATATGGTGCGTGGAAAATATGGAAACTTAATAATGTAAAGGAGGTAAAATAGGAACAATCTCTTGGACGTCTACGAAATAGTCTACGAAACAATATACTTAATTAACATCTGATTTTAAAAGATGGCTATATTGAGGACACATACTATCTTCGTGTGATTTTTTTTTTTTTTTTTTGCGTCACTAAGCAATTAGAAGGTGGACTCTCCAATCTTGTACTAAATATTTTTGTACCAGCATCACCTGACTCGACGGCTATCATACTCAGCCTTTTAAAAAACGGAGGTGGTTTTGAGTATAAAATCGCGTCACTGCCAAGCCAAACTGATCCTTCGACTCAACAACGCTCTGCCGAAGATGATCCTTGTTTAAGTGGAAATTCGTCGCATTTAGTCAACCATTGCTACTTTTTTTTTTTGTAACTCTTTACAAGTGCGGAGCGAAACTGTGATTTTGAGTCAGTCACTGCGATTTGTCACAAGGTGACATATTTACATTACGATGTTTCGACGTCCGCAGGAAGCCCGAACTGCCGGACGGCATGGAGTACCCGGTGTTCACGAAAGAACAGCCCATGCACGTGATCCTCAACGCTCGCAACACCAGCGTCGGTTCTGCGTTCCACGAAGAAGGTTGCAAGGTCTACCGATCGATCTACCAGATGCTCGGCGTCCCCACACCTTAGATTACTTATTCCTTATCACCCTAACCGCAGTCAACTCATCACAAGAAGACACTTACTATGTAGAGCCACCAAAAGTTCACAAAGTGCAGCGCTACACAGTGCTTGCTGCCTAATTGTTCAGGGTAACCAACTTGTTCGAAACTACAGCACGTAGTTAGAGCCCACTATAGTTATAGTGGCTGAAAGGACGAGAACGGCAAGGCGTCTCTTTTAGAAGCCCGGCCTCCAACACGTGCTCCTTGCCCTCCGCCATGCTTTGACTCCGCATGCATGCTCGAAACTCAAAAGACGCTTAAGTGTCATTCGTGGTCGAAAACTCGCCGGAGGCGGGACAAGTCAGAAACCTCCATGCCGTTCTTATTCTATAAGTGACTATAGTTTTTTACTGCACCTACACATGGCACCTATAGTGCTAGAGTCAGCCCGTGCTCGTATTAACAAGCTTCGTATTTGCAAAATTTGCTTTTACGATGTACCGTGATACGGGAACGTACTAAAAAAAACTTCTTAATTTAAGATTGCATAGTTGATTAGAAACAAACGTCAGTAATAAAGGTCACTCTTAGACGTTGCAGTTTGTATTTCTCTGTCGACCCGGAGATACCATCCGGGAGTATTACAATAACTCAAGAAGCGGCTTGGTAGTTGTGTCATTTTGAGGTCGAGACCTACCTCTCGAAGTCGAGGGACTTATCTGAGTGGGTCAGACCTATATGGTTTCCGATACTGTTACGATGATTTTCAGATGCCAGAGGAAAAAAAAAATAAAAGGTCCTGAGACGTTGACTATGAAAAGAAGGTGTCGGATGGGTTTGCACATTGCGAATAGAGTAACCCAATGGATACTTGGTTCATCGCTTGGAACACACGTACCAATTATCCTGATTGTACACATCTCTCCAATATTAGTTATACTCGAGGTGGGTAGATATTTGAAGGTCGCGAATAAGTATAGTATGGATAACTCACCATTTAGATCGAAAGTCCAATAGAATGGAGGTTTTCCATATTTGAGCGCTTTCCCAAATATCCAATCATTTTCAAGTTACATTGAGCGGATGATTTGAAGCCGTTGAGTGCGCTTGCCCTACTGCCCACGCGAACTGCGGAAAATCAAAGCTCACACAGGCCGCTTTCCTTTTATACAAAGCGCAACCACCTTTTCTCTCCGTCGTGCTTTCACTGTGCGTGCACGCCCGAAGCACACAATATGCCGCAGGCGTGCAAACTGAAGAACCTCCTCTCCGTTCGCACCCTATCGGCGTCTGTAGGTTCGGTATCACTTTTCACTCATGCCGTATTCTACATAAATGGGTGTTCTACTCACACGTGCTTGCCCCGTTCATAAAGCAGTAGGACAAGTTGAACATTAATTGTCACCCAATTAGGAAACTATCACACGAATCAGGAGAGTGTGTGGAGCTTGCGTTATGCTCTGACTATATGAACGAGCTGAATGCAAGGCATGCACCTAGAAAAAATATGACTGACCTCCTTGAGCACCGAAGTATTCTTTTTTCTTGCTTTTTTTATATAAGTACTTATTTGCTGATAGGAATAAAACTCAATGACAAATTTCCGTGGCATTTCTCAGGAGAAAAGAGTGCGAATGCACAGCTTTGATCGCCGCTCAAGCTGCGCAAGCGCACGGGTTGCGGTACCTTTGACTATACATTGTCGCAGAACGTTTTCATTTATATTACCGAATTGTTGAATATAAATTAGACCCTGCTTTTGGCATACACTTCGAGCCTGGAACACTGTTAATAGGGTTTATTTATTTATTTATTTTATTTATTTAGGAATACTGCAGGCCAATTGCGGCCCAAGCAGGATTGGAATTACAAAAGTGGAGTAAAAAAAAAAAAAACGCAACACCAGGTAATCCGTAAAATGAAAGAGGGGAACAGGGGAAAATTATGCAAAAATTGTAATAAAGCACATGTAATAGCTCACAACAAAGTTGGGAGGGGTGGCGGTAGTGGGGAACAGGAAAATAAAACACAATGCAAAGAGTTACACATCAAACAAACACTCAATCGACTCCAAAACATTGTCAGATATAAATATGTGATGAGGTAGGTTGTTCCATTCTGTTATGGTTCTGGGAAAGAAGGAGTATTTAAATGCATTTGTTCGAGCGAATACTGGAGTTATTTTATGCGCATGGTCATGCCTCGTGCGCCTAGTCGAGGATGGGTGAAGAAAGGACGACGATTCAAGCCGGCGTTTTTTAAACCAGAGTTGATAAAGAAATTTTAGTCTAGCTAGCTTCCTTCGTGATTCAAGAGAGATGATGTTGTTACTTTGAATTAAGGCAGCAGGTGAGTCATGCGGGTGGTAGCGACTAAATATAAAACGAGCTGCTTGCTTTTGAACATCTTCCAATATCTTGATATCTTTTTTTGTGAATGGATCCCAGACTGTACAGGCGTATTCTTTTTTGTTCTTATCAATGTGTTATAGGCTAAAAGTTTCACATGAGAAGGCACGTGCTTAAGCTTGTGCCTTATCATACCTAGTTTTCGACGGGCAGCTGCACAAACGTGTTCAATGTGTGAGGACCAAGATAAGTTGCTAGAAATCGTTATACCAAGATATTTAAAGCGCATCGTCCGAGAGATGTAGTTATCACCAATAAAGTATTCATACTGATGAGAGGACTTTTTGTTAGTGATGCGCATGTACAAGGACTTTTCTTGGTTAAGCTTCATCTCCCAACGATCGCACCAGCTAGATACTGCATTAAGGCTTTCGTTCAGAACAACTTAGTCCCTAGTAGAGTTAATATCCTTGAACAATAGACAGTCGTCCGCAAATAAACGAATACTCACGCTTTTATCTATACAAAAAGTGAGGTTATTAATAAAAATTGAAAAAAGAAGAGGGCCAAGGACACTCCCTTGCGGAACACCCGAAATTACAGGAAGAGGATCAGTATGGTGACCGACTACATCGACGAATTGTTTTCGCATTTGAAAATAAGATGAAATCCATTGAACAACTGTGCTGGGAAGGCCAATCTCATTAAGTTTGTATATAAGACCGGAATGAGGAACTCTGTCGAAGGCTTTGCTAAAATCAAGGAAGATGACGTCGACTTGACCAGGCCTATCTACTATAGAAGCAAAAGAATGAATAGTTGAAATGAGCTGAGTAGTAGTAGAAAGTCCCTTTCGGAACCCATGCTGAAAAGGTGAGATTATTTCATGTTTATCGAGGAAATCATTGATGTAATTAGAAATTATATGCTCTAGTAGTTTACACGAAGAGCTGGTGAGTGAAATTGGGCGATAATTTGTTAACATTGTACGGTCTCCTTTTTTAAAAACGGGTACAACCCGAGCAATTCGCCAATCTGACGGAACAACGCCACATGAAAATGACATCTGGAAGATAACAACAAGGAATCTAGAAATCCACTCAGCGTAACGACGAAGAAATGCATTTGGTATATCATCAGGACCATTTGACGATTTAGGTTTGAGGTTAAGTAGCATAGAAAAGATACCTTCAAATGTGATGAACTCTGAGCTTATTTCAGTTTCTTCGTTAAAGGAGGAATGTCTAGTGTAAGACTTCGAGAACACTGACTGAAAGAAAAGATTAAACTCCGTAGCTATTTGTTGTTTGTCGTGAATCAACATTTCCCCAATTTTGACATAATCGACAGTTTTTTGTTGATTTGAGCTGAGGTGTCGCCAGAACTTCGCTGGATCTGTCTTAAGGAATCGTGCGAGTGTATTGGAATGATAGAACTGTTTACTTGTGCGAATTTTAGCTGCTAGTGCTCGCTTTAGGCAGGGGAGGGAGGAACTGTGAACTCGACTTCTACGGTTTCTTCTTACTTTCCGTACTAGATGAATTATTTCGCGTGTCATCCAGGGTTTTTTGCGGCGCACATATTTACTTTTATTAGGAATAAAGTTTCGAAGACAAAAATGACAGATTGATTTAAATTTATTCCATAAATAATTAACGTCGTTCCCAGAAAATGTATCTAAGGATAACTCAAGGTAATCTAGAACAGATTCGTCATTCGCCCTAGAACAGTCTTTAATAGTTTTGCGCTTCTGGGCCACAAAATCATCCGAGCTGCCCATGAGGCAGGAGAGAGAAACAAGCTTATGGTCGGACAACCCATCCTCCACTGATACCTGTACCTCAGACAGAGACCTACTATAAAGGACAAGATCTAAAATGGACGATGAATCACCCTGGACGCGTGTGGGTGCATTAACTGCTTGAGAAAGGTCACAGGCAAACGCAATGTCGAATAGGAGTTTGAATCAAATTGCAATGCGTCATTCACAGACTTCACAGTGCTAAGGAAATTCGCAACATACCGGCTCTTTTCCCAGTGTTTAATCTAGAGACCGACGCACCACTGTATTATTTAAAACAGTATCCGCACAACAGTAATCACTTGCGGAGCGAACGTTTCAATAGTTTTTTCTAAGCTTGCAACCGACAGCTGAAGGTTGTTTGTTTGCCAGCTGTTTGCGCCATCTGTTGCTCGTTGTTTTACGGAGTTTTTAAAGACGCATATCTAACAAACTACTCCGTCAATAATACCTTCATTCTGGTAGTTTCAACACGGGAATCAAAAAATGTTGCAACTTGACCGGGTGTCTGACCTAGTCAAGGCACCATGTGGTGAACCACCAGAATAACTTTTGCAACTATGCTGACGGACTCTGATCAAACTATATCTTTGAATTCGCTTAACAGGAGTTAACTCTTACGTCATGCGAAAAAGAAATTCATGGTAGCATTGGCCTGTTCCCATGCGTCTATCTCAGCCATCATAGGGGTAGAATTATTGAAATTTAGACCTATCATATACTCGTCAAAAGGCAAAAATAATATTTGGTGGACATAAGAAAATTTTTTGAGGATAAATAAGAGTTCATTTTTCTGACCAAAATGGTACGTATCGTCACTCCACTCAGCTGCATCGAACAAATTAAACATACACAAACTATGTTGCCATGTTGGCACGACATATAGTATGCCGTGATTACAAATAATGCCTATTTCTCATAAATAATTATTAAACTGTTAGTTAAGCATGTTAAATCTGTTGATCTTATAACTTCACTCTTCATCGCAATTCAAAAGTAGTATCATGAGCGCCATTCCCGAGAGGATCCGCTGTTGATCACCAGATGGCGACACTGTGTTATGTATTGGACGTTTTGCGTTGTACCTGGCCCGAATAAAGTCAAGAACAACAATATCTTACTCAGTTAATAATAATAAAAAAACGACAATCCGTTTTTCTAAAATTATTTAGAAAAAACGAGATATGCTGAAATTATTTTTGATACGTTCATGCAGGGTTTACGAGGAGGATAACCTTCGAATAAGTGGTAATAATGTCGACTTTGCTCGTTTTTAAAATATAACCCGATTTTGAGGGGTTCTCTTTAAAACTTCAGTTTGTGTACTAAAATCAGCCCGTAGTAGAAGCTCAAAAAAAAAAAGATTGCATCTTTTTTCGTTCAAAACGACCTGGCAATTTGCTTTACCAAGATACCAGTTTGAATCGGCTAACTACTCTTACGTCCCTTGAGTCGCAAACTTTATTGCCCGACCACGAAAACCCTCAATTTGTTATTCTGCTGCATTTTACAACATGTAGTAATCCTAGGTCAACGTCTATAAAGTGTAATAGGCAGCGGTTTAGTCCCTTTCGTTTGTTCGTGCTTTATAGTACCATATACAGTGCGCGGTCGTTATCTCCAGCAATGCCACAGCAACTGAACGACCTGAAACAGCACAAACAATCTATGTCCTATGTAGTTGAATCGACATCCGATGATATGCTAGAACGTGTCAGGTCTGGATAGCACTGTACAGCTGTCTAGATGTCACCCGTGTCACCAATGACGCCAATATTGGACATCTTTAATGTGTGAGCTAAACTGCGAAGGTTCTTGTCTTTTCGTACCATGACGGTTGTCTGTTCCTCTAGGAATAAATCGGTTTCACTTCTTCGTCACATATAATTTTTAGTAACCCTGGGTGCCTTATATCTTGACGGACGCCGGGGCCGTCCTGATATTTATCAGATTAAGGTTAAGAAGTACCCTCACAACCGAAATCTAGTTTGATCGCAAAAAAAGTATATCGAACGCTTTTGGTCAGATAACGTGTGGGGAGCACCAAGAAGTTCACGATAAAAAAAAAAAAAAAACATAAAATAGGTGAGACAGATTGGCGTACGGGTTCAATTAACAACCAAAGTGTGCAGAAGATTAAATGGTGGTGGATGGAAAGGAGAGGCGTGACATGCATGTGCTTCAGTTTTCGAAAATCAACGCGCCTAAAGCGTCTTCAGGTTTTCTGTAACTTATATCACTCACCTTTCATTGGTAACTCCTCCTGGTTATTGGTGCAGCCTTGTATCACTCACCTGTCGTTTTTTAACTCCTTATTTTACTTTTTGGCGTAAACCTTGTATCCCTCACCCTTTCTTGGCAACTCCTGATTTTACTTGTTCGTGAAGAGTTACCACATAACGTTTGTTTCTTTTGCAGTTACTTTCCTTTCTTTATTTGTTTGACCCCTTCCGTGAAAGAGCATACCAGTGTAATTCCCTTATCTATATTGTTCCCATTCTTATTGTACGTCCGCTGAACGTGCACACCACGGACTACAACATATAAACAAAACAATTAACCACAACAAAGAAAAACGAGATGGTCAAGCATCCTTCAAATTAAGACAAACGCACAAGTCGGTTTAACTGCTTGCTTACATTGAACCGGTTTCTTGCAATCGAAATGACCACCAATCTAATTTCAAAAAAAGAACGCTCTCAAAACTGTGGACTCAAGCCATAGTGGCACAATAGCGTCTGCGCATTGAGGCACGCTAACCTGGACTAGGACAATAGTACCCAACCACCTTGACATTCTATTCCTTTGATCAGTTTCCAATCGTTATATCGCCTGCGCTCTTGCATAGTCAACCATTTTAGAAGAAATAAACGGACATTTGTTTTAATGCTTTTACAGGGTTGTTACCTTTCGTGACAGTATCAAGCATGAGTTAAAGTTCGTGCTGTCGGATTCCCTGCCCATTCAGATCTGGATAAGCATCGTCCTGGCATGCGTTCGTGTAGACTCTAGTGTGGGATGCTTGTTAAAAATTCACAGGTCAGCAGTCTTACTGCTTTGGCCGCATTGCTCCTGCACTTTGCAGATACTAGACGCCACCGTAGGCAAACTAACAGCCCCTGGTGTCTAAACATCCACACTGCGAATTTGACTCCTTCGCATTAAAGTATACTATCCCTAGTATGGCCCTACAGCATCAGTTTTTACTTTATTCACTTTAAATAGCTCGAAAACCACCCCTTCTTTCGGTGCCTGTATTGGGCAGGAGATCGAACTATAGGGGGCGCTCTGACCCGTTTGTTTTTCCCACGCTCGGTGTTTACTCAACACAAGGCCTGTACACATGCCAAGAGGCCTTATAGGCATGGCCATGTCATCTTCTACAATAGAGCGCGGGGCACAGTTTAATGTAAAAAATACTAACAATCGACGAAGCGACGTTAACCGCCGAATTCAGGAACCTCACTCAAACTACACTCAAACTGAAGGGCCCCTCCACTTCCTCGAGGAAGTGGAGGGGCCCTTCAGTTTGAGTGTAGTTCGAGTGAGGTTTCTGAATTCGGCGGTAAGTGCCGGATCTGTCTTCTGAGAATGCGAGCTTGACCCACTTCGGCTTTTCTGCTAAGCTGGGATCGTGCATGCTGCATTGTTCATGCAGGCCGTCGTGGAAACAAAAGAGCCCCTCCTCCCCCTCACCGGAGAACATGAACTCCAGTCGAACGCTGACGCCGCGTTCGGTTATGTCGGCCGAGCGCGGCGTCATTGTATTTGTTGTCCCCATCCGTGTAGTTGACAAGTTAACCGCTTGGGGCGTAACGGTCTGTCCTCCTCCCCAATAGAATGCATCTTCGACCGGTTTCTTTGGCGTTCCGTGTTCCACCCACATATATTGAAATTGGTCTCGAAGAGGCAGACTAACTACGTCACAGTAGACGGTGTGCTATGCTCTCGAAATGTTGACATTCTTTGTCAAGTAAGACCTGGCAACAGTGTGCGAGGGAACGCCAAGTGTCGCTTTCGTCGGGTGCCGTCCCAGTTCGTGGCTGCTCAAGTTTCCGTGGACTGTAGAGTTGAATAGGGACCTGCAGCAGAACGGGCGCGTCTGCCGTGTCCACCCCCGGTCTTGTGCCACTGCCATGGAGGATGGCGGAGGGCGACAGCATGGTACTCGTATGACGGTATCAGGCGGAACTTGAAAGACCGCCAAATGGAGGACGAGATAAAAACACACCAATCGGACACACGTTCAAGAAACACCACCTGGAAGCCAAGGCCTGCCGCCATGCGCGTCTTGCTCCGTCTCAGAACGAGCACAACGCCGGCACCCTGCCACACCAAAACTATGGCACCATGAGCTTTGCGGCGATTTCCGCTTGGGGCGGTTCGGGGCTTCACTAATAATGACGACGCGCGCAGGCCTTGTCTTCTGGGTTATATTTGGTTCCGGGCGCCATAAATGAAATGTATACGCCCATGTAGCAGCAGGCACGTGCACTTAATTGAGTTGATTCATGTTTCTGTCATTGATGATCGAGGCTAGGTGATTAGCAGATGGATGATGTCCCCACATCAGTTAAGACCCAATGGGCCATCCCGTTACCCAAGTCCTTGTCACCTTGGGGTATACTTTCTTTGGCACGCAGCATATTCATAATTTCGTCCTTTTTTTTGTGGTTTTGTTAAAGGTGAGACGTAATGCGACCAGGCTTGTCTTCCTCTGCATCTTGCTTGCCATTCGCTTTGCTGCGAGGAAACAGACATACAATTACGCTCACTACAGTTAATTTTTTTTTGCGTGCAATTTGCGACAATGAAATTTTTGCAAAACTCCCGTCAAACAACATTAAATGTCGCTACCTTTTAGGCGTCTGCTAGCTTTTCAAAATAATTTGTACTTATGATTCTGCAAATACTTGGTGCTCACAAGGTGAGCTATTGTGAGACTTGGATACTAATTCTTTCAATGGTTTCACGTTTATTTAAGTAAATGCTCGAGGGTAACTTTCTCTATTCATATCATTATACGCCACTTCCGAGCGTATGCCTACAACAGGCTGACAAAAGAAGCACCTTTTAGGCATTAAAGTATTCCGATGCTTGTCAAGGAAGGTCCTAACGCGTCTATTAAATACAACAAAATATCAACTGAAATAAATGCGAATATTAGCCATTACGCACTGTAGTGTACGATCTGTCTTCAGCAGCTTAATCTCGACAAGCTCAGGTGGCTTCAATATATGGCGGCAAACAACTAATCCGCGAGCTTGATTTTAGGCAGAACGAGTGGAATGCTGTCTTAGCAGACTTCGTAGCTCTACTGAAAACATTTGCAATTTTTATCCAGTTTTGAAGGGACTATGAAACGATTTTGAAATCGAATTTCATCCACCGCCAGTCATAAAAGGTGTGAAAAGAAAACTAAAGCACACAAATAGAGAACCATAAAATGATTTCGCCATAAAACTTTTAAAAGAAGAGCGGTCTCTTTTATGTCTTCTTTCCTGCGAAAGCTCTCTTCCTTTTCACTACTATGCATCCGCGGTGCCAAAGCACGTCAGCCAAATCCACGTTGCCTATTTATTGGATTAGAGCTATACCTCACCAGCACATCGATCATAAACAATAAATAGCCGGCGAATGTTTCTTCAAAGTATTGTTAAAGAATATTCTGATCCAGATTTTGTAGCATAATTTGCGATGTGACGGAAATTGACGAATTTTAGAATACTTAAAGCCCCTTGATAAAAGCGTTTTTTACAAGTACCGCCAACCATTGTTGTGGAAGCGCTCGAGACACGTGCCATGAGCGGGTGCTCCGCCGCCATTCGCTTCCAAGGCCCGCTCATTTCAGTGCTGCGCCGCCATTTGCTTCCAAGGGCCGCTCGAGACATGGGCCTCGTGCACTCGCGCATTTGACGCTACTTGCAAGACGAGCGCAAACATATCGAGGGGCTTTAAGAATACTCGGAGCTATGCGCCATCTATCGTGTGGTAAACGAAGCAAGGGGGAAAAGGGGGGGGGGGGGGGGGGGGGGGGGGGGGGGGGGCTCGCGGTTTCTGTTATCTGCTGAAAAGCTTGGCGTCGGTGGTGACCGCCGACGTGGTCGGCGTGGTGGAAGCTCGTCGTTCCGCGTAAAACGCTATCCTTGACTCAATTCTCGTCTCGTGTCGTGATGATAACACAGCACTTCCTAGAAGGGAAGATCCATCTACTCGTGCGGCGATGTTGTGGTGGAACCCTGAAGACAACAGAAACGCTCGTGCCGTCGTGTTTGTTTGCTTCGATTACAGTGGTGCTTTCTTAGCATTTGTGTCCTCGAACACCGCTCAGATTGCTTATTTTGTGCGTTCCATGCGTATGCTCAAGTTCAAGGTATTAGTGGTGCGTACTGTATTTAAAGGCGTGCATGAAAGATGCAAATTTTGACGCGTTTTCGTCACCCGAGAAAAGTGATTAGTGTTTGCATTTCTGAACTCCCGCAACGTCTATGTGATTACGAAATCATAGTTCTACGTTGTTATATCGCTGCTAAGATTGCATCGTCTTTCACAATCGTAGAAAAGCCGTAGGGCAAGATTTGCACCATCGGTAAAGTTGTGTGTTAAAGCCGTGATCGTCCAAGACGGCGTACTGCATCTTTTTCTTTTTTTCATCCACCCTGCTTTGCGGACCAATCCTGACACAATAAAAATTATTAAAGCTTGAGACCATAGACAACTCTGTCCATTTTCTGCTATGCCAGTGAGTGGCAGCCTGTCCACTCCTTTCAAAAGGCACAGCGGAAACAGCTGACGCAGGCGACGGCGGGGAAACTGCTGACGACCTGCTAGGCTTGTTGCAGTGGTTGCAGGAGTGTGTGCGCGCGACGCAGAGCGGTTGTTTTGGTCGCTCCGGTCAGAACGGGCGCAGTCGTAGCTAACGCGCTCGTTGCAAGTGCCTGAATTACAGTTTGTGCAGTCGCCACTGCTTGTAGTCTGATTCTCACGAGGAACAGGAGTCTTTACCGGAAGACTCGCCGCACTTTCCAACAGGCGTACCGGAGTATGGGACCAGTCCCATGTTGTCGCTGCAGCGGAACATATCTAGTTGAGTTTCGCACAGCTGCGATGTGTCCATGGCTATCGCGGTGATGAGAGGCGCCGATTCAGAAATTATGTCGGTGGCATCGGTGCCATCGCAGTAAAACCCTGTGGTAAAATTTACCGGCGCATCGCCGCTCGCCGCTAACGCTCTCCTTCTCCTATTGTCGAGAGAACTTCCGGTTTCAGTGCCAGAGTACGTCACGACCGTCGAAATTATTCCGCGAATTGTTTTGCGGTGAGTTGGAGACGAAGAGAAACTCGATATTTCGTTAATTTTTCGTGTAGAAATTAATAAACCGAAACAAAAACGGATGCTTGTTCGGCGTTCAGTGAACATTAAAAGTTCAACGTAAAAGTTATTTGGCAAATGTAAAAAGGTAATTTCATGGGCCTCTTAAGCATTTGTCGCGGACATGGATCATAGCCGCTACAGAAAGGTCTGACTCACGGTTCATCCGGACTTATCCGCTCGACCAGGATGGGACAGAAACACAGTCCTTGGTTCTTGGCGAAGTTCTCGCCGTCTTCTATTGTCTGTGGCAACGGTTCATGGACGGTGTCCGGAACGAAGAAGAGCAGTACAGATGCCAGGAGGGACAGCGCACCCAGTACCAGGACGGGCAGGTACCGGTCATATTCCACCTACGGGACAACTTACCTTCAGGACAAGACATTCGCTCACACTGATCAGCAAATGACTTTGTCTCAAGAAATGTTTACTAAAATAAGTTAGACAAAAATGTAGCGATTTCCGGCAAAGGCATCGAAGGTGCCATACGTGTGCTCGTTACTCCAAAAATGTAATGGATTACAATTACAAATTACCGAGTCCCAAATGTAATGAATTCCCGTTACAAATTACTTTCGCAGAAAAGTAACAAATTACTTTACTCGTTACGTTTCAAATCACTTTCACGTTACTTCTCCAGTACGCTTATCAAGAAAAACAATATAAAAAATTTTGATGTTTTCAAAAATGTTCTGCAACACTACTTTCCATTTCTAATACACCCGCATTATGGTAGTCCTTGTAAAAATACAATATTTTACTTGTGAGAAAGATTGCAGGTACAAGGTTCACCTGTAAGCTGACAAGGCAGCGAAAGCTGCAACCACAACCGCCATCCCGCTAGCTTACAACGACCGGAAATGATCCCTGGAATTCTGCAGACAAAGCCAGCGGTGCGCATGCTCAGTAGCAGCATCTACCTCCGCTAGGCGATGCGGAGATAAGGAACCGATCTACGGAAGCTCCCAATGGAAACGAGCCTTTCAAGTGGTGTAAAAGTCAAACACAATTAAACACGAAGAAGTTTCTCAGAAGAAAAAAATGAAAGCCGCTTACAACTCCCTGTAACTCCGAATTAGAGCGCAGCTCTTGAGGAGGAGGAGGGAAGGGCACTGGGGGGGGGGGGTTAAACTAACCAGGGGGGGGGGGGTCACGTGACCTTGGGGGTCACGTGACCCCCAATGCCGATGATGTCATCACTGACGTCACTGATGACGTCATCAGTGACGATGACGATGCGGGTACCGATGACGTCATTAGTGACGTCACTGATGACTTCACCAGTGATGATGACGATGACGATGCGGATGCCGGTGACGACATCAGTGACGTCACTGATGACGTCATCAGTGATGATGACGATGACAATGCGGATGTCGGTAACGTCATCAGTGATGATGGCGATGCGGATGCCGGTGACGTCATCAGTGATGATGACGATGACGATGTGGATGCCGGTGACGTCATCAGTGATGACGATGACGATGTGGATGCCGGTGACGTCATCCGTGATGATGACGATGACGATGTGGATGCCGGTGACGTCATCCGCGATGATGACAATGACGATGTGGATGCCGGCGACGTCATCAGTGATGATGACGATGACGATGCGGATGCCGGTGACGTCATCAGTGATGATGACGATGACGATGCCGGTGACGTCATCAGTGATGATGACGATGACGATGTGGATTCCGGTGACGTCATCAGTGATGATGACGATGACGATGCGGATGCCGGTGACGTCATCAGTGATGATGACGATGACGATGTGGATGCCGGTGACGTCATCAGTGATGATGACGATGACGATGTGGATGCCGGTGACGTCATCAGTGATGATGACGATGACGATGTGGATGCCGGTGACGTCATCAGTGACGATGACGTCATCGGGGGTCACGCGACATCGGCGGGGGTCACGTGACCTCGAGGAGGTGGTCACGTGACCTCGAGGAGGGGGTCACGTGACCTCAGTGGAGTCACGTGACTTCGGGGGGTCACGTGACCCCCCCACGAGGTCATGTGACCCCGGTGGGGGGCTCGCGCGGTGCATTATGGGACATTTCCCATGATGCACCGCGCGGTTACGCCGACGGCGACGCCGACGGCGACGGCGACGGCGACGGCGACGGCGACGGCGACGCCGCTCATGCCGGAAACGGGCCCCTAAGAGCTGCGCTCTAAAATCCGATGGAAGGCGATGGAAAGAAGCTAAGTCTGCTCGGCATTGTCTTCCTGGTCTTTGTTTTAGAGCGCAGCTCTTAGGGGCCCGTTTCCGGCTTGAGCGGCGTCGGCGTCGCCGTCGCCGTCGCCGTCGCCGTCGGCGTAACCGCGCGGTGCATCATGGGAAATATCCCATAATGCACCGCGCGAGCCCCCCACCGGGGTCACGTGACTTCGTGGGGAGGCACGTGACCACCCCGAGGTCACGTGACTCCCCTGAGGTCACGTGACCCCCTCCTCGAGGTCACGTGACCCCCCGAGGTCACGTGACCCCCGCCGATGTCACGTGACCCCCGATGACGTCATCGACACTGATGACGTCACCGGCATCCACATCGTCATCGTCATCATCACTGATGTCATCATCAGTGATGACGATGACGATGCGGATGCCGGTGACGTCATCAGTGATGATGACGATGACGATGTGGATGCCGGTGACGTCATCAGTGATGATGACATCAATGATGATGACGTCATCAGTGACGATGACGATGTTGATGCCGGTGACGTCATCACTGATGATGACGATGACGATGTGGATGCCGGTGACGTCATCAGTGATGATGACGATGACGATGCGGATGCCGGTGACGTCATCAGTGATGATGACGATGACGATGAGGATGCCGGTGACGTCATCAGTGATGATGACGATGACGATGTGGATGCCGGTGACGTTACCGACATCCGCATCGTCATCGTCATCATCACTGATGACGTCATCAGTGACGTCACTGATGTCGTCACCGGCATCCGCATCGTCATCGTCATCATCACTGATGACGTCGTCAGCGACGTCACTGATGACGTCACCGACATTCGCATCGTCATCGTCATCATCACTGGCGAAGTCATCAGTGACGTCACTAATGACGTCATCAGTGACGTCAGTGATGACATCATCGGCATTGGGGGTCACGTGACCCCCAAGGTCACGTGACCCCCCCTGGTTACTCTAACCCCCCCCCAGCGCCCTTCCCTCCTCCTCAAGAGCTGCGCTCCAATTCGGCGTTACAGGGAGTTGTAAGCGGCTTTCACTTTTTTCACGTAGTATTTTCACGTCTTTCTAGTGGTTCTAGTAACCCGTCAAACGAGAAACCGTGCTTTTTTTTTTTTTGTTTGTTCAATTATTATTTTTTTTACGATAGTTTTTATTTAAATTTGTTGAACCTGCTCTTTCTATGCTTCTGAATTGCCTACTCATAATGCTTCAGTTTCTTTATTATGCTCATATTTAAAAAAGTAACGAGTAATTAAAGTAATTCGTTGCCAATATTTCGTAACGAAATGACATTACAAATTACTGACACAAAAAAGTAACCTGGCAATTACAAAATTACTTGAAAACGTAACGGATTACTTCCCAAGTCTGAAAGGGTGTAGGGGGTGCATACAGGATTGAATGTGTCAAAGTAAGCGTAAAAAAGTGTTGCCTTATTTGGAACTATAAAAGCAGCGAAAATGGTAGTGGAATCAAATCAGGACACTTTCAAAATTATTTATATTTTGCCTTGTTATCTCAAGCCCCCGTGCCTAAAAGGAAGAAGATATATTCCTGAATTTTCTCGACCGCAGAATTCTCAAAGGGGGACATCCCAAAGCCAAATGTGTTCTGGGATGTTTCGTTTTTGAGTAGTGTCAACAGGGATACCCTCCTAAACATAAAGCATTCATACATATTTGTCCAAGTTGAGAGTGTTCTCATTTTCTTAGTTATGTATAGGCCATATTACACTCACTAACGAATTGGAGCACCTGACGGTGGTCTCTTAGAGAAACCAAGATTAATATTTCAAGCAGGTAACTAGTTCTAGATCTGTGATCCGGCGATTTTATTGAACAGGTTTTTAATCCCATTCTACGCTCCCACCTTCAGACACGTCGCAGTTCACTATTAGTCTAAATTTACCAAAATTAAACTAGCATTGTGGGACCAGAGCCGAGACAAGCCAGATTCAGTTTTGCTATGGCTCGAAATGGTCTTTCGGCCCTGTACGAACTAAGAACCCACCGAAATAACCAATCGAAGCCAAAGGCTTCTGTTAGCCTTAAATAGTCGGCGGCGGTCGGTTCAAAGACCCCGAAGAACTAGAAAGCAAAGAGCAGTGGCATACCAGATAAGCAACATCTGCCCCGAGACAACTGCCGATATCTCCGAAGAGTCTCTTGAGCAACACGCCGCGGCCTCTGATTTCCGTGGGGAAAATCTCCGAGGCGAGCTGGTAGGTGATGTTGTACCCGCCGGCGTAGCAGACGATCGTGATAACCGCCATGGCCAGCGTCGCTCCAGCAGAGTCTGAAAGTGTTAATAGCACGTCACAGTTCCGCCAAGGACAAAGAGGCTGCTAAAACACGTTCACTTTTCGTACTCCGTTTACCGTTGTTAGAATTTGAACTTGCTTGATTGATTGTATCAGCGATCAAAAAACGGATCAGATCTTTCTACGAGAATGTCTCAATACATTGTCCTTCCCCGTAAAATATTAGACCAGATAGTCAAATGTCATGCTCACATTTAAAAACAAAATATGACAAATTATTGACAAATGGGAATGCACCTTGAATAAAAGTTCAGCACCAGCTCAACTTGTATTCAAGTAATAAAAAAGTTGAGATGGACAAAAATGTGCATGCTTAAATTAATATATAGTAGCCAAACTATGTCCGCCTAAGGTGAACTGACGATACGACATGAACCCATGTTCGTATCCGGAGAAAAACAAAACAAAAAATGAAAGACGCTTACAACTCCCTGTAATGCCAAATTAGAGCGCAGCTCTTGAGGAGGACGAGGGTAGGGTACGGAGGGGACGGTATGCCCCTTTTCGTCATCCGTACCCTATCCTCCTCCCTCCTCATCTATTCCTCCCGTTCTCCTCGCGTCCTCCCCCTCTTCCTCGTCCTCCTATCCTCCTTCTCCTACCTCCTGCTCCCTCCTCCTCCCTCTTCCTCCTCCTTCCTCTTCCTCCTCTCTCCTCCTCCCCTCCTTCTCCCTTCTCCCCCTCTTCTTCCTCCCTCCCGCACGATGCGTTATGAGAAACGTCCCATAATTCAACGCGCGCCTCACCGCGGTTCATTATGGGACGTTTTCCTTAATGCACCGCGTGGTGCCGAAGTGTCGCCCTGGCGACGCACCAATGAACCTCGTAAAGTCAGGAGTGACTTCACGACTGTCCCGCGCGTTGCATTATGCGATGTTTCCCACATTGCACCGCGTGGTTACGCCGACGGCGACGCTGATGCCGACGCCGCTCAAGCCCGAAACGGGCGCCTAAAAGCTACGCTCTAAAAAATGATTAAGCGCAGTTCGCTGGTTACAATAGAGCAAGTGAGTGTCTGTATGAGTGTGCGAGCTTGTTGAAAAGGCGTATCACTGCCTATAGTCTTCCTACGAATATTTAACAAATATAGAATACCTCGCTTGGAAACGGGCGCAAAACTGCTAAGGTTTTTTCGGGTTGCCGAAAGGTTGTTCTTGTTATTTCTGGAACCAGTTTTAGCTGTCTGTTCGAAGAGCGATGACAACGAACGAACATTCTTGTGTTTCTCTGATTTTCCTGAACTACAGGGATAACAAATCGAAAAAATCAAACCGGGTTTTTTTTTTTTTTGGCTCGCTTAAATAAGCTATGCGCATCGCAGAAAGCTGAAACTGTGTTAGAACGTGACTCTAGCGGTGGTGATAAAATAGGAAAGTTTGAGCATATAACGTGACATACATATAAATATTAAAAAAAAAAAATTCTTTATGAGCCGACGTGTACAAGCTGTTCATCAAACTGAAAATTGAGATTCTGAGCGCCTGAGCGCCTGTAGCAAGTACGTCAATGAAAAAAAAAATAAAAAAATATTGTCAACAAAAAAGAAAACAATATCATCTTCCTATCTAACACTTTTTTGTTGTTGATTTTTTAGCTAAAAAATGCTATACTTCGTTCCCCCTTCCAATAGACCGCAGAGAACGTTACGAGCCAACGGAACCAATCCAATGTCGTCTGCGTGTCACGTGACGTTCGCGAAGGTCACGGCAACGCAAAGACCGCCTAGTCACGTGGAACGTTCCCAGCGTTAGATTGGCCGGGATGGCTCGTAGCATCCGCCACGGTCCATCGTAACGCGAGACTGAGTGTATACAGGCACCGGCAATCGCAAATTTTTATTTAATAAATATTAGGCTTAGGTGGACGTTCGGCTCATAGAGAAATTTTTACTAGATAACAGAAAGAATAAAACATAGAACAAAGTACAGACGAGTACTCCTCTGTGTTTCGTTCTCTCTGTTTTATTTTTTCTGTTATGTAGTATACTTTACCAACACGCTCGTTAGGAATATGGATACCTTTTTTGTGTGTGTGTGTGTGTCTTGATCCAGGAAATAACGTGTACTTAAACTTTCGCATTTTATCACCACCACTATAGCGATAGGTTCTCGCGGAGTTTTAGCTTTTCGTGATGCGTAGTTTAATTATGCGGGCCTAAAACCCGTCTCATTTTCTTGATCTAGCCCCGTAGTCACGCCAGGTCTGAGGCCTTCAATATAAATTATATTTTTGCTTTTCCTCGCAACGTCCGATTTGTTGGCTATGGCGTGAATTGTCTTTGGGACGCAACACCAAAGATAACGCAGAATTATAATCGTCGTTCACATCTTCATTATCATCACCATGATATTTTACGTCATCGTCGTGATCTTCATCATCAGCATCTTCGACAGAATCATAATTATCATAGCCATTCTCATTATCATCACCGGCAGAACCGACATTATCATTATCCTCAACATGGTGGTTGTTGTCCTCGTCATCACGAAGAAGTGTACGTGGTCATTGCGGATGTTACCCACCCGTTCTGATAAGGGCCATGACGAGCGACACGGCGCCCCCGACGAACATGAAGGCCACGTTGGGCCATCGCCTTCCCAGCCTGTCCAGGGCCATGATGGTGAAGATGTTGACCGGCAGCTCGAAGGCTATCGCGATCGAGTAGGTCCCGTACACGTTCAGACCCAGGTGGCTTAGCTCTAGTGTGTTGGCGTTGTAGCACAAACATATCAGGAACCTGCAAAGAAAGGCCACTCGACCCGTCTTTCAGATGTCGGAGATGGCACTAATTGTGCAGATTGTTTCTTGAGACAGAGTGGCGACCCACGATTCATTGATGATATGGCGAGTTAGAAACTTGGATGAGGTATTCGGAATATAACGAAGGCTTATCGAGGAAAACATGCCATATAACTGGGATTTGAGCTGAAGGTTAGTGGTATAAATAATGCGCAGTCTTTCATAGAGCTGTGCCAGATAGTCGTCGCTAGCTTGGAAGGTCGACTCACAAGATGTAATGTTGTGTTTCTAGAAATACCTAGCGAAAATATCAGTAAACTACACATTACAAAGAAGAGGTCGATATTGCACTAAAATATTAAGGTGGGCTAGTTGGATATGCATTTTCGAAATAAATAGCGCGAAGGTCAAGAACGAACTGACGGTACAAGACGGTAATAGCGCTTGTACCGTCAGTTCGTTCTTGACCTTCGCGCTATTTATATCGAAAAAGAGGTCGATATTGTACCATTCACTGTCAGTGAGTTTGTTTAAAGATAAACATGAGCTCATGTCTTTTTTTTTTTTCTTTGTTTGCAGAAATAACTTTTTTTTTTTATTATTGAGGCACAATTTATAATTCTTTCGTCATTCTTGCATTCGCCTGTTTGACAACCTGTTCCAGACATGCAAATCCCGTCACCCCTTCCATACATTCTACACTGACTTACTCACTTACCAACCCGCAAAGAGTACCAGCGTGTTCCTTCTGAGGCGTGGTGTTGCTACGAGGGCCAGGGTGTCCTTCAGGAAGCTGCGTTTCTTTCCAGATGAAGTGGTCACAGTCATCTTGATCTAGTCGGCAGCGAAAAGAGAGAAAATAAAGAACCAGAATAAGTGATATCCACTCACTTTCTAGTAGTGCAATTCTTCCGTCTCCTACCCTCTCTCTTTCTTCCACTCTCCTGATATCACTAACGGAGCCAGAAACGCGTCTTTGGCTCGTGTGTCTAGCGTCCTATACCCCCCATGCATCAAAAGTTGTCCCGAAGTGGTAAGACGTGTCGTCACACCGGAGCCGGCGTATCATGCTATCGGATGTCGCGGTCCAGGTAATTGGTCGTAGTTTGGGTCAAAGAGACAATCGAACGGCTAGCTGTGTCACTGTTGTTGCGGCGTCCCAGCGTCTTGCTACAGGACCTTCTATGCACCGTTGAGCTGGAAGCAGGGTTAGAGCGGAACACGTGTCTGCTAAATCCGCCTCCCACCACCAGGATCGTGGTGGGCAAGAGAATTGCACTTTTATGACGAAATGAGATAAAAATCGCAGGACCACATTTGAGGACGCTGTATGCACACCAGTCGGGAACGCGGTCCAAGAACGATATCATGAGAGTGCTTCAGTTCGTGACACCCTTGAAAACGGTGGAATAGTCGAAGGCATGGTGATTGAATAACTTTAGAACTAACCTCCTCAAATGCGGTTTTTCAAAAATCTTTTTTTTATTATTTTATGTTTAAGCGTGTTTGAGAATAAGTGAAATGTTGTTTCCTATTGCCTAGATGCGTATACATCTTACTGAAACGGATAGAATGTTGAGCATCACGGTTCGTTTTAACAATCTTGTGAACTCTGCCATGTTCACGCAACGAATCCAAAAGTATCCAACTAGTGAAAACAAAGTGCATGTCGAAACATATACAGTGTAATCCACTTATAACGATACCAGATATAACGATATATCGCTTATAGCGATCAAATTTTTTAGATTTGATCGCTATTTTTTTAGATTTGATTTGATCCAGATATAACGATAATCGGCTATAACGATTGGATTTTGCGGTTTTCTCAATATCGTTATAAGTGGACTGCACTGTAGCTGTATTTTGAAATAACCTTCAACTTCCACCGTGCTCGGTGATGAACAACGCTCTAAGCCTCGTGCAATTCTGATTGCGTGCTCCGAGGCGGAGGGAGTCCTATCTCTGCCGTTCTTTTTGTTTAGTCGCTAATCAATAACGGTTAACTCCGGTCATTTAAACTTTTGCTCATTTGTTTCGTAATTTCTCCTTTAGGACAGGTTGTATCTCCTCGACAGTCACGCAGACTTTCGAGGCATCTCTGCCCTGAAATCTTAACCAGAGGAGTTCCTTAAATAAAAGCCACGCTGCTCTGTACGCGATAGCCCAAAAGAACAACGTTTTAAGTTTTAAACAATCTTAAATATAGTTCTATACCGCGCTGCGCCTCCTGACCAAAGTGATGACCCACGAATACCCAGTTGGCGATATCGACCCCGGTTCGAGTGACCCTCAATCTGACGAACAACTATTCAGGATGCAAAGGAGTGTAACGGAAGTTTCGGGATGAAAGTTAAATATCGCCAGATAACGAAAAGAAAAGATTACTCCTCGCTTGGTGGCTCGAACGTCCCGCGTGCCGTTCGTCTAAAACATTAACTTCGGATTTTTTTTTTCTCCAATGAGGCTACGACTTTGATTGCGTATAAATCTCTCTATAGATATTTGAGAGTTTTAGGGAACCGTTTCTGCACACCCTATATGGTACGATGGGCCCGCAGTTCGTACCGGAGGGCCCATCGTACTTAATCGGACGTGCAAAAACGGTTCCTTAAAACTCTCTATTAGCTCCGTCGGATTGTAGCGTCAGCTGCGGTCAGACTTAAAGTGAAACGGAGTATAAGTCGCTAAAAAACTTGGCATGTTCATGTGTAGTGTCGTCTGTCAAAAGTTGGCGAACTATATTTGCGTCCTGAATAAGTCTTCCTCCTAGATGTGTGGGCAGGACAAGGCTTGCGAAACCCCTATGGTACCTGCTGGCACCTTGGGTGCCGTGCGTGTATAGATAAAGAAAAACAGCCACGACTAAGGAAATCACAAAAGCCCTTCGCAACTGGTCTCGCTAACTGTGGGTGTAATTGTAAGAAAACACTCAACTACTGACTCAGAGTAGAACAGATGTAAAACACGAGAAGTAGGTGGCCCGAACAGAGGTGCATGCTTTTGTCTAGTTTTCTACGGAGAGACAATAAAATCACACAATTGTCAACGGCTAATGCCACTCTGAAAGTGACAACGTGAAAACGTGAACAAGGGCCAATGCAACCGTGAAAATAAAGGATTAAAAAATATATTACAGGAAAATTCATTGGTGAATTATTAGGGAACACGTTAGCATGACCCTTGGAAACGCTGCATACGTCCCCCTTTGGGAAACGCTAACGCTGACCACTTCGCTTTCTCTTTTGGCTTTCTCTTTTGCTTCCTCTATTTTTTGCTGGCTCTTTTTGGCCTCGTTACAAGTCAGTGCTATAGTTGTCCAAAGAGGGACGTGTGTGGCATTTACCAAGAGTCATGCTAACGCACTTCCTAAGAATCCAACAATGGATCTTAGAGTAATCCCCCCTCGCCTTTTTCTGTATTCTGCCTGTCAGAGTGCATCAACGCCCGGACACGGTCATCAAAATTACTTGTTGAAAGAACCACATTCACTCTCAGAAAAAAAGGGTGTATGTGGGTGTATCGCGCACCCTTACACCCCCCTTTGACTGGAGACACCCGGCGAGCGTAATCGTACTCCCATCACGCGAATCCTCCTCTCCCAAAGGAATCGGCGGGCGAGGCGAGGGTGTTGCCAGGTGCACCATTACACCCCCCCCCCCTTTCCTTTTTCAAAAAGGGGAGAGGGAGTGCTATCAGGAGAGCGCAAAAACCAAACAAAATGCGCGCGGTAATAGAGTAGAGCGCGCGTCCTGATTAGCAGTCACTGGGTACACGTCATCCGACTGACAACCTATCACGATAGCGATCGCGTTTCGCGCGTTATCTGGCCTTCGTGTTGCTAGGAGACTTGACCTCCTCACCTCCTGCATTCCATCTCGGCGTGCTTCGGCGGCCATACTTTTGCTTCGGCTGGCGGGTGACATCGCCTTTGTTCATTCGCGCTATTTTGAATTGCGTGTTTTTTTAGAAGGTGGTTGGACAAAGCGGATCGTGTTCACGAAGCGATGCTTGGCACGTAGCTGCAGTCACACACCAAGATGTGCCCGCCCGATAAAGGTAAGTCTGCCGTTTACATGCACTCGTTGGATGCTTTGGATGCTGCGTTTTGCGAGGCATGGGGCCTGCTAGCTGGGGACGTGCTTTTCTTTTTCTCCTGTTTATGTCAGAGTTACTTCGCTTTTGTATTTGTGGCATGTGTGCGCGGTGGCGGTGCCCGGTTCTCTGAGTGTACAAACGAGCACGACATCGCAGCTTCGAGACATTATTCTTGCGTGTAGAGCTGGCGTCATTCAGAGCAACGGGTCTCCATCGTTTCGCCAAAAAACACTTTTTGTGCACAGATGTTACATAGACTCTCGTTCGTCGACACTACCGTTCCATCGACAGTCGTTACGCGGATTTAGCGTTGTAGGGACATTTCGTCGCGGGTGTATCCTACACGTACTATCCGCTTCGTGGCAACAGTGTGAGGCAGCTCCTTACAGAAAAAAGGTAGTTTGTGCTGTCGATGAAGCATTCTGGCGATGAATCATCACGTATCTGTAAAACGATCTGTCGGTGAAACGTAGTTCGATTGCAGAGCAACATGCTCGCGCTTGCTACCGGCTTCGCTCGCACGTATGGTTATGCAATGCGATTTTCAGTGGGGATGATGGAACTAAGGTGGCGCTTCGGGACAAGGCAGTTCTTTTATAGGTTCCCTACGGGAGTCAGAGTTGCGCGTTCATCTTCGTAGCGCCGTCTTTCCTGCACGGCATGTTGATCCAGCTCCTCACGCGACTTTTGGACCTCTTGGCGAATATGTGCTGCCACCTCGACACTAGGCTAAGTGTCGAGAAAACAACGCGCGCGCAAGGTCTCTCTTACCCGTTCCACACCCAAAACGTCAGCTACATCCTGTTCAACCATTGAGGCGCTGTGACCTAGATACTGCTCCCCCAAACTCGCCTTTGTCCCCATCGTGCGTAATCTTCCGCCCCCGAGGTCGACACAACGAAACCATATTCCCTTCCTGCTCGGCCACTACGAAGAGGGAGAGGGTACTGGAACCATTGACTCTCGAACCGACGAGGCGCGCGGCGCGCTCAAAAGCAGGGGTGCGTACGGCGGGGCGCGTGCAACGTTACTTTCTTGCACGGTACGTGGTCGGATCTCGGCAAATAGCGGCGCGGCGGCACTTAGAAAATAGACGCGCAACTCTGGCTCCCGTGGGGAGCCTACTGGTACTCCAGTGCAGCATTGAGATTATAGGCTCCAGCCAGAGTTGCGCGTCTGGTTTCCACGTGCCGCCGCGCCGCTATTGGCCGATATCCGATCACGTGAGGAGCAGACTCCAAATGCCGTGCAAGAAAGCCACCGGTACGGCGGCTTCGCCGACGGTGCAAGCGCCTCGGTGTGCATACCCCCGCTTTTGCCTCCTCCTGTCCTGCGTTCCAGGAAATGAGGAGGTAGAGCGCGGCGGCCGCTATTCCCCGAATTCAGTAACGTGAGGGGCAGACTTGAAGTGCAGGAAAGTCGGAGCTACTGGGATGAACGCGCAACTCCTGACTCCCGTAGGCTGCCTCTGCAGGAACTCTAGGGCGGCATGGAGTTCCTGCGTAGGCCCCCTACGGTAGCCAGAGCAGGGTTGCCAGGTATTTGCAGATTAACCCGTCAAAATTTCCTGATATTGTGCCCAAGAATAGCCAAATGTCGGGCTATAAAAATAGCCCAACACATAAAATTTCATACAAGGTATTTACATCTCTTTGGAACACGGGTAACATGATACATGACATAACACAATTATTTACAGAAGAAGGCAATAGGAGGATAAAGCGTCCCCATGTATATTTTAGTGCAGCGAAAGAAAGGGGTTCTCAAACATCTGTTAAGCTGCCCCCACTCCTCTTCCTCCCTCCTTCTAGAAACACGTGCCTCCACCCCTGCCTGCGGTATTAAATCGTGTCAAAAAACTTCGGAAAAACAATATTGCACCTCCGCAACCAACACCAATGAGGGTCCACATATTGTATTTGCACGCTTGTGATTTGGATATTTTCCTTTCCTAACCTCTTGAGTTGATTGTTTTTCTCTACCCGGCGCAGAAATATCATGTTTAAAGCTTTGAACATTGTTGAATATCGGGTATGAAATAGCTTAATAGCCAACCACCAGAGTTTCCTGCCTATTACAAAACTGAGTAGCCCAATTGGGCTGTTTATAGCTCAACCTGCCAACCCTGAGCCAGAGCTGCGCGTTCACCCCGCAGCACCGGCTTTCCTGCAGGGGACGAAATTCTGCTCCTCATCTCACTGGATTGGGCGAATAGCAACGTGCTCCTTCTCCTTTCCTGAAAAACAGGAAAGGAGGAGGAGACAAAAGCAGGGGAACGTACGCTGAGGAGATTGCAACGTCGGCGAAACGGCCGTATCGGCGGCTTTCCTGCACAGTATTTGGATTTTGCTCCTCACATGATCGGATCCAGGCGAATAGCGGCGTGTCAGCGTGTGGATAACAGACGCGCAACTCTGACTCCCGTAGAGAGCCTATGCAGGAACTCTAGGACAGCATTCACCAGCTTCGGTGTGTGTGGTGCTCAGTTTGGCGTTACTTTGAGAGCTCTATTCGGAAACATGTGTAGTGGCTGTACCCGCGGATGCTAACTTTTGCGAAGCTCGAGTTTGGCTAACTTTGAATTGTCATGTTGGTACCCTACTTGTCAGACTCTTTCTTGGGCAAAGTTTGTAAAATTAGACTACACGTTTTATTGCATTTTTCATTTGTGAAGCATACACTTTGTCACACTACAGCAACAATTAAGTGTCGCAGTGTTAATGGTTCAAAAACGCGAGTGTCTCCTTCTGCTTGTAGTATGCAAGTCATCTCAGGCACCTGTGAAGTGTGAGATAACATAAGATGCTTGGTTAGATCACGTGTACTAATGACTCGAATCTCTAACGCGCAGGAGTAAAGCTCTGCTGCTAGCACAGATGTCGCCATAGTCTCGAGGCACCGTCTGGCAAGGTAAGCGATCAACTAGCCTGCTGATTTTTGTTTTCTTGTCAGATTGTTAAGCATATATTGTGAAATTAGGCTAAGGGCTTGCTTAGATCACGTGTACTAATGACTTTCATCTCTACTGCACAGGCGAGAGGCTCTGCTTGTAGCACAGTCGCTACCATAGTCCTGATGCCCTTTCTGGGTAGGTAAGCAACCAACTATCCTGCACTGTTTTTTTTTTTTTTAGTTTGTAATGCATGTATTGTGAAACTGGGCTTGGTGCCTAGCTAGGTCACGTTTACTAATGACTATTTGCACCTAGCAGTGATGCCATCATTGTCCCGAGGCACGTTCTGGCAAGGTAAGCAATTCACTACCCTGCGGACCCTATTTTCTTTTTTTCTTCTTCTTTACTTGTCAAACTGCTAAGTAAAATTGTGTGACTAGGCTAGGTGCTTGTCTAGATCACGTATACTAATGAGTAATCTCTAATGCACAGCCGAGAGGCTCTGCTTGTAGCACAGACGACACCATAGTCCCGAGGCTCTGTCTGGCAAGGTAAGCAATCAACTATGCTGTAGACTGTTTTTCTTTTTCTCAGGTTGTTAGCGTATCTTGTGAAACTAGGCTTGGTGCTTGGATAGATCATGTTTGCTAATGCCTATTCTCTGATGCACAGACTAGAAGCTCTGAACCTAGCAGATGCCGCCATAGTCCCGAGGCACCGTCTGGCAAGGTGAGCAATTGACTATCCGGTCGACCCTGTTTCCTTTTCTTCTTTACTTCTCAGACTGCTAGGCTTATATTGTGTGATTAGGCTTGGTACTTGGTTAGATTACATGTACTGATGATTCAAATCTCTGATGCACAGGCTGCCCTCACGGCAAAACAGGTTTAATTTTGGCAGACGCCTTTCGTCAAGCATGGTACGCAGTCTTTACCATTTTGTAACTATTTGATTCAACGGGGGCGACATGTTTTCTGTAGCGGCATTAATAATAAATAAAGAGTTTGAAGTAAGAAGGACCGCATATAAAATGGCACAAAAAAGGAGCAAAGCATAGATACCATTCACATGGGCGTACCAACCGGGAAGGGGGGGGGGGGGGGGGGGCAAGGAGGGCGTGAGGCATGTGTTGTCCCCCCCCCCCCTGCCACTCCCCTAAAACAGCCGCCACATTGCAGGTTAAAGACTGGCCGGCGGCGCCCAAGGGATACCAAAAGCACTCCCCCCCCCCCCCCCCCCTTCCTGACTCGAAAACAAGTTGGAACGCCACTGACCGTACATATTCCCCACGAACTACACCCTCTACAATACAGATACAACTACACATTGTATCTGTATTCCTGAATACTTTTTCACCAGTTTCCCAGAAGTGTCTCGGGGATATACCATTGCATAAAAGACAATGTATCTCAGTATCTGTATTTTTGGCCTTAAAGCGGATGTATCTCAGTATTCCCGAATACTTTTTGGAGTGTGTCTGCCCAGCCCTGGTTTATTGCACATTAATTTATTCTATCATTCTTATTATTTTCCAGGTACTTCGGGCAAATCAACCCATCTGAAGTGCAATACAAAAGTGCAACCAGTGGCATGGCACCGAAGTTGCGAACTCTTCAAGTGCTTTGACATCTGTGAGTGTACCGTCCTTCAATTATACTCCGTGTCACTAGTTGTGTGTAGTGCAGGTGAATGCAACGCCATGCGAAGAGAGAAAAGGCGAGCGCAAGGAAGGCATATGGGAGGGGAGGGCAGGGCTGGGGGAGAGGGGGAAAGCGCTACGAATGTTAGATAGGAGAGGAGGTTACTCTCCTCACCCGCCTTTCTAGCGCTTGCCCTTTCCCCTCTTCGGGCACTGCCTTAGCCTCTGCTGCTAGCAAGTAGTGTCTCGGGATATATTCACCATTCTACAGATTATGATGCACTGGCAGGTAATAACTGGGTAAAATTAATCCGCTCAGTGCTCGAGGACGCAGCTCGCGACTTGCTTGAACACGGCCCACAGGAAACCAGCTGCAAGCTCCCGTTCTCATAACGAGCATTACAAATGGCATGCCTTATAATATGTCGCTAATAGACCGATCTCACCAGCTAGTTTGAGTACGCCACCGCTGCCGATATGCATCGTGGGAGCTGTAGTCTTTCTACACGCGCGACAACCCTGCTGGAGGTTTGCGCGAGTAGACCACGAGGCAGCATGAGCTGTCGCGTGAACTGGCGTCTGCCTCCAACGAATTACAGTTATGGCGGCGTCACGCATGCGTGGAACGCTTGGTGGGATCGGTCTATTCATTTACGCTGGAAACATAGCTATGCTCTTGTAACATATCCACATAGTTAATGTAGTTTCGTTCTTATTTTTTAGGTGTTTAGTCTCTATTTTTCCTTCCCGTCTTTTTTTTTTGTATTTAGCACCTGCACGACAATTCCGCTGGTAGGCTGCAAACACGAGCTCTTTGCCCAAGGATGCACTTCAACTGCATGAACTCTTGCTTGTCAGAAGCAACCACCAAAGATAAATTCATGAGCTCTGGATTCTCGCCCTCAGAAAATATCACCATTAAAATACAAGCATTCGCTCAGACTGGTGCTATCAGAAATTCCCAGAAAAGCAAAAGGCATTCTTTCGAGACATGTTGAGCTTGAATATATCCTGAGTGAAATAAGCAACGGCAACAACAGTGTGCTTCTTCTCTTGTCCTCTTACAAAATGGCAGTATGTTGGCGGCAGTACCACTTTAATTCTTGTGATTGCACCAGGAAAGGGATAAGGGGAGCACTACAAATGAATCACGGCTAAAAATGTCACTGTCAAGATTGCAAGTTACAAAATGTGGAGAGCGCAAGGTCCCTTTAACAAATTTCTTGACCCCCATGCCTTACAGAAGCCCTCGATCTTTTGGGGGTGGGCTATCTGGCCTCTACACTCAAATGTGTTTGAGAGCACTGTTTTAGATGGTCCAAAATTTTGTTAAAGGAAGCTTGCATTAGGACATCTCTGATGTTGGCATTCGTTTATCTGGTTAGGCGCCACTGAGTACAAGGTTGCTTATGGCATTTTTCGGCTAATTGTGCATTTTATTAGTAAAAAATAAACACAGTTGCAATAAGAAACAGGCTGGCATTGTTGAAAACCGCCAAAATCAGTTGTTTAAGTATATTGAAAACACATGCTTTTTATCTGTGTTTTCGGTTTTTCAGCCTTGCATCTGTATCTAAAGTGGTAAACTTTCCACCCCACTATTCTTCAGTGGTGTGCAAAATATTTATGAAGTTGGTTGAGTTCCTGGTTTTTCCTAATGCTCATTAAGTAAGGTGTGGGGCCTTGACAGTGTCCTATATGTATCTAATCATGGTATGCAACTGGGTTTTGATTTTCAGGAATGCTCCATGGCTCTTTTTGGTGGTCAACACCCAAGGCAGAAGACTAAAAGACAAGACATGCAAAAAGAAGAAGGAGAAAAAAAAACAAGCGACATTTCTGGTGCATGCATTCAATGTGTATTTTCGCAGTATATGTTTCACCCAGTGTTTATGAGCAATAAATATGTAGGAACAGATACCAATTTTCGTAGCTTATTTTATAAAATTTTGCATGATCCTGACAATGTTATATTCGCAGGAGTAACACAAAAGCTCTCAATTGTATTTCAGGTTGACAGTTAGGACGTCAAAATGATGCCAGGCCATATAATGAAATTACGATAGAATGTGGGATTGGCAGCCTAATTGTTTTCGGGTTGACAAATGGGACATGAAAATGACACAAAACACGGTCGTTTGACGGTTAAAAGCTTGGAAAAGAGCTGCAAAGACATTTCCTGTCAATTTGATGGAAAATGTTCTAGTGTTAGTTTTGTTGACTTCGCACATGTACACCTAAGAGTGGGGTTTATCGGTTCCCAGTAGGTGAGAAGGGTGTGGAAAACGGTATATAAGTACACCTAACAATGGGGTGTAACTGCATTCCCAGTAAGTGAGAAACGGAATATCTGTGCACCTAAGAATGGGGTGTATCAGTATTCCCAGTAAGTGAGAAATGGAATATATGTACACCTAAGAATGGGGTGTATGAGTATTCCCAGTAAGTGATAAACGGAATATATGTGCACCTAAAATAGGGGTGTATCAGTATTCCCAGTAAGTGAGGAACGGAATATATGTACACCTAAGAATGGGGTGTATCAGTATTCCCAGCAAGTGAGAAACGGAATATATGTACACCTCAAAATGGGGTGTATCAGTATTCCCAGTAAGTGAGAAACGGAGTATATGTACACCCCGGGGTGGGGTGTGTCGTATGCACCCGCTGAGGTGCACATGTGCACCTCAAAATGAGGTGCATGTATGCACCCCTTTTTGGGGTGTCGCATATATACCCATGGGGGTGTCGTATATGGGACAAGTCACATACACCCCACTGGGTGTATTTACTACACCCCTTTTTTTTAGAGTGTTCATACCACTCGTGGAAGGAACCGCATCCATATCACTTGTACAGTGAACCGCCATCCATCGTTTTAACTACATACACACATCACACCCCACGCGCCGCTATACTACGGAAACCCAGACAAAGAATGACAGGCGACGCTAGAGCGGCAAATGAGCACACCCGCATTCCAACGCGCCGCAGCGCAGCACATCCCAGCTAACAAAGCCGAAGTGCTGAATTAGATGGCGTCATCATGGAAGGCCAACCCTGGGCACAGATTTGACACGACGATTACGTCAACGTTCGCCTCGAACTTGACTCGAAGCCGAGCGCTGACGCAGCACTCGTTTCCAGTGTGTGTCCAGCCTTGGCCTTCTTTGAATTAAGCCATCTCATTCAGCACTAAGGCTTTGTTATCTAGGCAGTGTTGCGCGGCGTCTCTTCCCCTCTGGCTCCGCGCCAGCTGTGTGTGTGACGGTCGCGAAAACGAAAGGAATCGTTTTGACGAAAAACCGGGGGTGTCTGTCAGTTTGTCAGCGCCGGGGAGAGAGGGAGAGGCTGACGAGTGCTGACGTCAGTGCTTCGGACCAATGGGAGCGTCGCAAGCGTCACCCTCTCCCCCTCCTTTTCCCTCCCTCTCCGGCGCTGGCAAATGAAAGACACCGCCGGGTTTGCGTCAGAACGAGCGTTCTGATGCAAACGCATTAATAAAAAGTCTGCGCTTCTTGATGTATGTGGCAAACGAGAATTCCCGTAGCGAATTCGACACTGCAAGACGACATTGCGAGCGCTTTTACAGCGTGATATGCTATAGATACATTGAAGAACCACGCGTTAAAGATCGTCTTAGCTGACTAGAGTAGAGCGACGGCGCCGTAACATCAGCCCCATTTCCAGGTCATGGTTCTAAGTGCCGCTTAATCTTAATTGCTGCGGATGATACGGAGCCTATCGTGTTTAGCCCCGTCTGGTCGTCCCGTGTGTCCGAATCCGACCATAACTCGGTTTATCAGAGTAGTTCCCGCGTACGTTTATAACGCGCTTCCATCGCTCTGTCTTGACATACATACACCCACGAAAGAAAAGTTAATAGCTTAACGTAGAGCCTGACGCCTCGTCTGGTTTCAGGGGCCCTATTTTTGCTCGGGAAAGTTGCAGAACCGGGACTACTGTTTTGTGAATGAAGCGCAGAACTAGACCTAGACGCTTAACAACCCATCGACAGCGCAGCTAAGAAAACGAGCCGAGAAAGAGGACTAAATATTGGAGGGGTGGTGCATTTAATTGTTTTGCGCGACTGAACGCCCGGAGTGGACGCCCGCGCTCGCTTCTTTCCCGGCTTTCATTCGTGGGTGGTGATACCGCCTATGTCCACGCTGCGAGGAGCGCGCTGCCGCCCTGTTGTCGGCTATCGGTTGACTAACTGAATGGTTGAGCATATGCAGTTATACTGTACATGCTCAACCCTTTAGTCGGAGGCTGCTCTGTTCTGTTAATCTTAAACTTTGGTATTTCGCAGTGACTAACGGGAAACGTTTGCTTTCAAAACGAATTCTTAGGACCGCAAGCGGACGCACAAAGGCAATATCAAACGGACTGAAGTGCGACATGTGCACGTGATGATGGCACTCGTTCTTGGTTATGAATTGGCTCTCATATCCACCGCGAAGGCGGTGTGCAAAGTATTGTACTCCGCAGACACCACTGCGTTATACAATTGGCAGGTACTTATCGATTAAAATTATGCTTTGCGAAAAGTTCTCCGCAGGGTAAAACCGCTGCGGAGAACTTTTGTGGGGACGTTCGGGGGGTGGTTGGTATAAATCAGCGGTCATTCTTCCGCAAAAGGAAACAAAGGCTCAAACACATCGTTGCACTCAACGTCACTGAGTGATGAAGCGTTGCAGTCATGCAGAATCATTTTTTTAGAAAACAGATTTTTTTTACTTAGAAAGTGACAGAAATAAAAACAAATCAGAAACAATAAAAAGAAAAAGAATGCTAAGGCAGCTAAATCCCAATGTACTTTATAATAATAATTTAAAAAAAAAATTTTATCTTTTAAGGTTTTGTGTTTACACCTGCAATGACGTTCCATTGCGCGGACAGTATGCCCTGGCGTCGGATGTAATCGAGCGAGAACGAGACTAGCGAAAGAGAGTGGAACAGTCCCGGGGAATGCCCCAAGAGGGCACCACCGACGAATGAACGATCCCGAGAACTAATTTACTTGAGCGCATAACTTGTCGCGGTGTGGCCGCTTCAAGGGGCAACATTAGCTACACCGGTTTAGAACGAATGCTTGAAGAAGAAAAGTATATATATATAAAAAGAAAAAAGATGGCACAACACAAGAAAAACGTTAACGCTCTTTTTTTTTTTTTTTTTCTCGCGAATTCCGAGCGTGCAAGAGGCAGAAAAGCCACAGGGATCCCACGCCCCGCGTCATAGAGGTGCGTCATTCAGTCGGTGCGTCAAAGACGGTCGCGTTATCGGGAAGGGAGTTCGGCTCTTTCTTTCTCTTTTATTTTCTTGAGTCAAGCGGGAAAATGTTTTGCCTCAGCTCTCGGTATCGAGAGGTTTCTCCAGAAGCTAATATTAGATAAGAAAAAAAAAAAATGTTCAAAGGGTAAAGGGAGCGAATCGAATATTTGTTTCCTTGTTGGTTTGTTGTACACCTTTTCTGTTTCATTGAAGGAAGGCGGAAATGAATTGTAAGAATAGTTCTGTTTCCTTTGCGGAAAGCGTGCGCATGCCAGGGGCTGCAGACGAAACTTTGCTGCGGCCGCGCGCTGAGTTTGGTATCTGTTGCTGCTGCAAACCCCAATTGAAAATTAAAGGAATTTCCGGACATTTTAAATATATATTCAAAACAGTGCGACACACAAACAAACGAGTATAGACACCTGCTAGACTCAAATCGACGCAAAATTCTCGTTTTATGACATCGTATAAAACTGTCGGTTTGGGAACGTTGGGGAGATCATAAAAGCAATCTAATTGATTATGTACGTAACTCTGCCCTTGTAAACAAGCGTTCCGTCGAAAGCGCTGTCTTAATTTTCGTGCCGTGAGTAGCAACACGGAGCGCAAACCGCAGCCATATCGAATTTCATTTCTTGGACACGCTAAAATACACAGATACCGTTACTGTATATCCGTGCACGATGAAGATTACATCAATTAGGGTTTTGCATACGGTATGAGCTGCACTACTTCCATTGATGCAATGATCCGTGAGTTGGAAGGCATCGCGAATCATGAATTTGAAACTGAGACAAACCTTTGGTTGTTTGTCCCGAGAGGCTTTGCTTCATCTCTGGGTAATGATGTTGGCTATTTTTGGCTTATACACCAGAAGGTAAAATCATCTCTTTTTATTCACACTACAACTTTCAAAGATTTTTTTTTTTTTTTTTTTTTTTTTAGGTTAGTTATGTCAAATTTCGAAAATTATTTCCGCCAGCTCTCGTATCTACACTAGAAGTTTTGGTAGATTGTGTTTGCACCCCGGTAAGGATACACGGTTCTGATATGGTAACGCTATCGGAATGCACGTTTAGTGGATCATATCGATGCCGGGAGTGGCGTAACGATCGGCACGCCACTACCGGGATCGATAAGATATGCCTGGTAGTGGCATCTTGAGAACCCAACCTAATGTGGGGTGCAAACTAACATAAATTTCAAAAGGCTATGTCAAAAAGAAAGCAATGTCTTATGTCAAATAATACTGCTGCGAAGCAGTGATCTTTAAGAAGAAAATAAAATGATTGCATGAATGCAAGCACGCAAAATGCAATCTGCTGTTAGCCAAATCCTGATAAACATCCGCATATCGGACAGCAATACTCCTGAAACATCCGAGACCATTGCTCATGCGTGCTGGGACTCATACAGCATATCTATATGGGATTGTTATCAAAGCGTGAATGTTATCTACCAAAACTCTCAAACGCACCAAATCCGTCAAACGCGACAGTGGTTCCCCTATTCTTTTATATACTTCAGGTGAGAAATATGACGAGTAATAAAGTACGCGAACCAAAGTCATGAACCCAACCTTCAGACGTGAAGAAAGCACAGAAGCTTCTGCCTTTTTTACTCCCTCATTCCGGAACTCGGCGAGTAAGGCCTACAGCTTCTAGGCGATCAGGCTGAAGGACTGGATTGTCTACGTCAGTGGCGTCACCTATCGGAGGCCGGCGCAGTGCACTCATTGGACACGAGTGCTGCGCCACCGTTCGGCTCGGACTCGTGTCCAATCAGCGAGAGCGCGAGCCCCAACCGAAAGCTGACGCACCGCTCGTATCAAATCAGTACCCGCGATGGCCTGCGGTAGGTGACGTGTACAGCCAAGCACAGTAGCCTTGTTACGTATCTAAGAGGCGTTGGTGAAGTCTATGCCAAATGTTTCTGCTCTTCTCCGAGCCCCACCTGAAGCGCCTTGAAGTCGTCCTCGCTGATGTCCCGGAGCCCGTTGACCCTCGCGATCTTCGTCAAGATGGCGACGGCCTTGTCCCGTCTACCTGCCGTCAGGTGCCAGCTGGGAGACTCGGGAACAAACCTTGAACAAAGAGAGCCATTTTTCTAAAAATATAAACTACACGTCTGTCACACCGTTTCATTTCCCGCCAATTTGGCTTATGTTTTTGCCTAGAAAAAAAAAGGCTTCTTTTCCGGTTTTCTATTCTATAAAATTTAAAAGGTGCCTGTCAAGTTCTCTTAATCGCGCTGAACTGCAGAAGACAAGGCTGAAAACGACAAGGTTGTTGTGTGTGTATATATGTGTGTGTGCGTGCGTGCGTGTGTGTGTGTGTTCGTGTCTGTGTGTGTTTACCATCAATCTTGTGATAATAGTTATTTTTTTAATTGACACCCAATTTTGGATACAGTTTCTGCATAAAAAGGTAATTCATTTGCGTTAGGTAAGCTTTACCCCACTAAAACAATTGGTACTGTGGTCTTCATATGATTATGGCTTTCACCACTGAATTTAGGCTGGCCCTGTCTTGGTCGTCTTCACATAAGCTGTGCTAAAATCACGTTTTTAGTATCCATAAAAGATTTAAAAAAACAGTGACAGAGGATGTTTCACTTTTCCGCTTAAAAAGAAAAAAATGTTTACCCCCCTCACCCCCTCCCCCCGCTTCTGCTTTACCAAGAAAACGAGAAAGAAACCGTGTGATGTCGTTCGTTTAGCGATTGAGTACAGCCGCAATTCCTGGCTTTCTTTGACCAAAGATAGCGTCTTTCGATAGTTTAGCACAATGAACCTCAAATTCTAATTGCTATTTCATGTATCAACTTAAAAAAATAAGACGAAATCTCAATCGCAGTGCGAGATTTTACTACGAGGAAAGTATACAATTTATAAGAGTCACCTAATTTTTTTTTCTCCATCCCTTTTCATGCGCGTTCAGGTGGCATATCAATGTTCTGAAACGTACAAATGTATCATTAGATGTACGTTATGAATGTGCGTACTTGCGTTAGTACTGTCACTTGAATTGCACGGTCGGTGTGTACTACCGTACGTGAGAGTAGTAGCAGATGTGATACCCGTTTAGAGGACAACCATCGCAGGGTTTCAGAAACTTGTAACGGGAGAAGGGCGTTACATTCCACCACGTTTGGACTTCAGGGAACGTGAAACGCTTGAGGAATTCCTCCTTGCGTTCCGTCAATTCCTAACACCGTATCGGCGTCTACAGACCATTTGTCGCGAAGTTTCCGCGTGCCGTTTTTCATCTATACGCTGTCGACTTCGAAGAGTCAGCTCCTAGCTTCAAGCAGAAAGCAGGGTTCACTTAGTTTCACTTATAATGCAATAATTTATGCTATTATGTAGCCTCATTGAGCGAATCAGCAGAACAGGAGATGCAAACTTGCACGTACAAACTAATTAAAATAGTCAAAATCGCGGACAAAGCTTCAATTCAACTGAAGCATTTCTCGCGTTGTCGAATCTGCTTTATACTTTCGATACGTCACCATCTCTATGGAGTCGGCACAAACATCTATCTACCTTGTTTTTTCCTCTTTTTTTTTAGTTTTTAAGAGCTGCATTGTTACATCTTCCTCAACAAAGAATCTGGTAAAAGAAACATATATCTGCGATGCAATCCACAAGGTTCCTGTCATGAAAAACATTTACTTTGTACCGCCGTCTTTTTTTTTTTTCTTTTTTTTCTAACGCACCGATTTGCAGTGAAACAAGAACAGTGGCTGCTGATGACATGAGCTGAGTTTTTTGTTTGTATTTTTGTTTATTTACCCTCACAGAAGCAAATGAAATCCTCTACAGTATGTGGGTCATAGTGGTAACCTATACGGCTTTGGCATCACGATGCTGCGGTGGCGCTGCAGTCGACAAGGCGCACGCGCAGATGTTTAGTGCCCTGCACCTTAAGTGTGGGCAAACGCAGGGTTGCCTGTAAGCATTTTGTTGGCCTCTGACCACGGTGCTAATGCAAGCACAACTGCGGCAATTTTATTTTTCTCCGTGCGATTGCGGCAATCGCCACGGAAGCAACCGTCAATGGTATTGTACATATAGACGACGCGCAGCACTGAAACCCCTCCGAACCGGCCACTGATCAACATACAATGGAAAGATGACGCCATCCAAAGATAAACACAAGCCCGCGCAAACACACGTGGACACTTGCGGAACTAACGAATCTGCAAGTTTCGTGTAGGGAGGCTTTCTCATCCACGACGTGTATGACGATGTCATCGCCGTACCGGCAAATCACGTGCGCTCGAAGGCAAATATTGTGGCTGACAAGGGCGCTTTCCTGTGTACCCTCACTGCCCCTTGAGATCAACATGTGTGGGAGGTAAATATGTGATGCATTTTCGTAATACGTTTAAACGATAAAGGGAAGGAGATATCTTCTTTCGCTCAGGAGAGATGGGTCACCTTGCATACGGCGGTTTCGCCTGCTTCGTAGTAATAGAGAGAGGCACGCCATTGAGCTCTTTCGACGCTTCTGTTGTAGCCAAAACTGAATAAAAATTAGTTTAAACAATGTTTCAATGCGCCAGGTCCAGTGGGCATTGAGAAAAACGTTTTTGAGACGGCAGGGATGTCGCGAACCTGCCGAGGTTCAACTTCAACCAAATTCAAGTAGTTTTTTTTTTTTTTTTTTTAGCATTTAGTGCAAAATTTGGCACAAGTGCGACTAGAGTTTCGCGATTTTGCGCAAGCGCAAAAATAAAAAACGACCCCACGTCACCTGACGGAGGAGGTGTGCAATATTTATGGGGTATACTGTTTCACGTTACAAGCTAACGTTTAAGAGTTGGCCCAGCTCTTACATTCTGCAAACATTGTTAATAATTTTATAAAAAAAAAAAAAAGTTACAACCAGCAACTGTAAAAATTATATTTTTTCATATTAGGGACTCGTATCGGAAGTCAGGCAACCCTCTTCAAAAGTCAATATTTTTTTTTTTCAAATTTCGCCAAAAGTTTGAATGTTCGCCAAACGAGTCGAACCTCGAGCTTCAACAAAGGTTCGCTGCATCTCCCGTGAATGAGGCCTCTCCTGCACTTCTTGTGTTGTAGCAGATCACATGGTCTGCGCGTGACGTCACCTACTTGCTACTTATTTTTGCCAAAAAAAAAGAAAAGAACTGGTTCCATAATGCGAAATCAATGCTGCCGAAAATACGCGCCCAGTGGTAACGCCACCAGAATGGCTGCCAATTTGACGTCAGTGCAAGTATGGTGCCTGGAAAGCGGCTCCGACGGGTTTGTTTACATCGCCCAAAAAAGTGGTCACTCGAATTCCGTCCGATGACGTTAAGGAAGTGTCATGCTGTCGATGGTCGCGATCCTGGCGGTGTCCCAACAGCGGAAGTGTATGTGGCAGACGCCTGCCCTGCTGCAGGTCGCTCTTCCTGTGTGGCAGTTCACGGAAGCTTCCGCAGCCAGACCTTGGAACGCCGCGACGACAGCGACACTCGCGTTTGCTCGTGATTTCCGCCAGCATTTCTACGACCAACCGCCAGGATCGCGAGATCCGCCAGCAGAAGACGCTGGCTTCTGTGACGTTATTTGTTGCCACTTCGGTACAACTTTTGATGTATGGGCGGGAGATAGGACTCTAAACAAACCAGTCCAAGACGCGCTCCAGGCACCATAGTGCAAGCCACATATAGCTTGTGTCCCACAATCGTGGATGGATGGATGGATGGATGAATGGTATTGGCTATACCTTTTGTAACGGGCGGCAGCTGGCGCCACCTAGCTTAACCATCTTTTAGCACGTGGTTGCCAGGCTTGCGCAAGATTACACTTACCAGAGGAGCACTAGGATGACGGCGCTAAGTGCGGAGTTTGTGATGACGAGACCCCTCCAGCTCTGGATCAGGTCCGCGTACCAGGGGTACGCCGACGCCATCAGGGTCCAGCTGAAGGCCCACACGAAGCCGATCAGGGTACGCCGTTCAGGAATGGTGAACTCCATCACTGGACACACATTTCAAGCCAGCATCGTAAGATATATGTTCTCTTGGAGTCGCGTTCTCAAGGGTGGTGGGTGGTTCCATATCTGTCGGCAGGAGTAACATCTACAAGAAAATCACCTTCGAGACCTCTTCAAAGAAGAAAGATGTGAAGCATTTACATTATTAGACGAAGGGTTAGAACCTTGAAGCCTGCCGAAAGGTGACGGAGAATAAAATCTGACGTCTGACTATGCTGAAATCTGTATTGTCCTTTTTGGTGAAGACTGGTATTAGCAAAGCAGTCTAACTACACCCGTCCCTTAAAAAGACTATGCAATAGCGCAACCACCCCCACTAATGTGATTTGAATAGACGTTTTTTCCATCCACCCTAGACGGGCTAAGATTTTACAACATTGATAATCAGAAAAGAAAAAACATGCAGTTTACTAAACGACGCGTGAAGGTGTATCACAGATCTACCACCTTACGTAAAGATTTAAAAAAAAAATACAGAAATTCGTCCCTTTCCCCAGCTTCGAGAAACTACGAAATACACAGGTAGAGTACGCAAAATCAAGATGATGAACACTAAACCAGGGCTACAAATAATGAATTTTCTAGACCAAGACACGCACGGACTAGAAGGTTTTTCAGAACAGGTGCCGCCATGTGAACAAATAACGATAGGTCCATCTACACCCATTTTCCAGAACATGGGCCCTGTGCATCAGAAAAGAAGACCGGAAAACACAGCGAAGAAATCGAGCTCGTAATAACGACCCCGAGGCAGCGCTATACTACCCCAGTGGTGCAGTGGAAAACAACCACGAGCCAATCGCATTCCATCAGCTAAACAAAGGCACGTGGATGTACCCAACATTAGCAGACAATCCGGAGGAAGCTAAAGCGAAAGCCGTTCTAGCTACATTAGAACACGCCGCATAAATTCACACAAAAAGAAAAAATAATTTGTACAGACTCGCAAGGAGTCATCACAGCATGTAAGGTAAACCAAGTGGCAAGCATAACAAAACAAAAAAAAAATACTGAGGATGGCAATAATCAAGAACGATAACACGACAATACTCCTGTAATGATGTGTAAGGGAGCGCGTTGGACATGAACTATAGACAGCACGAATGAGGATACACTTACGGGGACAGAGGACAACACACGCAGCCATTCCTGTGTTGTAACTCTGGCGTTATAACTCCTGCGTAGTATCCCAGGACACGCGGGAATATGGGAAAATGAGTTTGCTAACAAAGTCGCCAAAGAGTGTAGTCGTTTCATCTTTTCCGACAGAGTGTAGTCGTTTCATCTTTTCCGACAACGCGAGTCAATCTCAACAGGATCACCCATACCTCATTGAATCATACAATTGGAGTTATGAATGCGGCCCAAAACCCACCACAAACAAGGCAAAGAGGCCTCTAAATGAGCAACTACAAAACAGACATCCCGGAGAACAAGACTTAATTTCCCCTAAACTCAGGAGATGTCAAACAGTTCCCCCGGGAGGAATAAGGACTGGCAGCGTCCAACCCTCAAAAAATAAGAGGAAAGAAAAAGATGCAAGATATAGAATTTATGCCAAAACCACCAGTATTACCTTCTGCAGAAAAAGGACGCCACTCAACATTGACCACCATCTATGGGAGAATGTAAACACCACGGAGAAAAAAAAAGGAGATGGAACAGTAGCAACTCTAAGCACCCAAGATAAGCCGAAAGATATGAAAGCAATGATAAAGCCTACAGGCGATTCCGAGAGAAGACTTTAACTGCTGAGATCCGTAGTCTCCAATCTGGAGAAAATCGGTCTCAGTAAAACATCTTAATCTTTATTTTCTTGTCAGGCAACGCCATAGTGCGACCGCCTTTTCTTTTCTTCTTTTTTTTTCACAAATGAACGTGTGTTTTTTTTATTTTTATTCAAGACCTAAGCGGACATGTTGAAAGATGGCCCCTTTCCAAGTTATCAGGCGATAAATGCCGAGTAGATGCAGGGATAGAGCCAGCGACAAAAAGAAGAAAAAAAGAAACAAAGGCAGGACAAGAGAGGAGACAGAGCAGTTCCCTGGCTTTGCTACTGACTGAAGCGACCATGATATTTAATGTGTTCACGCACGCACCGAACAGTTATGAACACGAGTCTTTGGTGAGGGCGGTGAGCTGTGAGCGGTGGCATCAGCAGCAGTCAATATCAAAAGATAAATGTAAAAAAAAAAAGTAGAGGGACAGCGAAAGCGATGCAGTGAACGTAAACGGCTGAGGCATGAAAAGAGAGAACTATGTTTCGAGACTTAGAAAAACCGAAGCCACTTACCAATCAAAATATTCCCTTTATAAAAAGTCGACACGCAATATTAAATATGTATTCTCCTGTTCCTGGTGAATGCAGGTGAGACAATAGCATAGCTGATTCGCTCCGGGGACCGCAACTTATTGTGTCCGAACGTATAAAAATTTATCATCCCCTACTCGCATACAGGATGTTATCAATCGTCCTGCCTAGCCGTACTCGAGGTGATATTTTGGTGCCAAATCTAAACCTTTGACGGAAAATTGCCAGGGTACCACTGTGCCATCTGGGGTAACACGGCGTTTTTAACACAATTTAAGAATGACAGGCTACCTTATATGGTATGACGTAACGCAATTTATTAGATTCAGTAGAATCGGCCGAAAATAAAAAGATGTCCCTGTTCACTGCATTCATGAGCTTTCATGTAATTTTACAGTGGCGTCAAAATAAAAAGCAATGGGGGGGGGGGGGGGGGGGGGGGGGGAGAGGATCGCTTTTTATTCCAGACATTTCAAAAATATATTGTAAACAATATATTGTATAGGGGGGGGGGGCGGAAAATCGCTCCCCCCCTATACAAAAATCGTCGCCCCCCCCCCCCCCTTTCCCCCCCTGTTCCCCTCTCCCGAAAAGTTCCAAAGCCTCTTTTATTTTAGCCCTAGCACACTGGCACCAATAAGAATAAAAGATGTATGCTTAGATGCAAATTAGATTTTTTTTTGTATGTTCCACACAGTTAATTGTCGTTAATTCATCTCTTTTTTTAGTGGCATGTGTGCACGACGCTTTCGTCAATATTAACCATGGGCGGGTGAAGACAACCCTGCGGAATAAACTAGCATGCATTTTCAAGTGTATGAAAGGTCGTGAAAATAGAACAAGGACATCGAATAACTGGCAAAGCTACATTGGCACTGTCACTTGTTTGAGTTCACATTCATAAGGGTTACACTGGAGTTCGAATAGACATTATAATTATTATTCAAGCTCACGCGTAAAACGAAACATTCTGACGCCTTTACGAAAGTTTAAAAGAGACACGACTCCATTAAAAGTTTATAGTTATTGATAGTTTAAGAAACGCAGGGCGTGAATTTGTCTCACGAGCGTTCTCGCTTTTTGGTTCCTTTTTTGTTTGCGGTTGATATTGCTAACACCGGAGTCTCATTCACTGTAGAAAGAGTGATTGTAGTTGAATAAAAACACCAAGGCCACTAAGAATATATATATAAAAAATAAGTACTCTTAACGCGTAGTTAAAAAAAAAAAAGAAGCAAAAGCCACATTGCACTACGTGCCTCGTCAAAAGCGACAAATGTAAGAAATCCAGCACGGCGTGCATTACAGTTACACCGGCTTCCGACACGCAATAAAAAAGTTATGTCATCCAGATTTCAACCGAAGTATCCTCAAGCAACCCAGTGGACACTTCAAAAAAAAATTCATTTGTATAGATTGACAATTCGAGTTGGGAGCTACGAACTCGTCGGACCAATCAACGGCCTTTCCTTCGCCATCTGATCCCGCTGTCTTGCGCGTGGGTACGGGCCGGAGCGCGAACACGTGCTGCAACGTAGACGTCCGACTGGTCCGACGAGGCACGTAGCTTCCACCGTACTCTCAGCTTAGGCACGAACGCAGTGCAGACAATGGTACATTGCAATTCTCTAGACGTGCGCGAAGAGCTCCGAAGGAACGCGTCGTCGAATTCCAGGAGGGAGGCTCGGCTTAAACTTACTGTTACGCCGGTATGACACAACAGCTTCGACACCGTCAGAGACCTGAATATGCGATTGAATAGAAAAAAAAAAAAAAAAAGAAAAACCGCTATAACAAAAAATTTAAAAAAAAATATATTGCTAAGTTGCGGCGCGAAGCCGCTTCACGTCCTTCGAAATAATTCGCGGAAAAAAGAAGCGCGCCCACGACGAATGCATTCGACGTCAACGCGCCGCTCTTCCAACGCCGAATACTGTTATGCAAGGTCGCGTTCAGCCTTCCGAGCCTGTGCCAAAAACGTCCTTCGTGCGTTGAAAGAAACAAAATTTGTAGAAACCAATAGCAAAGCGGATTCTGTTAGGGAGTTGCGTCAACGTCACGTATACACGCGTTTGATGTGTGGCAGATGCGTGTAGTATATAACGAGTGAAAAAAAAGGCGTAGTTCGGAAGACGTTACAAGACGAAAGACACTGTTCGGTTGTTGTCTTTCCTCATACAAACGAGATTTCACGGCTGCTTTAAATATGCACTGAAGTGGAAGTTCGGTTCAAATTTTACGATTCATATTCCGAAACAGAATGCATACTTTTGGAGATTTAGGTGAAGTTATGTGCCAAAAAGACACTTTATTGCGCCGCCAATCAATTGATCATTGAATCCTGCATTCTCGTACAAGGCCGCACGTTGCAGTACATGCGACTGCATTGCCAGATAAAGTTGTCCCCGAGTACAAACATCTCAGGCTGCAGTCGTATACCGCACCGACAAAACTGCATTTCTCTACGCACTAGAATGAACGTAGTACGTCATATCTGGAAGCTAACTGATCCTCTTCTGAATAAACGTCTCAGTTACCTTTATTTCTTCTTTTAAAAATATATCGAGAAGAAAGCTGAGCATCGAGGGCGACATCGTCGATATCAATGATGGTATGACACTTTGAATAAACTTCTCATTGTCACAATGTTGCCTCCGCGTTCCATCACACAGGACGCGACGGAAACGCACTCCTTTTACAAGATACCTAATTATCAAGGCCAGCTGTAACAAACAAAACAAAACAGAAAAAAAAAAAACTCCAGAAAAACACAGAAGCTGAAATTCAACATTCCGACCAAGGAGCCGATCTGTATGCCGCAACACAATACGCCTTCCGACAAGTCGTATGAAATCGTTTTTACACGCTGGGAGTCGTTATCTTTTTTTCCTCCTTTTCTGGAAGAGAGCCTAATTGGAATCGACTCCAGTCACAGAGCGGTCTCGTGGTCATGTTTTGTTCTCGCTCGAGTCGCTCCAAGGGAATTATGGCCTTGCCGTAAACGACTCGACAATACTTTTTTCTTTTTTTCTTCTTTTTTTCGTGTGCCTAGTTTGCGCATGTTCTGAAGCACTTGGTAAAATTATGAAACACGTTGGATGCCAAGTATGTGTCTCTCATATATACTTTTGTTCTATAAGGGGTATTCACACGAGGGAGAAATCCCGGGGATTTCTCCCTGACACGCGCATCCCACGACGAAAACGTCAGGCTTTGCGATGTGCAAAAGCCTCGCGTTTTCATCTCGTGATGCGAGCGTGCCGGGGAGAAATCCCCGGGATTTCTCCCTCGTGTGAATACCCCTTTATATACGTGGCACTTATACAGGGCCAGCTCTTGGGATTTTGGTGTCCGTGCTCACACGTATCTCTTTGCAAGGTGTCACCATGTGAAGTACGGCCAGTGGCACATTGACGTCACACGACGCTGTGACGTCAGGTGACAGCATGAAATCACGTGACAATGTAACGTCAGGAAATCAATATTTACAAAGTTAATTAACAAATGTTAGTTAATTTTCTTGCTTAGAGCGTTGATTAGTTCCTCGTTTAATGCCTGCAGAGCTTAGTAAATGTATAGTAAAGGCGGCACCCATGTAACTCTCACCTATTTGTTTTCAAAAATATATATGAATTAAAATCAAGCACCCTGTACACATAAACGGTTAGATAAAACAAGAGAAACAGGTCGACGAGTGAACGGGTTCAGTCGATGTCGCTCCTTCGCAGGCAGAAAACCCCAGCCACTGTTTCATCCAATCACCTGGTTGGAACCGCTCACTCACCCAGTACAAAGATGGTGGAGCAGACACTCTCTGCGCCCATTCCCGCCACCAGTCTCGCGATGGCGAGGCCCAGGTGCTGGTTGATGAACAGAGGAATGAGGTTGGCCAGAGCGCTGATGGTGGCCAGCACGCAGATGGCCACCTTGCGGCCGAACCTGTACGAGCGACGCAGAACGGAGGGGTTGTAGAGTCGGTATTTTGGCAGGAAGAAGTTAAGGACCGTTCACATAGCATACCGCTTGCTAACTTGCGTTATGTTACGAGGGTTTACGTCTGCTTCCGTAGAGAGTCACCAGGACATCGGTGCTCTGTATGAAGCGTGGCAACCAATTCAAGGAGTATAGCTGTGGACGGGACGTACTAAGCATGGCTGTATCAAAGATTCTCGACAAGAAGACGTCAGAAAACGCTCCTTTGTGAATGGGACTTTAATCTGCAATAAACTGAGGCGACTCGTGCGTCTGCTTCAGATGGACGATTCTGCCAGTGTAGCTAACCTGTAAGGTCTTAAACGTGCATCATGCAGTAGGGACGTCACGAACATGTGATTCACTTCTGCACATTGCCGGCCCATTACGAAACCGGTGGTAGTCAAGAGTGATACCAGTTGTACGTGGGGATTTAAACACCGGGCAAATTCCTTAAAACGGCGTCATTGTGCTTCCCCTATATATAAGCACTTTTGCCAATGCAGTATGAACTGCTAACTTGGAATAGTTAACGCACCACGTAGTCAACAGACTAATTACATGACCGGATGATGCTTGGCAAGTCCCAGCGCCCTGCCTTGTATTAAGGCGCTGGGACTCGCCAAGCTGCTAACGTGCAGCTTTTTTTTTCCAGCGCCTTTGTCACGAATGTATTTTTGTGGCAGAAAATAAACTGATTTGATTTGATTTGATAGTGCGATGCCTGTTCCTATACGCGGCTTGAACGTAACGTGGTTGTCACCATGCTGGAAGTCATTCTTACTTATTGTTGCCGAAAAAAAAATCGATAAGGCGAGGCATTATACTGCAGAAAGTACACCCTTAGTATCAAGATTCATACAATGACAACTTATGTAACGCCAATGCAAGCCATGTTTCTTTTAGCAAGACCATTCACTCGACGTACTGCATATGTGCCGCAGTACTGCGGCACATATGCAGTACGTAGATGCTGCATACGTGAAGCGTATGCTGCATACGTGAAGCTTCACGTATGTGCTGCATACGTGAAGCAAAAATTTGACGTTCCTATATAACCGTAATTGTCCGCGTGTTCCTTTTTTTTTTATCTTCTCGTACTCACTTGTCGGCGAGGAATCCCGAAGTGACATATCCGGACATGGAGCCAATCCAGAATGTCGTGTGCAATACGTACTGCTTCCAGGCGTCTCCGCAGACCCAGTTGTTCTGGAAAAAGGGCACATCCCGAGGTTATTGGGTCACTCACTTTATATGCTGCGTCTCTTCTTTTTTCTTTTTTTTTTTTTCGTCTAACTTTGCTTCAATTTAAAAAGAAAAAAAAAACAATGATTTTTAGAATCATTGATAGCTTCAGAAAGTCAGGGCGCGGCTCGTCCTGAACGTCTTATTATAGCACCGCAATCAATGAGATTGCTGTTTTAGCCAATCAGAACGCCGAAGGACAAATCACGTGACAAGAAACGGGCACATATTACGTCACGCCTTGCGTTTTTTAGGCTGTCAGGGACTTTAGTTGATTCATTTCTTGCGCTCCCTCGGAAGCATCTATATGCGTGAAGTTCTCACGGGTATATGTGACGCATTTAAGCAGCGGATATTTTAATAATTAAAAGACGCTTGAACGATTTATTGGTGCAAAGATTAGAAGAGGAAATTTGCAATTTGCACATGTCTCTCGACGTACTCGCATAATATATATATATATTTATTTATTTATATCAACCATAAAAAAGTATGTAACTTCACTTTTCTGGGGCACACGAAGACAGCCAATCACAGTGAACAATAGAAGAATCCCAGCGAGTAAGGAACTTCATAGTACGATTAAATATTAAAGAGTCAAATGTGCACAAGGACAATGAGCAGGTGAAACATGAAGCATATAAATGCAGTCGTAACGTATCGAATCGAGAAGGGACTATTCACACGCGCCCTGTTTCCCTACTCGTCTCTCTTCTATCCATTTACACCCAATCAAAACAGTCCAATTTCGATTCGACGCACTATGGTCCCACCCCGTAAACGCAACCTTTCTCCCTGTGCAAACCGCATTTTTTTATGTAATCGTATTTTCAGCTTCGTCATTAGCTCAGATTCTAGCGTTCGGCGTGACTACTTCCCTGTTCAGCAAAAAAAAAATTATAAAAAAAAAAATATATATATATATATATATATATATATATATATATATATATATATATATATATATATATATATATATATATATTGTATGTTCCGATATGGTGCCCACGTATACATTTAGTAGATATTTATCCAAGCAACAGCCTTGGCGTGCCACAATCTAATGGACTTCTTCCAAAACCGACGCGCCCCATCGCGGCGAAATACCACGCAGTGCACTCTGGGAACTAGTTGGCCACTCAGTTTTGGTTTCGACTGAGCAGCTTCATCTCATGCTATCACGCCGTGACCGAACTCGCTGCTTGCGTTTTCGATTATCTGACTTTTCACGAACATACAATACACTCATTCTCGAGCGATTCAAAACGAAGACCGGGGATCTTTCCTTGGTTCCCGAAACACCGGATATTGTGCATGCGTATGCAAACGTATCGTGACTTAGTCACCTCACCCCACGAGTGCGCGTTTGAGCTCAATTTCAATAATCCCGTTTAGTACCAGCGAACTAAAACTGAAATTTGTTCATCTGGAGCCTTACACGTATTTTGTTTGCCAAACGTCCGCTTCTTGTTACTTCATTGGGCGAAAAGCAAGCCGCATCCTCACAGGGTATCAAAGTTGAACCCAGCGTTTACGCATGAACTTTTAAGGAAACGTAATAAATTCGACCTCACTACTGCACAGAAGTTACCATGATGTCTTCCCCGTGTCATCATATATCTCCCAATCAAATTTTATGCTGATAGAATAACTTTTCGCAAACGCTGAGATCGGCTAGCTACGACGGAGCCTTTTTGGACGAGCTTTTACTGACGCCCAAGATCTGTGCCTGAACGGTGTGTCTGAAATTATCTCGGCATACTCAGGTAGGAAGAAAGCAAACACACAACAAATATTATGGCCATTAGCAATTCAAACGCGCTTTGAATTCGTTCGTTTGGCGCACCTGTCCGTCGCACTTCCGGCGAACGGTGCGACATTCTTCACGCAAGTGTTCGACTTTTGCTTTCTTAAAACGATCTGTATGTGCGAATTTGCCTATATGATTGCAGGATAACTTTATGCGCGTACGCGATGTTGAATATTAGTGGAATGCAAGCGGGTGGGGACTTCGCTTCGTGCAGTGCTGCGGGTCAGTACAGATAAGAGATAAGAAGTGTGTTAAAATTGAGCTTTTCATTGGCGCCTCCTAGTTTTACCTCGCATACTCAGGCATATTAAGAAAAACAGTAATCGCAAAAAGTAATATTTCATCTATGGACGCACGAAACAAACAAACTGCCTGATCAACAATACTAATGTAAAGGTGCGAGCTCGATGTATGCATATTTATTGGTTGCTACAGCTTGTTGATTCGTACACAAGCAAGATCCCCGAGCTTCGCAGCGTCGAGATTCCCAGCACTGGCTCGTCCACATACCTCGATTGGAACGCTAACAGGAAGGCTCAAGTACAAAATACAGCAAGCATGTGTTAAGACAAGCTATACGTCTCAGGCTTGTGCTAAAGCTTCGAGGTCTGGCCCTTTAGGTTAGTTTAGAGACCACAAACGACGCTCTCGGGACCAGGAAACATGAGATAACGGCCGTTAATAGTCAACGCTCTGTGTATAATCTCTTGTCGACGTGTCGATTGAAACCGAAACCATGCCATCCTCCTCCCTGGCCAACCAGTTACCAGGGTGCAAAGCGCGCCGTGTTGCATGCAGGACTTTATGGAAGTAGTCTATTCAACAGTATGACGGCATAGCAAAAGTTCCACCTAGCGATGTTGGACTACAGCGCTTTTGCTGGTCAGCTAAAATTGGAAGTTCTGAAGACGCGCTCATGTTTCTACAAGTGTCTCAAAACTTCCACCTAAAAGATGTAAGCTAATACTGTTAGTATTGGTTTAATCCAATACTGCTAATACTGTTAGTGATACTGTTAGTGAATCCAATACACAACTAATACTGTTAGTGAAGGAACTTCGAGACATGACATATATACATTAAGTACAGAACGCACTATTTAATATTGCTTTGTTCGTAATCATGTGTGGGAGTGGCCCGTTCTACGCAATTACAGCCCTTCGGGCATCCACATCGGTGGCGACAGATCACGAGAGCTTCCCAATCTGGAGATCGACGTGGCCTAGCAACAAGAGTTATAAGAATACCTGGTGCACGGCCAAACCGTCTAGTATTTGTGTTTTCATTTATATCTGCACTGGGAGGCCTGCTGTGGCCTGCATGTTATCAGCCACTGTTTGTTTTAGACATGCCCGTGTCTTGAGCAGGCATCCTGTTCCATGAATGCCTGCATGCAGCGCCGTAGACTTTGCATTTTCCCGGGTTTTACAGTGTATGTATATCGCCATGTGTCAGTCACTGTGTGCGTTATTTTGTTTACATACCACTACTAGAAGGACGTTACATGGCACGTAAACAGCGTCTCGGTAAGGATCATGGCCCGGGGGAAGGGGGGTGGAGGGGCACGAGCCCCGATGCCCCCTCCCCCGCCCCCCCCCCCCCCCCCCCCCCCCGGTAGTCTACGCCTATGCCAGCATGTATACAACACACGCGATAATCAAGACAGGCATGTATCGAGAAAATAAAATCCTCTTTTTCGGCTCGCCTAAATTAACTGCGCGTCGCAGTAAGCTAGAATTCCGCGTGAATGACGGCGCCTGCGGTGGGGATGGCGTGTGAAAGTTTGAGAACATAATATTACCTGGATCAAAATGTGAAACAGAAAAACTATAGCTTTTATGAGCCAACCTTCATCCAGGCATAATATCGCCAAATCATGAAATGCCCTTGTAAGCGCTTCTGGGATGTATTCCAGTTGTAGAAACTTGTCGGCAAGAGAGGCAATCTTGTTTTATCTCTTTCTGACAATGATATTTTACTGAAATAAGTGAAACAATGTTATTTCTTGATTTGATAAATATTAGGCCGAAGTGGACTTCTTCTTATAGAAAAGATTTATTTTTATCTCCTTTAACTTTTGACCTAGATAATGTCATGCTCTTAAACTTTCACGTTCTATCATCGCCGCTAGCGTCACGCTTATACGGAGCTTCTTCTTTCTGAAATGGGTAGTTTATTTTTGCAGTTCGAAAAATAGGATTTTTTTTCCTAGGTCCAACCCAGTATAAAGAATGCGCTGGTTCAGGTTTGTATGTATGATATATTTGCTAGTTTAGAGACGGATATATATTTGGACAGAAACATGCAAGAGTCTTTCTTCAGCAAAGATGTCTACGTTATACATACAAGCAGACACGTAAAAACAAACATATACTGTAAACGACATATTTTTCGCGGGCTCAATATCTTGCAATTTTGGTCAAAGCTGAAGTTTTTTTAATAATTCGCGGGTTCTAATTTTCGCGACGCGGTAGTGTGTTTACATTTTACCGGAATTGTTCGCGGGACCTATTTTTCGGGAATTGTAGGCTATTCGCGAAATTCGCGAAAATTAGGTCCTCGCGAAAATTAAGTCCTTTACAGTATTTGCTTCTGCATTAGTGTATATAAACACAGATGCGGAAATTAATATTCTGAGCAGAATGCCTTAAAAGAAGATTTGTATTATGTTTTTATATAAGATGTAAAACAAGGGGCGGTATAATCGGTGAAAAATATATGAGGACGGTATACAAATCGCAAAGTTCAGTAGTGTTTTTGGTTGTCTTTTTGGCGACGCAGATCTCTACATAGCGTGTAAAGGTAGTACCTCGTCTCGATATATTAAAAAGAATATCAGCGTGCATTTCACTGTCTGGTCAAAAAGGTGTTACAGACACTATCTCTGATATAGGGTGAAAGATGAAACTGACGCATTTCCAATTACTGACTGCCATGTAACGACATAGACACTGATAAGGATCGGGATATGTACCCTTCATTTTATTATCTGCGCAGAGACAATCATGTGATTGGTATATTCTCCCCTCTGTCGAACTCATCACCGGATTACGATCGCGCAACAAATGGTTTCAGAGACGAGAAAAAGAAAACGTGGCTCTCTACGTAAGAGCAAAGAATAAGAAGGTTGCTGTAAGCAATGAGCGTTAACAGAGAGAAGCCTTAGAGGAAAGATATAAGAAGGAGAGTCAGAAGGATGATAGGAAAAAGCGGAAGAAGAGGGAATTCTGTTGCATAAAAATAAAAAGCTAGAAAATAAAGCCATAATAGAAAAACGAAACTCAGAGGTCAACCGGGACTGATTGCCCCTGAGCGCTAATTCCTGTGCAGAAAGAGTGAACATTTCATGGAAGTGAAAAAATCTATGAAGCCGACTGCGGTGCGTTGTATTTCGAGAATGGCAACATGCAAGACTCGGGAACTTTTCCACCATGGGAAAAGTTTATGCGCATATTTGAGTCTCCAATCGCGCGGTTTCTGATCCTGACCCAGCGTCTGCGCGTTTTACGCACCACGCAATCAAAGGTCTGGAAGGAAGACTTATCGCGATACCGTCACTCGAACTCCTTACATCTTGGATGTTTGATGTGTTTTGCTTAGCCATATAGGCGTTGAAATAGTAACTGAGGTCGACACAACAAATTTATTTTTCCGGATGATAAGAAATTGTGATAAAGCTTGCTATTAGGGACTATACAAGAAACACCAGCAATGGCGCGCAATAGGCAAGTATTGTTACTTTGCATGGCGAGCCCCATTGAGTAAAAAGCCAGCAATGTATGTTTTATAAACTTACCGTTCAATAATCGTACTAAATAAAACATTAAAAAATATATTTTTATTTTGACAGCTATCGCAGATATTTGTTGTATACCGTCCGTGCACGTTAGATTGCATTACATGCTGTCCTTGCCACGGAAGAAAGATGTCTCCGAGTGCAAGACAAAGATCACTGTACGAGAAGTTAAGAATCCTGTGGTTAAGTGAATATCGATGGAAATTCTCTGCACGAATGCTCAATCAATATCAAATACTATCGTCACTGGCAGTTTAAGAAACCCAAGGGATTGCTTATAATGCTCGTATTTCTTCCTTCGTTTTTCGTTGTTCAACGTTCTTATCATATAAGGCCGCAATCTCAATGGCTGCATTATCGGAAAAGCAATAAAACAACTCTCAGAATTCGCTACGCCCTGCGTTTCTTAAGTTTTCGGTGACAATGGTGATACCGTGATTGTAAGGTAAATTAAAAAAAAAAAAAAAATATATATATATATATATATATATATATATATATAGATATATATATATATATATTCGAACGCACCTCTGTGGACATGGTCGGATACAGGTCGTTGTATTCGTAGTACCATCCTCCCTCACAGTAATCAGTTGTGGTGCCGTTTCTATCGCTGGTTCCGGATCCGAACTCAAGGAGACAGCTCTGTCTCACGAAGACTGGAGCGTCGCTCCCGACACCGGATGAATCTTCGAAGCTCCCGTTCCCATTAGAGACCACAAGTGGGCACCAGTAGTGCTCGGGTACTATGAGCAAGAACACCTGAGCCATGTGGTTGCAAGTAAAGTGCGCGGTGGCTGTCGTCAGAAAGACGAGCGCCAGAATCTTCTGGAAGCGCCCAAAGCCTCCGCTCTTGTTCAAGGCACCGTCGAAATCCATCTTTGTTTGAACTGGTTTTGCAAAACGAAGTCTGAGAGCAACTTGAAACCAGGCTAGACTTTCTTCTTCTGAACTCGACCGATTCCGTAAGTCTAAATCGTCTAGGTTAAAGTCTTCCACCCAAGATTCAGCAGTCGATGCTCAACTCCTGGTGGCCTGGTTTACCCCTGAGGTTTCTTAGACTTTTGAGAGCTCGGAAACTTTGTCTTAAATAATACAGCGAATTAAACCGTCTATCGAGGGAAAAGGCTTAGCTTTAAAGAAAGTAGCAGTTGTTTCCGATGCTTGGGGGGCCCGGATGAGCGAGGAGACAGGTTGCAGGGCCGCCGATAGGACAGGTGATTCAGCATCAAGGCGGGAGGCGATGCGCAGTGGCTGAGAGCTCCCACGTATCTGCGGAGTTTTGACCCCTGCTCTTCCGGCCTGGCCGCCAGACTCTGGAGGTCGTAAATGTAGGACTGCAGCGTCGCTTATCTTCCACGCACGGCTTATCAGACTTGTGAAACAAAAGAACAAAAGCAACAAAAATAGGAGAAGAGTGAACCCGCCGTGATTGCCGTCGCCACTGCCATCGAGGATGGCTCCTGGAGCGAATGATGGGCACCAAGTTTCTGGTCACCGTCTGTGTTAATACCCTGGTGAAGTAGCCTTTCAGCTTATCTGTTTCGCTGAGAGTTTGTCGGCGCAAGGAGACGTGGCACTTAAGAAATATTTTACAATTGTCTCCATGTCGTTGATCCATATGGTATTTGTTTCCATTCTCATTTATTTAGGTCTTCTACTGGTTGTTCGATTGGTAACCTCGCCCTGGGTAAGCTCAGATGCTGCAGAAGCAGTAAGGTGCAAGAGGAGGCAACTACTGGTCTCGTCATTGTGTTTACTCCATACGATTTGACGGTTAGCATCGAATTCATATACTTTTTGCGCTACTCGAACAGATCTTAAGGAAGGGTAAGTAAACAGGCAAGCTGGTTGATGCTACGCAAATTTGAAAAAACCGGAGACGTAGGATGAAAAAGGGGACAAGCACAAAACGTCTCAATGTTTTGTGTTTGTCCCCTTTGTCCGTCGTCTCTTTTTTTTCTGTTTTTCTTTTTTAAATACGAGTTTCTAAAAGTCGGCGCATCCCTGCGTTATTGAGTTGCGCCAAACGTGTGGGAGAACCCCACCTCCTGAATACTTTAAGGTTCAGACCACGCGACTGCTTTTGGGTGCAGGGTAAAAGTGCGGGGTTTTGAGCTAAGAAGAAAAATCTTCAACGTGGGCACAATTCACGGCATCAGTTCAAGGATTACAGACAATGTATTACTTGGATAAATGTACCCTAACAAATCGCTCATACGAAAAACTCACCGTCTTGCCAAGACGCGTACAATCCGGATTGAATTTCAATAATCAACGTTGACAACACTCGCATGTTTTAGGTTGGAGAGGCATCAAGTTGTGCGTTGTGTAAATACGTAGCCCACTGCAGCTGCAGGCTGTGTTGCCGAATCGTGGGAAATTTCTCACAAATATAGCTCCAGTAGACAACGGGTAACTAAACTCGAACGCAAATAAAATAAAAAATATGTCTGGTTTTAAAAATGCTTAATTTATATGCATTCGAATTAAGTTTGTTTTTAGCCCTTGGCGTTTGGCTTTCAGCACAAGGTTGGAAATTTCCCACGGTTCGGCAACACTGCAGGTGGTGGGATCGTTTTGGTCATGTGTCTCAGGTGCGCAATCATCAAATAACCGGGCGTAATTCACTAATAATAGGAACGCCTCATACTTGTGTTGCGTTAACTGCAGGAAATCCTAATAAATTGTGTCGAAGCACTGCTTTGGAATCTTTGCCGTTATTGCTGCAAGCGTAATATTACATTTGCTATAGTACCAGTTGTAGTCAACATCAAATCTGAAAACTCGGCTCACATAGCAAAGCAGACGCTGTAGCGAGAAAACAACAGCTGCGATTCTGCCAGCAACATTCTGCATGAGAATCTCCTGCAGCCGGGAGCGTTACAGATGTCGTTCAGAAAAGCAACATCACCGTCATCTCTACATGTGTATATACACCCATGCTCACCAAGTCAGTTCATGGGGGATCTCCGCCATCCCAGCCATTCCAACGCCCCCCCCCCCCCCCCCTCAATCCTTCGCGCCTAAAAACAATTCCTGGCTACCCGCTGAGAGACACAACTTCGTCACGTGCTTATACACATTTTGTAAGTAGCCATGCTTCAAAAGCTAGTCTGGCCACTCTGGGTGGAAAACACTTAATATTGGGCAGTTTGAGGATCAATCTGGAAACCATAGGCACGCCTTAGCAGGGCTTGACTGTCAGGCGATCTACACGCACCAGCAGCAAGACGGCGTCACCCAGAATCCGAACTTGGAAGCGTGTATAGACTATATGGACGATTCCAATATTCTCCTACTAGGTGCCTCATGTGCTGAGAATGCAGGACGCATTCTGAATATGCGCAGTAGCTCTATCTTGAGGAATAGTAGACGTCGCGCGTGCGTCCATAGCACAGTGACTGTATTTTTCGCCGGGGTGATAAGCGCAACAAAGGAACTAAACGATCGAGGCACCTGTGGTAAACCTATAGGTCACATCCCCCTGAAACCCCTGCCTCTGCTCGAACAAACTTAGTACTTTAGGCAATATATAGCAGACCGGTTTCCCCCCCGAGGATTCTCACAGTTCAACGCCTTGCAATTGCGATTGAATCGCCTTGTGATCGCTGCGCAGCCCGGGAATTCCTCTCCAGTACAACGTTACTAGCGTGTACGGTTCTATCTTGGAATCTCGCGCATAAGCATGTTTACGGCGGCTATCACGGTGAAAAAAAAAAAATCTTAAAACGTTGACTTCGAGCGTCATCTAGCCCAAAACTTGCGTGATTATGGGAATTTCGTTTTCCTATCGGCACCGCCGAACTATTGCACTTGCGTTGCGCAGGGAGCAACCCATCACGAACAAACGTTTCCCGTATCTATTGTATGTAATCATTTTACCGCTAGAAGGTTGCATTCAGAGTTCAGACCAGTTTGTGTAATACGATGATTACTTCATTGGCGCACCGACGTACAAGCGGGACAATTTGCTGCTACTTCCCAATCAGTATTGACATGCTGGATAATGCCGTTCGACGTTTTGTGATAACATACTGTGTTTTAAAGCTACAGCTTTACGGGCTAGACTTTGCAGAGATTGCCGAGCACTTGCTGCACTTTGCTGAGCAACACGGCCAGGGAAGTCGGTTCTCCCCCTAAGGCCGCACCGCACCAAGTGAGAAAAGAGGGAAGCGCCGGCGCCACCCAGTAACGGTGTCACAGAGGGAGAGACTTCCTGTCGCCCGCTTCAAACACTAGTTTTTAAACATAACTTGCCTTGTACGCAATCCCACTTTGGCAATATCCAGCTGCTTGTTGGATGGTTTCAGAAACTTCCACCGCGCTTACCCACTTAACTTTACGGATCACCGAGCACCCGTGGCGGTTGTCAGTGGCATTCACGTCGCCAACCACGATGGCAATAAGAATGAACCACGTCGCACCGGGTTCACAACGGCACCATTTCGCCCGCATTGCCCGACCGTGCTGCAGTTATCGCTTTTACTTCTTCGCATATTCTGGGCAAAAAATACGACTTTCTTTTTATCGTTTTACCACGACGATCATTCAATCTTGAGATTGTAATTTTTTTGGCGTGCGTATACCACACTGTCAAAATAAAATTTGAGGCTGCAATGTAGTGGGAGGAGATTTATGCGCCTTATGAACTCGTAACACACGCATGTGCTCCCCAACACGCAAAAAAAAAAAAAAAAAAAAAAAAAAACGCAATACGTTTTGGTTAGCGGCCTGGGGTGGAATAGATGAGGAAAGCAGTGACGCTCTAGAAGTTCGAGGAATCCAAACAGCCGAAGGAGTCTCGTAGCACAAACACAATCTTTGTAAGGATTGAAAACATTTTTTTTTTTTTTTTTGCGAATAGTTTGAAGTTGATGGTATCTGCCGATTCAACAAGTCGCTAGCTGTTTCTTAATAGACCACTGCACTCTGTCGTTTTGTTAAAGGAGCGATGCAACAATTTTTCTACTTTCACTAAGTACCACAAAGCATTATTCCTTGACATTCGTTACCTATGAATCGCGCGCTGATTGTTTTACTCTAAAAAATGTCAGTGGCAGAAACAATAAAAAATAAAAAAAAACGAGCAGTATTCACCCTTTGTACTCGCAGCCGGAACAAGCGGCCAAGTGATCTGGAGCAATACCACCTAGAAGACAAGGCCTGCGCATGACGTTCCGTTAGTAGATCCCCGCCCCGCCCCAAGCGGCAAACACCCCGAAGCTTGACGAGAGTAGGGGCCGCGTCGCAACTACGTCGCATTCACTTGCGACCGCAGCTGTGTGCGTGACTGCTGAGCGCGAGCTGATAGCGAGCTTCCAGTGCATTTGCGACGCGCACGCGAACGCTCCCTCGGCCAGGAGCGCGAGCTAGCACGCGCTCGTGGCTTTGAGACGCGCATTTCTAGCGCGCGCGCTCGTTCTGCGGTAGAACGCTTCGAAGCAGCTACTCGAGGTATAAACAGCGCCCTCGAAAATGGCGTCCAGTGTCAGCGTCCAGCGTCCAACGAAGGGCTTTTGAGCCCTTCGCAGCAGCAGTAAGGCAATTTCGCTCATGCATTTGACGCTCCACGTAAACGTCTAACTTCGTCGTATGCTATTTGCGAGAGAAACTCGGCGTGAGCATCTGTTTCATTATCTGTTACACAAACCACTGAAGCAGGCGATGGAGCAGACGATGTAGCAAACGATGTTGCTCATCCGGGCTAGCTAGGGGGCGCTGAGGGGATCTACTAGTGATGACGTTTAGAGGAGGAAACGCGCAGGCCTTGTGTTCTAGGTGGTATTGTCTGGAGCCGATTATATGCCGCCAGTGTATATCATAGCCACGTGCTGGGGTTGGCAAAGCACGGGACACGTGCTATGTTTCACACATTGTTGAGGTTCGGCTATTCCCTTCACCGCAGCGATCGCCCTTATAAAAACAAATTTACGGCATTTTATACAAGATATAGAACTGTGCATTCGCTCTATAAATTTATTTTCTAACATGTGTTCTTTTTTTTTAATCGGTTCCTTAAGATAATTGGCCACCCCATTTCAACCCGACCGGTATACACTAAAATGTAAAATTTTAAGTAGAAAGTCTACAGGCATTCTAGCAAACATTCCGCATCTTCTTGCATTAGGAGTGCATTCGTTTCCTTACGAGTTTGTTCAAACGATTGAACACACCGTTTGGATTCAAACCACGTAAACTGATGTGTAAGTGCGAAGTGCGTAGACTTTGGATAGCAAGGCATTCTATAAAAACATTTTTTTTGTCCACAATGCATATCTAACCAGTTTCTTCGAATAGAAGGAAGAGTGTAGATTTTGGTTAACATTTTTTTGTTCATAATGCATCCACTTTTCTAAAGAGTTGCTTTAAATAATTGGCCACCCCGTTTGATTACAAACGACATAGACGCAGGTGGATTGGCAGGAAGCACCTGTCCTGTCGTCCTAGTTTTTTCATTGCCCCCCTCTGTTCGCGCTTTTTAACCTTTTATTCAGTA